AGCAGATCTCCAGATGAGATCCTTCCCCACTGGCAGCCAGCTCTTCAATAGGTCTAGGAGAGGTGCAGCCTGGCTCCACCCCTTCCGGCAGCACAGGTGAATTGAATTGCCTTCACCTGTGCTCCTCTGGCTGACTCACGGCTCGCCTCAGGTGATCAATCAGAGGTTCAGGCCGTGACTCAGCAGTTCCCGTACAGTAAGGTGTGAGTGGCAATGTGAGTTTGGATTGAATGAAAGGAAAGTAAACTGGAGCCCAGACGAGTTTTGTGTTGTACTGGGTGAGCGTTAATTAGACATCAGGAAACACATTTGTAATCGGATAGTGAATTGGATAGCTGTTTCAGAGTATTATACTGGGAGGATTTTGTGTTTTTTCCCAAAAGCTGTAGCTTTATATCTCGTCCTGGCAGTTTATAGAGAGAAGTTCAGAAGTGTTCTCTGTATGTATTTCTGTAGTACGCTGTAAGAATTTTCCTAGCTACCTTTTGGATATAACGATCTTTTTTTTTTTCTTTTTTTTTTTTCCCCAGTAACTTGCTTTTAGACTTCATTGTTATGGAGAAACAGATACTAAAACTTAAATGCAAGTCTAAAATATTTATCGATGGCATAATAGCTGAAGGAACTTTGGATGTATTGGGTTTTCTTCTGCTTAAATTTCCATTTAGGCAAAGTGGGAGGCTAGTTGGATCTTCAACAACCGCACTGGCAACTAAATTAATTTGAATGTGAGGTGTTTCTTTTTTCCCATGTGAACCAGATGTGCTGATTTAATTAGATTGTTTTTGTGACTTTCTATGTAAGGAGAAAAGTGTTATTTTACATTAACTCTTTGTATGTCATGGAACAGGTAGGATTCAATTTAGTGTTAATAACTGGGAAGTGAGGGAAGGAATCCTTACAAAAATGCAATTGAAGATTGAGGTTGAATGAAGTTACATTTTTCCATAGATCATTTCATTTTATTACTTTAAGGAGACAGTCTTTTTATTTGACTGTTACCTTATAGGGATTTATAAGTATTTTTATTTAAAAAAAAAAAAAAGCCTAAAACCAGATAAGATCATGGTTATGCATTGTGTAGTCACAAATTTCCTACCATCACTGTGAATTATGTTTGATATCACAGAGTTCTCGGAGAGGTCAGATGTATCACCAGCCTCCAACTTTGAGTAACATAATAAAATAATAAACAGGGGAAGAATGTTGTTTTTCTGCTTTTGAAAAGAGTTTCACACTTCCATTTCCTGAGAATATTTTTGTACGCTCTTTTTATTTGCAAGTTGCCTTTGTATGTTCTTTTCCCATATGGGCAGCAAAATCATTAGCTTACAGGAAGAGAGAGCTGGGGCTAGCAAAAGTCTTCAGAAGATGGAACAAATAGGTTCCTGTAAATGTGGGGAATATGGCAACTCCTCTGGTCTTCTTGCTCTCTTGGGTCTTGGACACCTTGCAACTGAAGACAGAGAACTAAACATAAACCTGTGTTGGTGTGTAAGTGAACTCTTGTTAGTCTGTCCCTCTGACAGCCATGGCAATCTGGCTGCCAGGTGGAGAAAGGCAGAGGAGAAATGCAGAGGTTTTTGATTAGTTCTCCGAGTTCCTTAAATTTCTCACCTGACAGCTGGGCAGGACAAGCCTTCATATTGCCATTCAGTCACGGTCTGTGCTTTGGGTGACCATATCACTCCTAAATCTTTCACAGGTCTAAAGCTAGTTGTATTCTGCTGACAAAGGAAGGAAGGAAAGCCTTGGTAGGAATTTCTGGAGAGCCTGAATCGGGGCTTTGTGGTTCAGTTTTTGCTCACAATAAGAAAATGAGATTTCTTTTCTCTCCTTAGAAGTTGTGTAAGTGTGGTTATGTTCATTTTATGTTGTTGCTTCTACAAACGGTAATAATACTGGATATTAAGGTGCTGGAATTTGAGGGTGAAAAATGGAATAGGGAAGATACATTCTGCAGAAAAACAGATAGGGAGAGAGAGAGTGTGGGGAGGAGTTGTGGGTATTGCATATCCTAGGAAACATGCATGGTTGTGGCCACAATTGCATAATCAGAATATTTGAAAGAAATATGACTGCATATATAAGGAAAGAAGGACAGTATGTGGAGATGGCTATCACTGACAGGGAAATACAAGCTTGCTCTTTTTGCCTTGTTCTGTTAGAATAGAGCAGGTAATTAATGGCAGAGCAGTCTTCTTGCTCCTCTCTCCCCATAGTCTCCTTCTTTATCGTCTCCCCGTCCCACCTCTAGCATATGTGTGCACATTCCTTTTTGCAGTTCATTTGCAGGTGTCTGCTGTATTAGCAGGATCTTATTGTGTCTGAAAGGTATAAAAAACATGCCGATCATTCTGGGAATATGAATGTGGACAGACGTGCAGCAGCTGAGGAAATATAACTGCACTGCCCAAAAGAAGCCCCAGGAGAAAGAGGCTTTCTAAATTATACATGGTTGCTACTGTAAAAGCAATAAAATTAAATTAAATTGAAATGTAAATATACGTCATCTTAGATTTGTGTATGAAGAAAGGAATTTGGCTACAGCAAGCTTCTGGTGTTGCGGTGCACTGAAGATTGCTCCCGCAGTGTCATTTCTCTGGACAGTTCCATGAGTAGCATCCAAATAGTTCTACATGTGGTGCCTGGATAATCTGCATATACTTTACATTGTACTGAGACTCTTAACCAGTGGTTCTGTGGTGTTGGAGCTGTTCTTGAGACCTTTAGATCGTTGGGATTTGCTCCACTTGATTTGAAGGAGTTGGCATCTGTGTGCTGCAGCATCTTTCTTCCACGGTGGAACCAGAAAGTGGTCTGTTCCTCTTTTGAGTCATTTTTCATACTTAGTAAAGGCAGAAGAGGTTGATTACCATGCCTCACTGATGCTCTGTGCTGTTGGGTGGTCTTTGTATTCCTCTTTTTAGCAGTACAGAAGTGCTTTTAAAACGTCTTAAGGAAAAGTGATTGAAAATGCGCTCAATACAAATCTCTTAAGCCCACATTGGTGGAGGTGCTGGTGAGAAGCTTCTGCTGGGGCAGGAATTTGGAAGATGGGTGCCATCTGTGTTCCTGCCACTCTTTGGCCAAATTGCATTTCCAGCCTTTTTCTCTTATGCTGTTTTTCATTAAATGAATTGAGTTTTCCTTTAAGTGTCTGCCCATAAATACTCCTTCCTACACAATGCACTCAGGTTGTTATTGCTCTCCAAGTCATAGCAAAGCAGACGGGAACCAAAATGAAAAGGAGGAGCTGGGAGGGGAGTGGGATAGCTGAGACTACAGAAGGAATCTTTCTTCTCTCTCAGTGGTTTCTCAGCTGCAGCCATAAGTCTCTTATTAATGGAAGTGTGAAGAGAAAGAAGAGAGAGAAGTGAGTTTAATTTCATGCCTTTCTGCTAAGAAAAAAGACAGAATAGTTCTGAAAAGATGTGGAGGAAAAGTGAAACAGCTTTAAGGAAAAAAAAAAGTCCTATGAAGTCACCATAGTTACCTCATTCTCAACTCAAAGTCGAAAGGTAGTTTAGTGCAAATGCAATGCTTTGAACCTTAGTGCAGAACTAAAAAGGGATCTGACTCTCTTCCCATACAACAGCAAAGCAGTAGCTGTGGCACCCAAGCAGCCACTGATGTATTGCTGCATCCTTGTCGATCCTGTGCCTTCTTTGCAGTTAGAAGTTTGTAAAGAGCAGATGCTCAGTCAGTCTGGCATTGTGTACTGGGTAAGAATCTCCTTGGATGAAGGACTCGGTTTGTTTATTCTGCACTTCTTCATAGGAAACAGATATCCAAGTAGAAGTGCTTGTGTCTAGTCTCTGTATAGATACGCAATGATGAGAGCATAATTCTAGTGGCTGAATTTAATGAACGTATGTATGCTAGTTGAAATGGAAGCTGCACATTTTCTTTGGCTTAGGTGTATTCAGACTAGATGCAGAATGTTATTTTAGCCTTTTTTATTTCTTACTTACAAATCAACACAGTTTCTCTTATCATTTGTAAAAGCGTGCTCAGTGTGCAAGTAGCTTTCCTTAGTTGCAGAATTAGAAAGGCAGTGATGGAGAGCAGCCACGGTTCCACTGCAGTGTGGCTGCCTGCTTGCTTTCCAAGCTGCACATCTGCATTTTTATTCTTCATTTTGTGTGGGTTCAGTTTCCCAACTAGCAATATTGCCAAGCAATTCTTGGCAGTTTCCTGCATCCAGTGACATTTTTCTTCTGATTCTTTTCCCAATGTCCACCACTCCTCTCTCCCCCCCTCCCCCCTCCTTTTTATTTTTTTTTTTTTAACTGTAGTTTGCTAAGTAGCCAGGTAACTTTTGGTAGCTGGACACACACAGCTTGACCTCGTCCTTATGATCAGACAGTCTTGCATTGTATTCAGCAAAAAGTTTTGTAATTAAATAATTTTTGGTTTTGTAATTTACAGTCCTGTGAAGGATTTATCTGCCACATCTTGGTGTACAGTTATGAAGTTTAACTGTCTTGGACATTAGGTTAGGCTTTAGCTCCCTAAAGGCTTTTGCAGTGATGCAGTTGTACTACTAATCTCTTTTCTGCCTGAGAAACTTGAGGTGAGACAGGCAAAGAGGGGAATGTAGGCCTGAGATCAAACAGACCTCTGGTCTGTATCAACCACAGTTATTACTTCCTTATGATTGTAACACTGTAGATGAGTAATACGCTGTGTATCAGGTACCAGAAAGTTCTAACTTGGTTGCTGGTCTTAGAGAAGAAAATTTTGGAGAACTGAATCTTCAGCTACCCTTGGGACAGTACAGTATCTTGTGCTGTCCCTTTCTGCCAGGGGCAGATGGAGGCAATTTGTGTCATTGAGTCAAAATACCCACTTAGACCGTGATGCAATTCCCAGTTAACCTACTGTAGGCCTTATGACAAAATCTGCTGTCAGTTGGCCTCTGGAAAAAGGCAAACTCAGCTGATTAGAAAAATTTCCTCTGGTCTCACATGGTGTTGATGTCTGGAAATCTCTTGCAGTGTACGTGCCGCAAAGACATGGTGAAGATTTCCATGGATGTCTTTGTGAGGGTTCTGCAGCCAGAACGTTACGATTTATGGAAACAAGGAAAAGACATTGCTGTCCTGGACCACATGAAACCCACAGCTCTGACTAGCCCAGAACTAGATGCCTGGAATGAGACGAAGGCAGACTTGAAGGCCAAATTGCTTCGCAGGTAAAAGCAAACAAAAAAAATCCCACACAACAAAAAACAGTGACAAAAAAAGTTGTCTGGATACTATATTTTAGTTGCTAACCCTTTAAACTCTGTAATTCTCAGTTTGGTGGAATAGTTCATACTCATCTCTTTATACTTGCTCTTGTATCTCTTCTTGGATGATGCAGTCCCTCATTGTTCTGTTTCTTCTGAATATTACGGAACCCCTTTATTTTTATTATTATTATTGTTTGAAAGTAGGACACTGTGCCCTGTCAGATCCCATCTTTTATCCTGGAATACAAAAAAATCTATAGTAAGCATTTATAGCTGCACTTATTAGAAAGCAAGAAGAAAAAGCTGTCAATTGCAAAAGGGATTTTATGCATGCCTTTTTCTGCTTCCTTTGATCTTTGTATTAATTTTCTGCAAGTTCATCATGTTTTTCATGTATTACAGCATGCTTGAATTGAAAATTTGGCATGCTAACCTTTTACTGTTGGAATCTTGCTTTATAGGATAGGAGATGAGGAAGAGGACAACAAGCACCGGTATGTTACTTCCCTCATCAACTTCAATGATTACAGTTTTCTTCCTATCGAGTTTCTTAAAATAGTAACTCCTAAAGTATTTTTCTGGTTCAATTAGTTGTTTCATGTCTGCTTCCTTGAAAGGGCACAGAAGATCTTGGGGTATCAAAATAACCTTCATCTTGTGCTTGTGTAGATTTCTGAGATCTCAATCTCTTTTGTCCTATTGGAGAATCTCAGCTGCCTGTTCTCGTTCCATTCTTGAGTCCTGGAAGCAGCTGATGTCCTGAATAAACCAAAGCTAGTGATGTGATATTTTTACCATGATTAACTGATTATAGATAAAGCTGACTGGTCACCAAAGTAAGTAGTTATTAAAAAGTTGCTGCTGCCTTGGAAAGTGGAATTAGACTTGAGTGTGTTAGGAATGAGCTTCCAGTGGGAGAAATTCCTTGTCGTGCTTCCTTGAAGAGTGCTATTTTACAGGGAACTGAATTATCAGAGGGCTTTAATGTACTCAGATGTAAAGTGGGTGCTCCTCCATATGCTCCTTTACACTTTTTTTTTTTTTAAACACCATTCTGTCTGTTACCCAAAATACTTCCTTTGTAATTCTGCTCACATCTACTGTTTGTTGAATTTCTGATGTCAGAGTTGGAAATTTCTGGAAATTTAACTGCTTCATCTAAAAATAATATTCTGCTCATAACTTTCATTCAGTTATAATTTCCTTGAAATTCAGAAATGAAAGCTTTAATTAGTTGTTAGATTTTGGGGGCCGTGTCTGATAAGGACTTTGAGTGACATTGAGTTTTAAAATTACAGACCTAATCAATTCAATTATATTGAATGCATTTGAGTTTCATGTTTTTTTGAAGAAAAAAAAAAAAAAAAAGGATACAGCAGTAAGAGTGTTCCTCTTTCTCTAGCATTGGTCTTTGTTGTCCTCTGGTTTTGTCTTGCATGGTGATCTGTGCCTTGCCTTTTCTACGTTAAAGGATCGGTCCCTGATTTCATGAATGCTGAAAAGGAAAAGCATGTTGTCCTTTAAAGACATGCTCATAAAATAAAGTAGATATTTTGGCAGATAACTGACCTCAGCAATAGTGCTTCACTTCAGAGGTTATTTTCCTGAAATGTTTTCATTTCTTTTTTCTGTCGTGAGTTTCAGGAAAAGCAGGGTGATCTGAGACTCAGCAGGTGTGATGCATGCTCTTTGGGCTATGACTCTCTGAACTCCAGTGTGCCCCTTAATCTTTTTCTTCCACGTCTGTGAATTTGGAGTCTATGGAAATACTTCCTATGGATTTTCAGGGTATTTTAGAATTATTTACTGTTTGCACACATAACACCCATGTTTATTTTCCCTTTTGAAAACTGTTGCTTAGCAGAGAAGCTCCTCTATTTCAGCCTGAGCTACTGTAAAACATCCAGCCACTTTTTTTAATCTACTCATTGTATGTAGATTTTTTTCAGTATTATCCTGGAGCAGGTTTCAAGCTGTTGAATCCTGCTTAGTAGAAGTTTCTCTCCTATGCTTACATCTTGGAAGGACACTTGACTTGAAGACTGACTTTTCTCAGAAGGATGGACTTTGCTGGAAGAATGGGATCCACCTTATCCCAAACATCTTCACAGTTGTACCTACTTAAAATAAGTCACTCTGTGGTCTGTACTTCAAAGAGTACATATGCTGCTTTTTTCTCTCTCTCCTGGAAACTTAAAGCTTTTAAACTCTACAAAGAGATATGCTATTTTTATTCTAAGGTCATTCATACCTTGAAAATCTCTGTGTTTATTTTATGGCTTCAGCAAGAGAGTGTTTTAGTCTGGTCCACAAAAAGCCCATTTTTGGTATGCAAATTATTTCAGTTACAGAATATCTTCACTGGAAATGCACAGCCTTTAGCTTGTAGTCCTGGAAGCAGTTTCTTTAAATGGCTGTGTTCTTTCTTTCTTTGTTCATTTTTACACAACTACAGAGCCAGAAGAGCACTTTAAAAACATCCTTTTTATCTACTGAGAATGTAAAGGACTGTAACTCAAATTTTGCCTCACGTTCCAACACAATGGCAGTAAAGCCATACACGTTTACTTGAAAGAACATTTGATGCTGGATACTACTCCAGTGCTTTTTTTTTTACCAACTGTGGAAAGTTCCAGCTGTTAAGGTAAAGTTGTACAGGTCTGTCTTCTCTTGCCTTGACTTTCCTCCTCTGTAGAAGGTGCTGTGTACTTTGAATGTCAGTGTAGAGAAAAGCTGATCCTTCTGGGTTCAGTTGTGTGTTCTTGCTGATGAATGTCTTGCAGGTGCGAAGTTAACATCTATACTTGGAGTGCTACCATATGGCTAGAGCCTAGCAATTATAAATTACTGTGCATATGGATCAACTTTCTTTTTTTATTAATCATTCATTTCAGGTTGAATTTTTTCTTCTTTCTTTATGGTTGCCTGATTAAGGACTCTTAACTTTGCAGCACTCCAAATCTAATTAGCAGCTGAGTTTGTGGGGATGTGAAACTGAATTTCAGCTTTTCTAGATATTTAAGCTGATGGAAAAGAATGAAGCATGAGGGTGTTTTAATTTGTTACATGGTAATAGATGCAGAGGCCTAGGAACGAGGAAGCCATTTGGAAGATCCAGTTTTAAGAAACAAAAAACAACTCTGCTAAGAATGCTGCAAAATTGTAGGTTTCTGAATTAGTCTCTTGAAAAAGAAAGCTTGGTAGGTTTGCGCTCTACTCCGAAGGAGCTATTTGGTGGATATTTTTAAAAGTGTGTACTGACTGACATGAAATTAACGCTCATGCGAGGCTGTGATTTTGGTACTGTAGCGAAAAAGTGCTGATAGCACTGATGTTTTGGTTGCTGCTGAGCAACATTAGCACAGTGTCTGGGCCTTTTCGCTCTGTATCTCTGGCCAGTGGGCAGGCTGGAGTGGGCAAGAGGCTGAGACTGGGACAACGGCCTGCGCAGGCTGGAGGGATGTTCCATGCCGCCTTATGTCACGCTCGGCAGTAAAGGCTGGGGAGGAGGAGCAGCCCGTGGGTTGGGTTTCTAAGGTGGTGTTACTCAGAGGCTGGCTGGGCGCCAATCTGCTAGTGGGAAGCAGTAAGTGATTTCCTTTTCTTTGCTTTCCTCTTCACTTTTTTAATCTTTCTTTCATCCATTAAACTGACTTTGGACTTGAAAGTTTTCGCTTTTGTTGTGCCTATTTTGTCCTTTTGTTCTCTGTCCTGCTGGACAGGTGCTTGGCTTCTGACATGGCTCCTAAGCAAAATATATTATCTTGACTTCTGACTTTGCATTTTTCTTTGCATTGTGACTATTGCAATCTTTTTGTTTTAGTGACACTGCTTGTGACTGATTGGGCCCTGTTACAATTAGTTTGTTAGTATTAATCTGATCGTGTTATTATGCTTTTTTTTTTCTTTTTTTTTTTTTTTCTCGTCTTCTTCGTAGACCTTAAACCCTGAGAATTATACTGCTGAAAAGTCTCAGTCTATTGATTATTCTACAAGAACTCATTAGATGGTGTTTTGAGAAAGTGTCAGTGGTGGGGTAGTGCTTCACACCTGGAAGATGCTCGTGGGCTTCCAGCGGTTTGCCAAAACGAAGCAAGTAGAGAATGAAAAGAGATGACAGAATGGAGACAGAAAGAAAGATTTGTAACAAGTTCTCATCTATGTTTCAAAGTACCAGCAAAATAGATTTAAAACGAAAACCATTTTAACTACAGCTCGCAAGCTTATATTATCAATGGCGGAAAAAGGTCTTTAAGAAACCAGAACCATTAATGGCTGCTGTGAATGGATCTTAAGTGTGTTATGCAAGGTTCATCTGTTTCTTTTCAGATATCTGTTTTGTCCTGCAGCTATTGTTAGCTACCTTGTGTTTTCTTTCCAAAGAAGATCTTTTTGTTTTGTACTCAGTTTTTTCAGTTGCTGATCATTTTTTATATTGAAGGCTGTTTTTTTTAATGTCAAGTTGCTCTTCTCTACTTCTAGGTCTCACAGAAAAAGGAGTCAACCCAGAAGACATAAAACAGAGGATCAGAAGTCTCTAGGGGATGTCATGGCTATTGAAACTGCCTTGGAAGATGTGAAAGTGAAAGAGGAACTGAAAAGAGGGCCAGACCTAGAGGAAGAAGACAGAAGCAAAGTGGTTGAGGGAGAAGGTAAGGACTCTGCTCAGCGATGACAGATTCTCAGTGAAGAACTACTGGGAGCATGCTATTTCTCTAAAACATGTTTGTAAATACCTTGTCAACTGTTGTTTATTTTTGTTGAAATTTCAGTGAAGTCTTACCCAGAATTAAGTCTGTGCTCACTGAAACATGCTATCACTTACAGCAGCAATTGATTTTTCCCTCTCTTTAAGGATTGAAACCAAATAGATTTCTTGGCAGGGCTTAGAAGTCCTGCCAAAACTATTACAGTTTTGCAAAAATATGTTTTAGGGATGGAATATTTTAAAGTATTTTATGAAATAGCAAATAAATGCATTTTGTGTCCCCCTCTGGAAAGTAAAATTTTGTTTATTCCCTTCTGCAATTAATCTTTTTGCCATTTCCACCCTTTTTCCCACTTCTTACAGACTGAGGGTAAGGTGAGCCTTAGGTTGTATGGGATCCACAGCTGCTGCATGCAACATCTTAGAGCCATCCATGACATCTCCCAGTCCTTTTTGACTTCTTGCATGTAAAATCACAGGTTTCAAGCTGTTGGGGAGAAGGCAAAAAGAAATAGAAGCTGTTGCAGTGGCAGGGCTGTTTTCCATGAATCCATGGCCACATTTTTATGCAACCTTTGGTAAGGCTGCGTTAGTCTTTCCCTGTACATTCAAGTATCTGTAGTGCGCACATATTTCTTATATTACAATCCTCCTTTTGGAAACAGTGTCTCTAAGATTCTTTGAGGCTATTTGTTAGAATACACCATGACTTCTGTCACTTGGGGGAAAGTATGACTGAAGGCCTGTTGCAAAAGCAGAGAATTATCTTGCGTGTAACATGTTCCTTGTGTGTGTTTAGTACAAAAGTCTGTCCTTGGAGGCTCTTTTTGATATATATATTTTCTTCAATGCATGTGGGTAAGTGATTGGTATTTATATGTTGCACTCTCTCGTTGAGGCTTTCAAGCATTTCATAAACATTAATGAATTTGTTTTCATGTGTTGTACATCCATTGTTTATTTTGCATTTGAAGAAAACTGATGCCACGCTGCTTGTTGAATCTTGATAATTTTAAAGATCAGTGGAATTTATTCACAGTGGAAGCTGTGAGTAAAGAATTGGGATGATCTTTCAGTTCTGTGGTCTCTTAGCTAGACAGTGTAGATTTTAGGAGGTAAGGAGTTTGAAAATCATTCTTGTGCACAGCAAAAGTAGCGTAGTGTGAATTGTTAATTTGTGGTACTCCAGCTTGGAAGTGGCAGCAGTGTGTTAAATTGTATGCCCTAAGCTCTTATGCAGGTTTAATAGTTAATGTTTGTAATAAATGACCTGAAATTGCTGATATCCCTTGAGAGACGAGATAAGTGACAAGGACAGATCTGAGATCCGTAGAGTAACAGAGAAACAATAAAAACTCTGTTCTAGTTGAATAGGTTCTAAATCATTCATTTAGGCTACTTGTTAACATCTCCTTAACTGTTAGCAAAGGAGGGACAAATTTATTTTCATGACCATTGGAGAAAGCATTGCTGTAAGTAGAGTTTATAGCACAATTTCTGAGGGGCAGAGTGTTTGATGTGGCTGTTAGCAAGTATACACATTTCTTAATGCAATATAGCAATTAAATACCACTGAATTCTCTAATTTTCTACATCCTACTGTCTGCATGATATCTCACAGTTTTGTATGGAGAGGAGAATCTTTTTTGATGGCTCTACTCTTCGCAATTTAGCTTTCTGCTCTCCATCGGTTTCTTCTTCTTATGCTCTGCCTTGAAATTGGTTTGATTTCCCACTTATATCGGAAGAGATGGCCTTGAGAAGGAAGAAAAATGAGATTTAGAAGTAGGTCTTAATACTTTATGTTTGTTATTTGGACTTGCTGAGTATTAATAAATTTCAAGATTTCTCACCCTGGTACATTAACGTGTTTTCTTTTTGTCTTTATGACTCAGCTTTATATTCATAATTTATTACAGAGCTATTAGTGCGTTTAGAATTCTTAACAGGTTGTCTTGGGACTTGAAATTAAAAAGGAGAGTTTTTGAACTCTGCTTATCTCTGGGTGTGCAGTATGAATGCAGTCTATGAGTCAGCAGGTGTTATCAGCTGTGCTGTATGCATTAATAGTCCTGCAGATTTGGGCTACAAACCCATATATCTTAAGAGGACATCTTTCTTCCAAATTCGCTTGAAAAGAAACAATGAGATGCTACCTGTAAAATAGCTGTGCGTTATTTTCTGGCCTGTTTCATTAAATGACATTTCCATTCTAATGCTTTATAGACTCATTGCACAAAGGTATGGTGTAACCTCTGGAGTAAGCAGTTTGATTTCCCCATCAACTACCCTTTCCCTCAAAGATATTGGATATCTGAAGCTTCAGTGAAATCAGTGTAGTTATTTCAAGCTATCTACAGACAAGCAAGTTTTTCCACCATATGAAAACCTCATCCTGCTCTTTTTTTTCCACATGTATTAGCTCTGCTATTTGCATTTTTCTCCTTCAGTGGAAGACCAGCTGACAGGGACTCTTCTCCTACTGATTCTCCGTATTGATTTGTCTGAAGAGATCACTTTACTTTCTTGGAGTATTCATGATAGCCAGAAAGTGCCTTTGAATTTTGTTTCACTTTGTTGTTCTGCTGATTTTATAGATTCACTTGCAAATTAGTTTGTTCATCTTAGTGCAAAAACTTTTAAACAAAGTTCTGCATGACAGCTGCTGTGCAGTTACTCATTTAGAAGTCAATAAAGCTGGTGAATGGCATTTGTTCTGTTCTTGGGTAGAGAGTTTGCTGAGTGTATAGGGAGTAAATATGATCTGGTTTTGTACAACTGGGGAAAAATCCAATTTGACTTTCATTGAATGTTGTTGTTTCTCTAAGGAAATTCAATATTCCTTTTATCTGTGATGGAACAAACCAGTTTATCTGAGAGACTGCCAGCACAAGTACTACAATAGCTATTTGGGCTGGACTTGTTTATCTTTTTTCTTTTTTTTTCAGCTGTAAAAATTAGTATAAATAAAGTTGTCAGACCAGATTCTGGGAAATATCCAAGTTCTGGTGCCCGCTGGCAGATTTTAGCCAGGAATTTGGCACTTCATCTTACTGTGGAATTATTCACCTTCCACTTTCAAATCCTTCTTCTTGCAAATATCACATTATTGTGTGATGGCTCATCTGTTTACAAGGTTTGGTTGGTTGGCTTTGCTTTATTCCCTAATGGAGGAGACTGAGTAGGTTTGGACTGGTAAAGCTTTGTTATCAGGATGAATAGGCTTTCTCTGTCTTTTGTTGTCATCAGACCTCATCGTATTAGTGGGGAAATGACCTTTTGCAGTAGAGTTGTCTAGTCATAACATCTGCAATCTCTTACGAAACAAATTGAGCACTTGCATCTGTCTGTGGAGCATCTATTTGCTCTCCTTTCAATGAATGATAACATTTATTTGTGAAGTGAGGAAGGAGTTGGGTAAAGGGAACATACATCATTGTAAAGGGATGAAGGCAAGCTATGAAGGCATCTCCAGTCCTAACCTAGAAGCACTCACTCAAGAGCCGCTAGGAATTTTAATTACCTCTGTAAAGTTAGGCTGTGTGGATCAGAATTCAACTGTAAAGTAAAACTGTTGAGAGTTTTGTATGTTGAAAAAGGGGATTTATTTTCACAGCCACGTGGGTTCTCATCTGTGGAGACCTTCAGAAGTCTCCTGGTCATGGGCCTGGGTATCCTGCTCTGGGCAGTCCTTGAATGTCCAGTCTTAGACATCTATTACTGCACAAATATGTATATTATAAACCATACATTAAAGTGGAAATGAAAAAAAAAATGGTGAAAAAAGAAAAATAAGTAATGTTTTAAATGTAGGTTTTATTTTATTTATGGTACCAAAAGTAATTTTTTCCTATACACCAATGAAAGGTTTTGCATACCTCATTTGGGGATCACCGATACTGAAATACCAAAATAAAAAGGGCTAATATATTATACTGTATGTTTTTTAGCACTCTGTCCAGTTTCTGGGGGCCTAGATGCTTTCCCTTCAGGCAAGACAAAATGACACGAGTCCTTTATTTCTAAAGTGGGCTTCTTCAAATCAGTGATGTGTTAAGACTGAATGGACCTTCAGTCTGCCTGCTGGAAGGAAAGAATGATGTTGTAATCACAGAATCACAGAATGGCCAGGGTTGGAAGGGACCTCAAGGATCATGAATCTCCAACCCCCCTGCCACATGCAGGGCCACCAACCTCCCTGTATAATGCTAGACCGGGCTGCCCAGGGCCCCATCCAATCTGGCCTTGAACACCTCCAGGGATGGGGCATCCACAACCTCTCTGGGCAGCCTGTTCTTTAATGTTATATATTAGCCCACCTTGAAAGGGGAAAAAACATTAAATGCCCGGACATCTTGATGTATGAAGCTAAATGTTGCCTATTTCTTAAAACAGGTGAAAGCAAAGTAAAGGCTCGTCCTCCGAAAGTAAAAGGTGAGAGGAAGAAGAAGCATCTTTTTCATCAGCACCAGCACCACCTGCAAACATCTCAGCCTCTGCAGCAGCAGCAACAGCTGCCACTGCCACCAGCAGTGCAGCAGCAGGCAGAGGAGGAGGCAGCAGCAGCACGGCCGCCAGTACCCACAGCAGCACCTGCAGCATCCGCAGCAGACAAGAGCTTGCTGACCACCCCCCTCAACGTTGTCCAGCCCTCAGAGGCACCAGTTGAGGAAGATGACTTTAAGCCTCGTCCTATCATTCCCATGCTTTATGTGGTTCCACGGACCAAAAAAGTGGTGTTTGACAAAGAGCACATGTCCTGCCAGCAGGCATTTGAGCAGTTTGCTACTCAGAAGAGTCCTGGTTGGCGGGAGCAGACAGTCTCTTTGGAAATCCCTGTAAAAGAGGAGGAGAGTGCAGAAGCAGAAAATACAGAGATTGCTACAGAGGTCAGTGATTTACGGGTATATGTGACCAAGGAGGTGACTGGATTTGCTGGTTTCAAGCAATTAGATGAGAACCAGACTTGGTGTGACAAGAATCCCGAATTCCACCTGAGCAGAATAGTGTTGTGAAATACACGATCCATGACCTATAATCTATTACAGGCATCTCTTTCCCCTGACAATTTCTTAGCTGGAAACAATTTTCAAAAGAGGAGAAAGAAAAATATTTGCAATTAGCATCAGGTCAGATGAATATTGCAAAGCTCTCCTTTCCTGCATGATGGTGCTGAGAGAGCCAAAGAAATGGCAAAGCACTATTAGAAATTGGGTGGGGAGAGAGAACAAGGGGAAGAAATAAGCCTTTCTGATGTGACAACACACAATGAGAATTCCTTACATATAAGTGTTTCTAAGACATAATGGATGCAGACTAGAGAGGAAAAGCATTGTCTGAGGTGCTGTGCCTGTGATGGGCTGCCTTACCTTCATCTCCGTTCTCCCCAGTGTGGCATAAAATGTACTTGGATTTCATTTTTAATCCTTTAGCGCTGCTGCTTGTCTTCATGTGGGTGAAAAAGGAAACAACCGAAAAACACGTGGCACTATTTCTGATACAAAGTAGCTTACATGCCATGTGTTTGGTGCCTTTCACTGAAGAGGACTCTGAGCTGCTGTGATCAGTATACATGCAGTATTTACAGTGTTTGATGGTGCATAGAACACTGGATACAGTACAATATGAATACATTTGTCATAAAATGCACTGTAATGTTATAATAAAATGTTTCTGGTCATATATGCCCTGTGCATAATTTTCGTAATAGATTTTCCAGCTGCTTTTGGGAGTGACAGACTGCTCATGAGTGGCAAATTTGAAGCTGTTCTGAGCTGATTTTAAGAAAATGCTGAAGTTTATATTTACCTGACATCTTAAAAAATAACATTGGCTTTACTTACTGCAGTAATTGGCTTGGAAAGCTCTGTTGATTCCAGCCAAAAGGCAATGAAAAGTTGACTGTAAATTCCACATCTCTTTATGACAATAATTCTGCCTGTTGTCCTCAGCTAACCTTTGCTTGCCAAGATATTCTGGGGCTCCCATCTAACGTGTTCTGGTTTGTTACAGACTGCTGCTTTTTCAAAAATGAAGATGGAGATAAAGAAAAGTCGTCGTCACCCATTAGGCAAACCACCAACCCGCTCCCCCCTGTCAGTGGTTAAACAGGAGACCTCGAGTGACGAGGGTGAGTGCAAAGGCATGAAGAATGCTTGTATGTCTTGTCTAATATGAAAAACTGCTGCAGTCAGTAAACAAAACTGGACGGCCAGAAAATTTTTGTGTTATACTGAGTTGGTAGAAAATACAGCATGTTCCCATTTTGATAACCCAGCTAGAGACAAAATACATCTTTGGGAGGTGTCCCTTCTCGCCTCCCACCCTTTATTCTGTCAAGAAATATATTTTCCTGGATACAAAATGAGGTATCATTTTGGAAAAAAGGAAATAAGTGTTCACAGAAAATAACCACATAAAAGCTGCCTCTTTGGTACTGCATTACAGTGAGTTCCCTGCATCTCAGGTGGAGATGGAGATCGAGATCAGACCTGCTGTGTATAGGGAAGGTTAATTCTAACTTTTTGGTGGGCTTTTTGAGTTATATGAACGTTGGGATCCAACTTTTTGTACTCTTGCTTCCGTTGTAGCATGTAATTTGTCACTTCTGGATCCCGGCTACATTATAAAGTACTCAGAATATAGAAAACTCCATGGTAAACTTTTTCACACTGGACAGGTATGTGAAGGTGTAGCTGCCAGACCCAGCTTTCAAGGAAATTAAAACTTTATATTCAAAAGGAAATAACAGAATATATTTCACTGGATCACAGAATATGTTTCCTGTTCACTTCCTGTTTTGGAGAGCATACCTGTTGTTTTTAGAGGAGCTTTCTGTTTGGCAATGGCAGGGGTTGCACGTGCATCCATCCATGCCCTTTCTAGGGATGATGCATCTGACAGCCTGCATGTGTATAATGTCAAGTGAAATGAAAAAACATTTGAGACTAATTACCTTGTTTTGGTGTGAAGACCTTGCAACAAACTTTTGTGCTGAAGGATTCTCATTAGATGGATTCGTTTCACTGTTTTTACTTGTTGGATGGTGTATGGGGACTTTCCTGGCTGACTCAGGAGCAGCTTTCTTTGAAAGCTGGCATTTCTTGGAGACTGATTTGCAGTACTACTGGGCAAAAGATGATCAAACGGATTCTTCTCTTCCCTGACAGGAAGTAGCAGCAGCTCTCTGCGCTCCTTGCATTTTCTGGGCTAAGGTATAAGGGTGATCAGGAGGCTGCAGTGAGGGAAAGTGAGCATATAAATCTAAGGAACACAGTATTCTGCTCTAAGATTCATTTGAGACAAACTGTTAGCTTTTTCTTTCTCTGCGTAACTTGCTTTTGAGACATGGGAGGCATCCTGAATTCTGAGTCTCACCTAGACTCAGTCCTGGGATGAGCAAAGGCAATGATCACATACAACAGTAATGACTGTTCTTTTTTCTCTTGCTCTGTCAGTATGGAATATGATGTTGGTTTCCAGTCAAATTTTATTGATTTAACTGGTACCATAAATCCTTTCTTGTCTCCTTATGTGCTTTGATTAAAATTTGGAGAAACATATGCTTTGCTCGTGTCTCAAAAATTCCTTGAAGGTGCTTGATTTTTTTAAAAAGGTGAGTGTTGAGCTGTGCTTTAAAAGTAAGACATTGAGAGTATCAGTCTGCATACTCAGAGACACTGATCTTTTTAATTCCAGCTGCACCCTACGCAAGATGTAGACTCCTAAGTGTGTTTAGCTGAAGTTACCACTGTATAAGCATATCCTTGTTTGTGAGGTCCAACACAGAAATAAAATGTTGCAAGAAAGCAAGGATGTTTTAGAAAATGATCTTCATTTAAGTGTAACAAAGATAAAACTGTTCATAATTTCAGAGTTGGATTGATTGAGCACAATCCCACATTGTCTGACAACTTTCAGGTTTGTTAGAGGGGGCATTCAAAACAGGCTGTGAACATGACTGTGTTTCCCTGAAAGTTCTTCTTTTCCAGTTGGGTAAAAGTTTGAAAATGTTGTAAGGGATGTAGGAGCGGAGAGGAGAGCATTAACTGCCTCTTTCCAGTAAATAATGGTGAAGCAGTGGAGAATGTGGTTTCAGGCACTGAGCTCTGAGGATAAAGCTCCACTGAGATGTTTTTGAGTCCTTCTGGTCAAAGGTCATCTTTGGGTGCTTTGCAGATTGTTGATGTTTTGAGCAGTTTACATTTAGTCTTGCATTGAACGTTTCTTAAATGCTTATCGTGACTCAGAACTCCTTAGTAATGAGTGGTAAGAAACTTGGATCCTCAAACTGGCACGAATGGATTATGTGGTGGTTTAATTCTAAAATACCAAGGGTTTTGTAAAAACAAAGAATTAGCAAACTAATTAGCATGAGCAGTGCCTATCGGGGCTCTCGCAGAAGAAAATGTGGTGATGAATGTAAATTGAAGGCTCAGTGACGTGCACTTGTTGGAATTAGCTGTCAAGTAGTTGCAGAGAGGTAAAATGAATATTTGAACTGTGTGCATCTTGTGGCCAGCATTTGTTTGTAGGAACAGGTATGGGATGCACTTTGTTGAAGGTTGAAACAGACTTGCTGCTGACAGCTGGGAATTGGGAGTTAGCCTAACCAAGCAAGCATGCGTTGCATGCACAGCTGTCTGAACACAGCTCCTAAGTGTAGAAAGTAAAGGGGGATTTCCTTGCACTTGCATCATGTATTTTGAATTTGGCTTCATTAAAGGATGCTGTTGGTTTCCAGGGCTAGAACAGTAGAGAGAGTTCCGGAGGCAATAAATATTGATAGTTTCTTCTTACTCATGGATGATTTTATCAGGTCATCAGTCTCTCTGCTCTGTCTGTCCAAACCATAAAGTGAAAATTATATCCATTTAAGGAAGAATCTAAGACGTGTGAAAAAGCAAGAATGAGTTAAATATTCCCATTCAACTTCTTGTGTTGTTGAAATATTAACTCTTTAACTCTACCATGCTATGTTTTGCCTCTACTAAAGACTGTCCATTATTTTGGAATTTCTTCTTTCTAGAAACATTTCCGTTTTCTGGGGAGGAAGATATGAGTGACCCAGAGGCTTTGAAATCTTTACTTTCCCTCCAGTGGAAGAATAAAGCACCTAATTTCCCAGCTGAAAGAAAATTCAATGCAGCTGCTGCCCTGAGTGAGCCATACTGTGCTGTCTGTACCCTCTTTTACCCATATAACCAGGTAATTCCTGAAACTGCTCTGCTGGATGGGTTGGTGCTGAGTGCTGAATGGTGACTGTGAAAGAGTGCAGATCTTCAAAAGAAAGAGGCAAGTCTCATACAAGTGTGTGCCTCAAAGAAGTGTTTGGATTTGGCTGAGGCAGTGGGTCAGGCCTTCCCCACTATCTCTTCTGGATGCTCTAGCTTTCTCAGCTTTCATTATTTAAATGGCACATACAGAGCTTTGCATTGCAAACCCTGTTTCATGCAGAGAAGCAGTGTCATATTGGGCCTATGAGTGCTCCTGTTTAGATGCGTGCCTGGATTTTTGAATATATGCAAACAAGCAGCAAAATGAAGATTTATTCAGTAAGCATATGGATCATTTTTTTGAAACTACCAATATGCTTTGAGATGTATTATAGCAGAAAGGCAGAATTTGTCAGGTGAATTAGTTATTTGCCCAGTTGTGCATTGATTTGTTCTTGTGTGCTAATGGAGCCAAAAGGAGTGTGTGTGTGCATTTTGGAGGCCTTTTCTGAGAAAAGCAGGACACTCCTCCGCCTACAATTGAATATTGAGAATAGAGTATCTATTCAGAATTCCCAAATGTTGTTGTATAAAGGTTGTAAGGAAAGCAGATATAGCTAGAATGTTTTAATCCGTTGTTTTTAACTCTGGTTTGCTACCAGAAAGCTTGAAATGTTCTTCTAGGGAAAATCTTGCAGAAAGAAAAGGGAAGAAAAATGCCAAAAGGATGGAGGGTATCATGGGGAGTGGCGGGAGATCTTGTTTTTACTAATTTCGTTTTCTCCGTAGTGTGTCCAGCTGCAGTTTATGACCTTAGATTTTTACTGAAGGAGAAGGAAGGCTTCTCATTATTCTAATGTTTCTTTGAGTTTTTAAATAAATTGCAAATCCCGGTAGAGGTCTAAAGAAGAGAGAGGAGCAAAATGTGGCGGGTGGAAGAGTGCATGAGAAGATACAGCTTCAGGTTCCTTATCTGTGCTGTGTGGTGTCAGGTGCTTTTTGTAATGGTATTGCTTTGACTTTAAGGTTAAAACTGTGACTAGAGAAGAGTGATGTGATCTTTCTCTTCAAGTCCTTACAGATGGATAAAGAAGCTGTCCCAGTCTCTGTAGGGGAGACCACCTCTTTTGTCCACCTTTCTAAGTGCGGACAGAAGACGAAGCCTCTGATCCCAGAGATGTGCTTTACCTCAAGTGGAGAAAACACAGAGCCCCTTCCTTCAAATTCGTATATTGGGGAAGATGGAACCAGTTCCTTGATATCCTGTGCCAAATGCTGCCTGCAGGTTCATGCTAGTAAGTGTTTCCTTTGCCACCAAAGTGTTTTGGGTATTCTCAGATTTCTTTTTATGCTGTCTGTATTTGTAATCCCTAATGTAGACATGCTTGCTGTTCCTGTCACTTCTACTTCTTCATTTTCTTGTACTAGTATTAGTGTATATTTGAGTCCTTCTTGGCAATAAATATTCATAAAATGTAAACAAATAGCTGATTCTTTTATGCTTCACATAAAAAAGCCTTCATTTTGTTATATTTTGCTTTTTAAAATAAAGCCAAAATCACACAGCTTATTGTACTGTTTTTGTTTGTTCAAGTAGCAGCCTAAGGTAAGAAAAGGTTGGTTTGGTTGTGTTGATTTGGCTGCATTGTACAGAGGAGTTTCTGAGATATATTTTTTATTAGTGTCTTAGTTACTATTTGTAGGAATGACACTTGATTACAAAAAGGAACATATGTCTGTTTGTTTCTCTGCGTTCTGTCTAAAAGAAGAACTGATTAATCCTCGTTGAGTGTACCTTTGCTGTAGATTGTATGACATCCAGTTAACATTTGCACTTGTACTGGATGTGACAATTACTGTTCAGCTGTTTGATCTTGACAGATGGGAAATCCTATTTGCCTTGCATAGTTGGAATTACTTTTGTTGTTCCAACTTAATAGTCCACAGGTCACCACGCAGCTCAGTATGGCTGTCTCTTCTGGAGAACTAAAGCACAGCTGTTGTTTCCATACTGCAGCTGTGATTATGGTCGCTCACTTGTGGTTAATAAGAGCAAATGATAAAGAGAGAGCGTGACTGTTTTCTTTTTTCCCCCTACAAACTGTGGTCTCTAGTGATCAGACCAGAGATGCTGGATCTTGTGCATGCTATGTCTTCACTAGACTAGTCTATCAAAGTAGTTTCTGTGGCCAAACTCTGATTTAGTTAGAGAGTCATGTGGTCAAAGTGATGTTAATCTGCAGTCTCGGACACTGTGTAGAGAAACTGAGCTTTCTGTTTTATCTGTGCCTTGCCCTTGGGAATAGGGCTTAACTTCTGTGCTCTAGTCTGATGTGGTTTCAAGTGTCTGCTTTGTTTCCATGTTACTGTTTGTACCACCAAACTGTGATATACCTTTGACTGCTGCAGAGAGTCCATTTGCTTTTATTATAGGATTGCAGTGTTCAGTTGCTGTTAGGTTCATCTGACAGCATGCTGTGAAACTTGGCAGTCTGCTTGCTATTGAGAAGTGCCCTTACCCAACCCAAGCGATAGGTTATGACAACAGCAAGGACACAGAGAAGAAAGCTTTTGCAGAGGTCTTTAGGCTTTTAAGGTGTTGGCAAATCCATGAAAAGGGCACATGTTCTTGTACCTTTGCCATCGTTGTTAAGGGAGAATCTGGGATTCAGTAAGCCCTGACTATTTCTCCCCTCGGATCCTATAGCCCAGCTCCCTGTGGACTTGAAGCAAGAAATAGTGCTATTCTACATCCTGTTGAGCTCCAGCAATATTTCAGTCAAGGGTGTCAGTTTCTCTTGCAGTTCAGTTTCCAGGTTAGTTTTTAAAGATTCATCATCCCTGTCTGTTTTCCAGGATTGAGTTGAATGTGCTTTCTTGGTTTGCCATGTGATAAAGAGAGACTTAATGTAGGGGAGACAGCTGTGGATCTATATTATCGACTTTTTTGACAAACAGTTTGTCTGGTTAAGTGGATAATTTTTATAAATCCAGTTATGGTGGCAGTCTCAGTGCTTTCTGAATAACTTCTTTTAGGTTTTATTCAGTAATTTGAGACTGTCCAGCTGATCTTTTATGTTCATTTCTGTTAGGAGAGCATGAAGATCATGTGTTGAGCTTTGTGTTAGCTAGGATGCTGACCAGCAGTTTATAAATATGTTTGGTTTTCTGCTGCAGAGTAGCATTTCTTTGCAAGATGGTAGAATCATAGATACACTTCAAAAAAAAAAAAAAAAAAAAAAAAAGTTTGTGTCTTCTGTCGTTATTCAGTAGCAAGCCTCAGCACCTGTTACAGAGTTTTAAGGGCTTTAGAGTCTTTCTTCTCTGTGTTTGTTATAATCATTATGGGACTTTCCTGTTTTGGTGCTGCTGAGAAGTACGCTGGTGCTTACATAGCACAGTAATAGATGCCCTGTAAAATCAGTTGCTTCTAGTATTTTGTATAACCAGAAATTAGAGGTAGTTTAAATGCTGTTAAATGTGAAATGCACGTGTTTAATTTTGTTGTGGTATTGCTGCTTCTTCTTGCTTAGAAAACCTTTAGCAGAAATGATGTTCTGAATTCAGTGGTCTTAACTGTTTTGATGTGCAAGTGAAGCCCAGCAGTAGTAATTTTACTGTAATTCCAGTCCTTGCTTAAAGGGTCAAAGTACTCAGGGTTTTCTCCGTGTATTTTTTTAGCTTAGTGTTTTGTTCTCAGACCTGTTGGTCCAAATTCTGTCCGCTCCCTGAGAATGACTTTCCTTATTTATTCAAATGCTGCTCCCAGTTTCAAATATATTTGTGAACTGAACAGGCAACAAATTAGTACTACAGAAATAGTAGCAGAACTCTGATGTGTGCAACTCCATTTCTTTCAGGCTGTTATGGAATACGTCCAGATTTGGTGAATGAGAGCTGGTCTTGCTCACGATGCTCAGCCAATGCATGGGCAGCGGTAAGCATCTACTCTTCTGGAGACAGAGTTGATGAGATACTTCCACAGCGATGGGTGGTGGGAGGGTACTTTTTGCCTTTGCATCCCAGGCATAGTTGTTTTTTTCTGAAAGATCTGGCAGACCTTTCCAGTCCTGCTCTGAAGTAGTTTTGTTACTACAGGAATGCTGCCTGTGTAATCTCAGGGGAGGAGCTCTTCAGATGACCACTGATGGGCGGTAAGTAATGTTTTTAAATGTTTTGTTCTTCCCTTTTTCATCTCATATTTGATGCTGTGAGTTTGGGCTTGATGCTCAGTGTATCAGCAATTTTTGGCATTGTGGAAGTAACTGCTACTCACTAAATTGGCAGGGTGAACTTTGGTAACTGCTGTCTTACAGGTGGGACCAGATTTTTCAGTAGCAGGGTTATGTGGCCCTGAACACTCTTAAATTTGGTTCCTTCTCAGTGAAAGTTTTTTTTTTTTTTTTTTTTCAGAAAACAGTTAGTATCATTCACCATCAAACGCCTAAGAAGATTGAACCCTATTGTTCCAGAGAACTTTACCTTGGCAACAGTGATTAACAGATTAGTTAGTAATATTGCCAAGGCTGCAACCACCATCATAAACATTCCTTGATACTGTAGGTGAAGGAGTCAGAGAAATGTTAACTGCCCCCTGGAGTGTTTACTTCAAATAGTGGTGTACTTTGTTTCCTCTTTACCTCTTTTTCCAGGTGGGTCCATATAATTTGTGCTATTGCTGTCCCTGAGGCCCGTTTTCTCAACGTAATAGAGCGTCATCCTGTGGATATCACTGCTATTCCAGAGCAAAGATGGAAACTGGTAGGTGTCTTCTGGTGTTGGTGTTCTCACTCTTTTCCCCGGAAATCATAGAATCATAGAATGGTTTGGGTTGGAAGAGACCTTTAAGATCATCTAGTTCCAATGTCGCTGCTATGGGCAGGGACACCTCCCTCTAGACCAGGTTGCTCTAAGTGCCGCCCAGCATGGTTTTGAATCCTTCCAGGGAAGGGGCATCCACAACCTCACTGAGAAGCCTGTTCCAGTGTCTCCCCACCCTCACGCTAAAGAATTTCTTCCTGATATCTAGTCTAAATCTACCCTCTTCCTGTTTAAAGCTATTTCCCTTATCACTGCATGCCCTTATAAAAATGAACTAGGGAGCTGTATTATTTGCATGTGTTCTTGAGATGCTAAGTGTCTGATATGTAAGCAACCAGTGTGCCTTTAGTCTCTAGGAATGTTCTCTTTACCCTAGATGGAGCCTGGGATATTTACTCACCTCACAGTGGGGGTTAAACAAAGTACTGCATGGCCGGGAGTGGGCTGGGAGATGGTAACTGGAAAGAAGCTGATGTATACTGACTAGTTCACCTTTAATTTGTTTTAACTTTACTTAAAGTATTTCTCTTTGTTCATCAAGAAATGTATTGTAGAAATCAACAAACATTTGTGTGTGACCATGACTGTGAGACACCGCAAAGATCTTAGTAAAAGTCCAGCTACAGTTTCTTATCTAGCTGCACATAGTTTCATATGAGGGATTAGTAATGGATGATTCATTAGCTCAGTGCAATTAATCTTTACGTTAGTTAATGCTCCATCTCTATACTGTGTTATTGCAAAATAAATCATGCTTTTGCTGCTTATTTTGTACAGAATTCAGTTGGATAATAGTTGAGTGTGGTATGGGGGAAGGTGATGTTAGCAGTGATACATTGGTTAGCACTGATGTATTTGTTCACTGTGCAGCTATTTAGTGCAGGCAGCCCAGACAGGCCTGGGTGAGAGATTAGGAGGAATCTGTCTGCTTCTAGAGTTATTTCTGTTGTGCAAATGGGTTCTGTACACAAATGTGAATGTAAAAAGCATTCATTATTAAAGTAGAGTGATGGAGCAGCGTGGTGTGAGAGTGATAAATCTTACAGCACTGGGTCTTCATGGATCATCTGACATTTCCAGCATGCATCCTCTTCATTACCACACTTGTAATGATGAACCAAAAATCCTTTTGCACAAGACTTACTTGTACTGCTTAATGGAGCCTCACAAGAAAATATTGTCTTAATTCTTTAATTCTCCTGTGGCTACCCTACAATCCTATAGAGCCTGGCTCCTATTAGCACAAGTAAAACTTTGCTGCTTCATTCTGCACTGACGGCTGTTCCACCCGAAGCCTCACTGACCTCCTACATGTCTTTATGTCTGAATTAAAGCTTTGTAGTTCTGTTAATTTATTCGGTGTTGTATTCCTTTTACGCTGTAGGTGTTATGATGTAAGAAGGAGACTTTTAACCTAATTACTGATTACGAAAATAATTCTGCTCTGTTGGTCATACTTACGAACGCTATTATGGAATGGATGCGTGCTCTGTCAGTGTCTGTTGAAAATAGGTTATTGGTGTTGCCACCACATTTAATGTGACATTCATAGTTGGATTGGAGCGGACCTCAAAGATCATCAAGTTCCTTTGAGCGCATTTGATTTGGAAAAGAAAGCAAATATTCTTGAGCTAAAACTTGAAATCAGTTTAGTGTTATGAACTAGTAAAGATTAATAATAATTGAGATGTAAGGGCGGTGGGACTTCTGCCAGCAGTTTATCTAGGAAGCCATACTGAAGCTTGCTGAAAGGCAGTGGTGTTAGATCTGGTCTTGTCGTTGAAGTTGATGTAATGCTAGATAAAATTAGAGTTGACTTTTCTTGCTGAAAAAGATGGAAGAAGATAGAAGAAGTAACATGAAGATTAGTTGAAATGAGTAGATAAGACTTCTATCTGTGATTATTACTATTATTTATTGTTGTTGTTTTCAATACATTAAGTTACTGTGAGAGGGCTGATGTGTCAAGGAGTTACAATGACCTGTTTGAGGAGTATCTCCTGTTGTACAGACTTACACCAGGCCTCCGTTTTGCAGCCCAGACTTACCAGTTCATTGATGGGTATTGCATCATTTGAAGAATGCAGTTTGCTTGCTTCCTGATTAATGGTGTATTACAAGCCTGTGTGCATAAATTATTTCTGATGTGGAAATTTGGAATAATTAGCTGTCATTCCTCAGTGGAATAAATGAATTGCAGTGTTCATCAAGCGGGAAACAGCCCATTCCTCACCTCCAGCTATGACCCAGCTCTCTGATGTGCATTCATTCTGAAGATTTTTGTTCTGGGCTTTAGACCTTCTCACATCTTCCCTCCCTCAGAAAACATCTTTAATCTTGCACGTGCTGCTTCCCTGCAGTACTTAGCACTTGTGCTTTTAAGCATCCCATCTCCCACGCTTCCAGATGTTCAACGCTCTTACTCCCTCCACATCTCCTGCATTTCAGTCTCACTGTGGCTCTCATTTTCCTTTATCCTTTGATCGTATTTGCTCTTGATATTCCATTTGTGAATCTCTCTTCTCTGTCATGAGAAATTTGTTTGCCGCTCGGGTGTCATTAAAAGCGTGCTAATCCTCTTGTCTTGGAAGAGTCCTGTTTGCATCAATAAGGGGAGGTTCCTGATGCTTGAGGGTTAATACTCCCTGGAGAAGCAGTATTGAGCGCACTGTAGATCAGCAGTTGTCCCTGCTGGTGAGAGAATTAGGTATTGACAGTTTAATAATGAGATCTCATTGCTATTGACTTGCTTTCAGTGCTGTGTTCCTGCTGTGCACTTTGCTGTAGTGCTTATCTGGCTTTTGAACATGGTTTACAGAATGATAAAGGCATAGCTTATTAAATAAAACAGAAAAAAAAACCAACCCACATTCTGGCAACAGTAAGGCCCTGACTTTGAATTTCCTGGCTTTTGTTAATGCTAGTAAAGAAGTCCAAATTAATCTTTGTTGTAAACATACTGACTTAATTTAACTCACAGGAAGTGAATTTGACTTCAGATCCTTGTGGGATGGGTCATGGCTGGGGAGCGGCTGGCTGGCAAGAAGGCATCTCCCTTTCTTTTGTGTGTTTTGCTTTGAAGGAAGAAAGAAATATTCTTTGGAGAAGGAATGGTTTTTATTTGCCTTGGCAAAGCTTTGTAGCTCTTACCTGGGTCCCATGCACTATGAGAACGCAAATATAACTCTGAAATTTGGCAGTTCTTTGTTTGCATTTATTATGTAATTTACAGTGCTTTATGGCTCTTCATATTTTTGAGGATACGCTCTTCAGTTATGTCAGATCTGGAAGCAGAGTGAATTTGTACTTCTGGGAGCTGTATAGGCTGACTGTGTGAGCTCAGGCAGCTTATATTGCATTGCTAATCCTATGGGATGCAGTCATTCATGCGGATCTTACAGCTCAGGTCATGAGTTCCGTGATGATGTGTGCTTTGAACAGTGCATTAACAGGACTGAAGTAAATGAGAGACCATGAAGATGTAACGAGGAAAAGAGAGACCATCAGACACGTCAGTTTAACATCAGACACCGCAGAGAGAGAAAGACTGTGATGCATTGCATCATGTGTGATTATGGGACACTTATATTCCAGTGGATGGATGGTTTAGGATGGAGACAGTCAATCAGACAGTGAGGCAGTGGCTGAGATGAGCCATGTAGTGTGTTTGGAGATGGTCATCTAGAAATGGGCACTAAAAATTATCACATTGCTCTGTTCCTTCTTGTATATGGGAATAGTTTCTCTAATAACTAAATTACTGGGATGTATAGTCAGATTCATGGGTGTATGATGTCTCTCAGGATTTTATTTATTTGAAGTACCACAATTCATTCTAACAAGTAAAACGCATGTTTATCTCAGGCGTGGTAATTTCCCTGATTTGCCTCATCTGAGAAGCCTCAGCCAAGGTGAAGAAGCTGTCATCAATCAGTGACAGACTCTCCGCTTAAGATCTTAAAAGCTTAAGAGTGGCATTTCCAAATAGTTGCATGGAAATATTACCATCCAAGGGACTGGGACAACCAAAATCTCATCCGTATTTCTGAGGGAAACAATTTGGTGCTCCTAGGGGATGAATGAGGAGGTTCATCTTGTTTCCTATTGACATCTAATACTGGCTTTCGGCCCCCAAAAAGCTTTTAAAGCAGTCATGTCTTAAATTGCTTAGCCATTCCCCTTAGGTTCTGTCTTGTTAGATGAGCTTAATGAATAGATCTGCTTTGCAGAAGATGTTTTAAAAATACCGAAAGATCTCATACTACTTTCCCTTGCAATTCTGATGTTTGGTACTAGATTTTTATTTTTTCTGTTGTTTGCCATATCTAATTTAACACACATTCCAATAAAACATTTTCAGTTGATATGTTTTTATCAAAACATAGAAACAAAACAAAGCAAAAAAAAAAACAACCCAGATAATGTTTTGTTCCATTACAAGAAATGATATTCTGTTAGATCCACTAGATGTAACATTCCACTGAATAGAATAGAACAAAGTATTACATAGTTATCCCGTGTTCCATTCTTTCTGAAAACGAAAGCATCACTTTATTGCAGTGTAGCTGTGAAGATTTAGCTGCCGCTTGAAATAACTGCTGTTGTGTATATTAAGGGAGATGAGTATTACATTGCAGCCATTCTTAGGTAATACTGATGTGTGTTTGTCTGCCGTATCCTCCTTTTCAGTCTCAAATTGGGTTTAAGACTCCTCACTGTTAGTATGGTGCTGGAGGACTGAATTAGCGGTAGATGTCATCACATTTGTGGGAACGACGTCAGTTTGTGCTGTGGTTCCTTGGCTTGTAAGTGATTCTAGGCTGGTAGTTGGACGGGCAGCTCTGGTAGTATCAGACTTGATTCCCCAGCATGAAACATCCCAAGTTTTGGTTGTGGCTTCTTTGTGCATACACTAATGGTGTATACATTTGTGCTATATAATAAATTCTGACCTTGTTGGTCATCAGGGTGGCAGTATGTCGCCTTAAAGCTATTGTTACTGCATGATGCTGATTTGTTCTTCTTCTCAGAAATGTGTGTACTGTCGAAAGCGGATGAAGAAGGTGTCTGGTGCCTGCATCCAGTGCTCCTACGAGCACTGCTCCACTTCCTTCCACGTGACCTGTGCGCATGCTGCTGGCGTGCCCATGGAGCCCGATGACTGGCCCTACGTCGTGTCCATCACTTGCTTCAAACACAAAGCAGCCAACCAGAATGTGAGTTTGCTGGTTGCTTGTTTTTGTTTTCCTGCACCTGTATTTTTAGCACAGCTTTTCCAATTGCATATTTCTTCCTTTCCTCTGCCAAACAGATTCAGTTTCGAAGGGAAGTGACTCTTGGACAGACTGTGATCACAAAAAACCGGAATGGACTCTACTACAGGTGTAAAGTGATCGGCATGACGACACAGACTTTCTATGAAGTAAACTTTGATGATGGGTCATACAGTGACAACGTTTACCCAGAAAGCATTATTGTAAGCAGCTAACTATGAAGGCTATTAAGTTATAAATGAGTGTACCCTCATGCTGTTCTTCATCTTTGTCCTTCCTCTATGACTTTATTTCATTTCATTATTCTGCTCCTTTACAAAGATGTGGTTTTTCTGTATGTGTAGGACTTAACAGAAAGCAGTGCTTGTTTTGAGTTGCATCCTGTTTGTTTTGTGGTTGAATAATCTCTGGTTTTTCAACTGACAACTGTGATTCATGGGGGAAGCAGATTGTCTGTAAGCGCTTCTGGTTGAAAATAGGAAATATGCTTAATAGAAGGAATGTATAAAAAAGGCTGACTTGTCATCTCATGCTTTTTCTTCCTGATTGAGCCATTGATTCACCACATGAAACATAGCAAGTCAACCCACATGTTTTTGTTGACATTGGCAATTTCATGGTTTGGGATCTGTAATGAGAAATTTTCTAGAACTGAGTACTGTCACCAGAAGGTGCAAGTGTTTTATTTCTCTTTTTTCACAGTTTATTGGTTTATTTGAGATTAGTTAATCACAAATCTAGTAGCTTTCTCCTGCTTAATTGTAGTATTATGTGGCAACTTCCCTGAGTAGTGACCTCTTCTACTAGTTGTTGAGCTTTGTCTGTTCTGACTGTCTGACCTCTTTGTCTCTATGTCTTCAGAGCAGAGACTGCATTCAACTGGGGCCCCCTCCAGAGGGTGAGATGGTTCAACTGCAGTGGACGGATGGAATCATCTATAAGGCCAAGTTTATTGCAGCCCAGATCAGTCATATTTATCAGGTATGCACAGAGGAGTACTTACATGCTTCATGTCAGTATGTCTGACGGTTGCCCTAATTGCTCCCTGGGTACTTGGATGCTTACTCTGAAGAGAGGTGTTTACTCATGAAGAGGGAATTTGCTTTCTGGAGTTAATACTATTCGTAGTCTAAAGAGACATGTAGTGTTACAGTAAGATCGCGATAAAGGTTTTCTGTGACAGAATATGGATGTATGAATAGAAGTATGTCTAGACTGTGCTTTTAAAACATAAGCTTTTCTTACAGTGAGAAAAACACGCAGCTTTTTGTTTAGAGTTGTGCAGGTCTTTCACTCGGATCTAAGAATAAAAAGAGAGTAAGTAAAACAAAAGGATTTGTTAAAGTCAATACAAGATCGTTTGGCATGAAGTAGCTTTCCTCTTGAAAGTAAACGTCTTTGCTCTTTACATGGACAAAGAGGCAACAGGTTGGTCTCCAGAAGGTGCTCCTTTCCTGTGACCCGTAGTAATTGTTTCCTGTCTGAGCTTTCACCATTATCAAGAAGCTTCTACACAGGAACGTGCCCACACCAGAGAGCCTGTGGAGGAAAAGCCATTCACCTCCATTGTGGGGAAAAGAATTTAACAGCTGGTGGCTCAGCTTTGTTAGTGATGAAACAACTCAGGTCAAAGTGATCTGCTCTCAGTATTCTCTGATGGCTGTCCAATGAGTTGTGCTAATGTAGCTCATGACCTAGAGTTTCCCATGAGTCAGTATTTAAATAATTAAAACTTTGCTTGAGAATTCAAGAGAAAGTAAGAGAAATGATGTATCGGGAGACTATTTGTAGTCATGGGAAGGGACTTTGCAGAGGAGTAGCAGTGTGTAAGAATAATAACCTCATATACTCTCACCACCTCCATTTTTAAGATGAGAAGAATAGCAGGCAGTTTTTGGTCTTTGAGTCTGTTGCACAGACAGAATCTTTGTTTCTGGAAGGTTGTGATAGTGAATAAAAGAAGATTTAACCTGGTACACAGTATTTCAGCAGAAGGTTTTATAAGATGCAGTATGTTCATATGACTGAATCTATTTTAAATGGTACCAAGAAGTTGAAAATAACAGTGATTTGTAAAGGAAGGTGTACTTCCTGCACATTCTTTTGGAAAATACATTCTGGGATTTGCAAAGAATTGTTATTTTAAAGAGGTTGGTGCCCCTGGAGAATTGTAAAAGGCAAAGGAAGTCCCAAATCTTGCATTTGTTTGAAATTGAGTTTGGATTTCTATCCTTTCTGCACAGAGTGTTTCATATCTGTGTGCCAGGAGCACAATAGCCCACCTTGTTAGTTAACAGTCTTTTTTGTGTGCGTAATGGAAGGCAGCTGCTTCAGAGAAGATGTGATCCAGGTGACCCAGGTTATGAATAAGTACAATACGTTGTTCTATGAAGATCTATTTTTATGCATGCTTTCCAGTTTAATCACACTATAGGAAATTGTCATTGATTTCTTGAAAGTAAAATAATTTGAAATAGGCTATTACACTTTGAGTGCCAGATGACAGAAAAATATGCATGAGGAGCCTGTGTTTTTCAAATCACACGGTTACCTATAAGTAAAGTAAAGCTCCTCTCTGTGGGGAAAACAGCCTGAATAGCTTTCTACATTGGTTTCCTGTGTGCGTATTTTTTTCAGCAGTTGCTGTGAATCTCTATTGTCTGTCTTGGAATAGGACTGTATTTAATAACACAGTGACAGTTCTGTCGTGAAATTAGTGTGTTCAGATTAAGACAGCATGGATTAGCTTTGGATTTTAAACTTGTCCTGTCCTATTTTGCAGTGGCTTTCGAATTCGCATCTCTAAGTTTGCATTTTGTGTGCTAAAATTAGATCTGTATATATATATATATATATATATATATATATATATATATATATATATATGTATATATATGTATATATATGTATATGTCTGTTAGTTCAAACAACTTTTAACATACTCTAATGTGTATTCTTAAGAGGATCTTGAGCCATATCAGTAGTTTGGAACTGTAATAAACAAAATGCAGCCATTGTGTGATAGCTGAAGATGTCATTGCCCTATGCTGCCAGTCCTCCCTTGCTGCTGAAGTTGAGCACGTGCAGTGGAAATGGCAGACAGGAGTCTGCTTGTAGCTAGTTCACTTGTTCCCTAGTGATCTGTAAAACCTCAGAGTAAATGCGAGTGGTAGCATCTTAAACCAGCTCGGCAGAGCTCATCTTTCAAAGATTGTTCTCCTACCTGCTTAGTTATTACTGTTGGGGTGCATTGCTCAGCTAAGGCACCTCAGCAGGCATCACAGATCTTGGGTAGCTAATCAGTTGTAAGATCTGGACAGCGCAGGAGGAGCTCGGAGTGCAGGTGCTCACTTCTTGCTGAACATGCCCAGTCTGAACCTGATGTCCCACATTAACTGCTATGTGTCTTTCTGCATTATGCAGAGAAGTATAAGCCCTAAGCAAAGGAAGTGAGCATCTCTTAAAAACTTCTAATAATTTTAACAATTTTTTATGCATGTTTCCATGAATAAACGTTGCTGTAACAACTGATTCAAAATTCATGACACAATCAGTGCTTAGTGCATAAGATTTAACATGAGGACTTACCACCAGTTCTTGTACCTGACTATTTCTGCTTAATGGAAATGTATTTGAGTAGCTGCCGTTGTTTCCTTATGACGTGTAAAAATGCTTTGTTTATGATGAAAGAAATTCTTATTACCGTATTGGTCTGAATACAGGGCTGCTTTTTATTATAAGTGAAAAGCTGTTCTTTTTTCAGGATTTGAGTTAAAAAAAAAAAATCGGTGGAAATTTCTAGCCCTCAGGCTGGGAGGGGATAGCAGGCATGCTGTAGCACAACCATTCTAATCTGCAGGAGCACTGAATGAAACTGCTTGGGCCAGATAAAACGGATGCCTGAGCAGCACTAAAACCTGGATCCTGGGTTCAGACTTATTAAAGCTCATTCTACAGCAAAGCTAGAGAGATGCAGAGCCAAGAACAGTGAATCATCCATGGAGCTGGCTTGCTGATACTTCCCACAAAGGGACCATGCTTGGCATTATCTGGGAGTGAACTGATCATGTATTGTGAATCTAGAAGCCAAACATTCTTATTTCATTTTCTTTCTACTGTGCAGGTTGAGTTTGAAGATGGCTCCCAACTAATGGTAAAGCGTGGTGATATTTATACCTTGGAGGAGGAGCTTCCAAAGAGAGTGAAGTCTCGCTTGGTGAGTATTGAAGTAAAAGAAACAATGAAGTGGCTGTGGCTTGAAGTACTTGCTCACTTTTTCTTAACATATTGTTTAGACATTAGGTGAACGCATTTTCTGTGGCTGTAAAATTCCCGGTCACTCAAAAAATATGTAGAGTCACTGAGATCTTTGGTGTGTAAATGCTTGAGAGCATGTATATGTTTTTTTTTCCTTATATGTTCAGACTTGATTCTTGTATTCTCTGGTTAAAAGATTATTTCCTACTATTTTACGTCATGAATTTAGTTATATGGACTGCCGCTGTATCTCAGTGCTGCCTTTCAGCTTGAATTAGATGGATTGGCCTACAGCTAAGTGCTTTCTGGAGAATTGACTTAGTGACATAGGAGCAAAGCCATTTCTTACCAAACAGGAGAGTTAAAACATGATCCTTACAGAGCTCTTGTCTAAAAGATCACCCTGCCTTTAAATGCATGCAACTGAAATATTCGGCCTAGAAAATGAGGGTTTATTGCTGGATGTTTTCAGATCTCATCCTTCGACCATTATTAAAACAAACACTGAGACCAGATTCGATGCCAATGAAGATATAGCTTTCCTCTTCATTCTAAATGTCTGTCATACTAGCTATTGCATGGCAGGGACAGATCTACAGAGTTAATCTGTGATATGTTTGTGGCCTTCAGTCTCTTAACAAATAAAATGATGGTCCAACCATTGCTTAAGAACACACGAACCACTATACCAAGTTGAACCAGTGATTCTCTGAACCACTAGCAGAAGCACAAACTCACTGTCCAAAAATATCTAGTAACAGTTGTTTATGTGGAAAAAAACTCACATTTTATCATGTTTTCCTCAAGTTTGGAGGAAAACTTTGCTTACTCTCAAAAGTGCTTACTTTTATCCAAGTAACGTTTGTAGAACGCTGTCTGAAGCATCTGTAGGGCTTCTCCATCTTCTTAGAGGCACTTCATCTCCACAAGAGGCCTCATGGCATAAATTTTACAGTTAAGTAATAATTTACCTTGTTACCCTCAGAAGATTTTTGGTGACAAAGACGCATCCTAGAATTGTTTTTCAGGATACAGGATTTGGGAAACAGCATATTCTCTGCAGTGGAGACTATTGGGCTTTATATCAGTCCCAGGGAGAGGAATGTAGGCTCTAAAGTGAACAAAATGTTTCAAGCCTGGCTGAAAGCTCAGATTCTTCTCCTACGCGTTCTGCTCCCAAAGACTTTAGATGAAACTCCTCAGAAGTGATGCTCGTGGTGCTTTTATAGAGAACAGCAGAACAGAGGAACAAAGCAATAGGAGAAACACATCTCTTTTGAGAGCATAAGAGGAGGATGAACAGAAGCAATCATACAGTCATCTTAGCCCCAAGTGCTTTCTTTGGGTCTTTCCTTTCTTTAACAGACATCAGGGAAGCCCGTTTCCTGTGTGCATTCTAGGAGTGAACAATGTGAAGAGACAGAGGAGGATAAGAGCGAACAGCAAACTGTCAAGGCAGGAATCGAAGTAAAAGATACTCTGATAAAGAAGGAAGGCAACTCAAGTGCTTCTCCTTCCAGTTTGGCTTCAGAAGCCCAGCAGTTTTTCTTTCAGCTTTGTGTGTTTTGGAATTCGGTTTTTCTTCAGAAATTCATTGTATCACTCTTTGCTGCCATGTTATGCCTGCTGCCTGGTTAAGCGGGCGCATTCAGCAGTTTGTGCATGTCTACCTGTGTTTTCCTCCTGTGCTTCTAATACTGTACTCTCATGTCTCCTGCAGTCCCTCAGCACTGGGGCCCCTCAGGAAGATGTATTTTTGGGAGATGAAATGAGAGCAGCCAAGCGTCCCCGGCTGGGGAATGCAAGGAATCCTGAAGAGTACGGACAAAACCCAGATTACTTGGCCTTTATGGAGAGCCTGTTGCAGACACAGTACCAACCTGGCACTCAGAGCAACATGTTTTAACCAGGATTAATTAAATATGAAGTTAACCCTTTTCAAGCCTGTAGAAAAATAACCAGGAAACTCCGGAATATAAGACCAGCGTTGTGCAATACCCTGCTGTGAACTCTTTTCATCATCTTCTGGTTTGGACTGCAAGAAAATCCTGTCTGGCTGCACGCTACCTCTACTTTGCCAGACCAACAGAACTGGGAGCCTGAGAAACCTTCAGGCAGCGTTTCACCTGGAGACTTTCCAGCATTTGTACTGATGGAGCTTTGTGATTAGCTCCTTTTTATAAGGCTTGGAAAGAGTTAAGATTTGACTAAGTGACTTTTTAAAATACGTCAAACTCTTTTGTCTTTAAAGGTGCTATTACACTGACTACTGAAGCAGCCTTTGGAATTGTGTTTTCTGTACATAGAAGTCAACTTTGTGAAGTTTTCTATAAATAAGCACTATTAAAAAAAAAAAAAAAAAAAGCAAACGAAAATAGGAAAACAAAAGTTTCCACAAAACATTTTTTCTAGATTATGGCTTTAAAACAGAAATAAAATCCTCCCCTCTCTCATCCCTCAATGAAATGTGACTAATATTACACTGGGGAGAGAGAAAGCAAGAACAGATGTCCTGGAAAGTTCTGGGTTCCTTTTTGTAAAGAAATACTATCTCATTTGTAATCTGGGGAAGATGGGGAAAGAAATGTTTCATAGCTGGGATGTTTCTTACTGTTAATTCTCTTGAAGAAGTGATAGATGTGAGCATTTCTGCCACGTCAACAGGAAGGGATGTAGTGAAGCAATGACCAGGTTCTGGTCATTCTTGTCATCTTCCTTTCCCATCCTTGCCATAAAAGTTGCTTTCTAGTTTAAAACAAAACAAAACAAAAAAACAAAACAAAACAAAAAAAAAGACAAAAAAAAAAAAAAAGACAAAACATAAAACAAAACCAACAAAGAGCATGGCTTTCAGTTATAATATGCCACTCGGTTTTGGCAAGTGTTCTGTTGCTGCTTCTTGTGTTAGTTCCTCTAAGAGCCATCCCCTTCCCCGCTGCAGACTAGAGCACAAAGGGATTGTTCTAGCTCTCTGGTAGGCATGTCTCCCATAGGAACCTTTTTTCTTTTCTTTGACTCCATTTTTATTTTTCTGAGTTGTGCTCCTTACAGTTGTGAGAATCATTCCATGACAGAAGCCCGGGAGGTGTTTGTATGTTTTTCTTTTATCCTATTAAAGAAGAAATTCCCCAAATGTCTTTGATTGTTGTGACATCCTTTACTTAAGTAAAGACTGAGCCTTTAAGATACTCCTGGGAAGAGGAATGCAAGCCCTTCATTTAATTGGACTCAGTTCACCGAGAATTGAATGAGCATTAAAGGCAAAAACAAATCCTCAGATATTGAGCAGGCAGCTCCCGCTTGGACACTTGGAAATCACCTCCAATCGAAGAGCTGTTATGGAAGAGTGTTTTGTAAAAGCCTGAACCAAAACCCTGCTGGAGTCACTGGAAAGTCCTCCACTTTCTTTGGAGGAGCTCTATCAGAAGGAAGGATGAATGCAGCCCTGGTGCAAAGCTGGGAAGGGGATGTGGCTTCCAGAATATCTGGGTGAGGGGGGCAGGGGTGCATCGCTGCTCACCTGGATGTCCTGGCCTGGCAGAAGCTGTCCTGAATGCTGCATGGCAGTCTTTTCCACTTAATTTCCTGAAATCACTTGGACAGAAAGAGACTATTCCAATATTCTTTTTCTTTTTTTGTTCTTTTAAGCCCCTTTGCAAGGTGGTCGTTGTTCTGTGGAATGGTTTTTAAGCAGTGCTATAGTTGGATCTTTGAGGGAATAAGTGGGAAGGATTTGTGGACTAGCAGATAGTAGCTGAGCATCTTACAAGACTTGATAGGTATTAAACTGCCCTACTGAAGAGTGGAGACAGTAATTTTTTTTTAGTTTTCTTTTTGGCTTTTTGTTCTCTCTTGAGAGAATTTCAGTTCCCTTTATTTCTTACTGCCTCTGCTGTGGGTTACTTTCTTTGTGTGCACACGTGCGTATTTGTAAGAAGTTTGAAATAGGGTTTTTTATTTTTGAGGTTTCGGTGTTTTCAATGGAAGTCTGGGAATCCAACAGAGACTAATAGAAGTTTTCAACATTGGCAGGGTTCTTAAAAGCCTCAGTTGTTACTCCTATGTAGCTGTCTCCTGTCAGTTAGAGCATCGTTTAATAGAAAGCTTGCTTGTATAAAAGAAAAGGAATGTTGCCAGGCCTTGGAGAAATATTTAAAGCAGCTGAGAGAATTTGAACAGCAGAGGAGTTTTTTTAGGAGGGGGAGGGAAAGGGTGGGATGAGATGAGATGAGTGGTTGTGAGTGACAGGGAATTTCCTCTGCATGTAAAGTCCTGACTGAAATAGCATCATTACTGTGTTCATATGTAGTACTCTTTTAAATACTATTTATACTGTACAAAACAAATTGTGTTTCCTCACCCCATTCTCAGATGATGAGTTATGTTTAAACGTGAACCTGGATCTGTGGAATGCCCTTCCTCGTTGCAGGGGTTCTCCCTTTTTGTTCATTTTTAAATCTCTTTTTGGTTTAGGAATGACTTGTGCAGATTATCTATAATGACTGTGTTGATGGCCTGTGTGCATCAAACTATTGACAAGGAAATAGAAAACGCACAGTCCTACCCTCTCCTTCCTTCAGTGAAATATATTTGTAAGTGTCTACTGATGTGCTATAAAAATGCTGACTTTTTTCTAGATTAAGGATGTGATGTATTTTTCTTTTTTTTTTTTTTTTAACCCTCTGCCTCTAGGTTCATAATGAATTAAAGGCTGTTGAGCACTTCGGAATTACAATTGTTGGAGGGTTGAAGTCTCTTCATTTCTAAGTTTAAAGTAGCTTGTACTGCAGGATAAGAAAGCTCTGCATCTGATTGGGTACCTGAGCCCAGACATGCTAAGACTGTTAAGCAGGAACTTGGTTGTTTTTTTTTTTTTCTTCTTTTTTTCCACTTCTGCTCTGTTAATCATGCAGGAAAACAGGTTTGCACCTCTTCCCAAAATTAGGAACCAAGCTTGCAATGTATTTTTCGTTCAAGGTCCAGGATTTGCTCTAGATTGATGTGTCATAAGGACAGTGGTTACGAAATAGCCAAAGGTTATCCTAATATCCTTTGTCTTATATGTCACCAGTTTGCTACTTCGCTTTGGGAGTGTTTCTCATAGCATTCCAGTAGCCTTCCCTTTAGCCCTTAGAAGTCATGCTGACATTGAACCACTTAAAATATGATCCTTCCTTTGAAGAAATTATTTTCCTTTCTGAGCCCTAATACTTTTCTCCAAATTCCTCTCAAACTTGCAGATGCTGCAGATTACATGAAAGAAAAAGAATCTCCAGCGTTTAATCCTTCATGAGTTAATAGTTTTTTTCTTGAGAAAAATCAGAGCAGTCACAAGTGGGCAGAGGCTGCTGATACAAGTCCATTATAATTTACGTCTGCGCAAAGTTTACCTGTTGAGTTTAAGGTCTTCTATAGTGCTGTAATAAGAACAAATACAATTTTAAACATGTCTTCAGTACTTCCAAGTGACTGCCTGGATCAGACATCAGAAGACAATGTTCAGAACTTATATCACAGCCTCACAGAGTAGAATAGACACTTCTGTGCAAACATCCCTGAAGTCAATATAGGTTTCTGTTACTAGCTCATACTACTGTACTAAACTATAGATGATGTGGGGTTTTAAGCAGCTGTGCTACGCTCAGAGAGTCTTCAGGAAGATGATGTGAGTGCGACAACTGCAGTAGTGCAGAGCACTGCTTCCTATGCTTTCCTCTGTCTATTATTAAATACTGTTTGGGGCTAGGTGGAAAGACTGTAAATGAGCTCAATTCATTGGCCTTTTCTTCTAAACTCTGCAACTTTCCTATCCCTGGAGAAAGGGAGTTTGTATGTATCTTAAACAGCTGAGCTACCTCTCTTACTAAGGCAAGTTTCAGTCCCCCTTTTGCTTTTCCAGTTGTTCCATCTGTGCCAACTCCATCCCTGGGAGGTGCTGCTGTCCTCTCGTCCTGCCCCTGCACAGGATGTTCTACATTACTGGGTGCTGGGTTCCCTCCTGCTTGCCTGTGATTCTGCCCTGCAGAACCATTTCCGAGGACTCAGCTGTTAGCAGACCTGGGTTGTCAAGGTGGGACAAGATGCTGGTATGTGATGCTTTGTCGCACACAAAAGACTGCAACTTTTTCTTACTGCTTTGAGCAAGTCCAGCTTCTTTTGGGCTGCCTAACAGCAGTGTTTCTTCACAATAAATGTGTTCTGAGATATGTAGCATAGGAGCTGATAAAACTCCAGGTCAGTATCACCAACTGTCACATGCACAGTAAAGTAATTTTGTGATAATTGCTGGCAGCAATAAAAAGGCTGGGATCAACACACTACTGCTTCCTGCTCTGAGGCTGGCAGGGACTTTTGTCATATGGCTGGAGACTGGAAAAGTGGGTGGAGAAGCCATTCGTTTACTTCTTATCTGGAGGAAGAAAGATGATTGGCTTGGTAAGAAAAAAAATATTTTTTTTTTCTTTCTTGGTAAAGGAGAAGATTAGAAGACTGTAGAAACAGCAAAGTTGATTGTGCTGAGACTGTTATCTTCTGGCTGCTGCTGAGACTCAGGGGACAGCCCTGACTTCCAAAACTGAAGGATTCCATCTGTAACATGATGGAAAGCACAACAATAACAGCAGAGCAGCAAGATCCCAGGCTGCAGCAAATGAGGATTCACTCAAATGCAACAGCAGCGGGCACAGAAATAAGGGAAAGAAGCTGCTTACCTTCGGACGGCCTCAGGTATGCAAGGACCCCCAGAGAGATCCACTTCCCTCTACTGCCAACCCTTGATTGAGGTCTAGGAAGGGGTGGATCCTGGCTCCATCCCTTCCAGTCACTCAGGGTCACTGCATGCACCTGAGCTCCCCTGGGTTGGCCTTGCCTTCCCACCAGGTGCTCCATCACTGTTTCAAGCCATGACTTAGCAGTTGCACTACACCATCTTTACCACTTCGTCCTTTGCTGTCTCATTGTACTGTCTAGAGTATTTCTTTTAGTTCTGTTGAAGCAATTCTTGCACACATGTTACTCCCAATCTCCAGTATGGCTTTCCCATTCCTGGCCTTGCTGTTAGTCCATGTGTGGATACTAGGGCTTGCAGGCATTCCCTCTTTGGTGTACTCACTACTTTCTTTTCTGCTTGGCTTTTGTGACCATTTATTTTAGGAAAAGAGCAGATGATGGAAAAACATTGTCGCATGCTACAGACATCTGTGCTTTGGCCAGTTCAGTGGAACTTCTATTTCTTAAGGTTAGTCTGCAGGGATTTTTCTCTGTTTCTCTTCCCTTGCTGTTCATATTAGTTCTTCATCAGTAGTTCTCCTTCAGCTTGAACAAATTGCACCAGTTTAATAAAACTGCTCATTAAACAGGTGCAATTTTCTTCTGGAAGAATGCCCTTATTTCCCTTGTTTTGGTCAGTGTGCTTTATTTGGGTAGTTTTAATGTAAGGTAATCAGGAGCTTTGAATCTGGGAATGCTATTTTAGTTTAAAAACAATTTGAATTAAACTAACAGAACTTGTGTGGTAGCAGGCATCTTCCAACTGAGGGCTGAAAGGAGGGAGATGACAGATCAGCACATTGCTAACGTCTTTTCTCTGGCTTGAGTTTTTTTCAAAGCAAAAGTGAAGACTTTCTTGCAGATCCTTTTGTTGTACTGCAGGAGAAAAATTCTTGTTACTTGTCTCATTTGAGCTTCTTTTCCCTACATCTTATCTAGCTAAGGTGCTCTAATGAGCTTCTAATGCTGTTTTTAAAATAATTTGAACAGTTGTATTGTCAGAAGATGTCTTTCAGACCAAACTGCGGTCGGAGTGAGTTGGAAAGTGCAGGTTTGTAGCAGATGAAGTTTTCTTGGGACATGATTATGCTTTGAGGAGAAACTGCATGCAACCTGGCAACTGTCACTTCCCAGGCAGCTTGCCTTTGTGTCTGTCTCTCTGTGGGACATGTGCAGAGCTATGGGACCAGTAACACCTGTGACCCGTTATGTCCTTTTGCATTAGCTTAATGTTTCCTGGGTTAGAAGGATGGTGTGTCCCTTGATCTTATCACAGATTAACGAAAAAAACCCTGTACCTGAGTTTAACTCTGTGAAGTTTAAATCACTTCTGCTTCAAAGTACCTACTAGAGGAGATACCTGCTGGTGCTCCTTTGGGCATTAGTGCCTATGTTGCCAACAAGAAGTTCATGTGAGAAAAGATTGAACAAGCTTCTTGAGACACTAGCAGAAATGCTCAAAATGTGTTCTTGTGGATACCCGAATTCTATCCCCACGTTCAGGTCATCTCTCTGGATTCTCTTCCTATTGAAAACAGTGCTGGCATCCACACACACACACCAAAAAAAAAACCAAACAAAACAAAAAACCTTTGGCAGAGGGCCAAGACTGAAATGAGTTGAAGATGTTGAGCTGGAATTATTTGGCAGCTTTGACAGTAAAAAAAGATAACAACTTGGTTTATATGCACACCAATAGGAAATTATTGGGAGTTATTTATTCTGCAGTAGAAGAGCAAAACAATTAAATGTTTTGTTTCCAAGAGGAGAAACATGAAGGTCACTCTGCAAATATTGTTTGGAATTATTTAGTAACCACAGCTTAGCCACTTTTCCTGTGATATAAATAAGAATTTGGCTGTGTTTCAGCACAGTTGACTTTGGCTTACCTCTATTTCCTAGTCGTGCCATTTCAGATGCCAGCTGCTAATATCCTCCAGCAAATGAGCTCGTAGCCAAACTGTCTCTGAAAGAGGAGTGATACCCTCCCCTGTGCCCCAGATCATGGTTTAAAAATAAATAAATGGACAGACCCACTGCTCATCTGCTTCATTTAACGGAGCCATCTCCTGAAAACACAGCAAATTTTCTTTGATTAGGATTGAATGGTCAGTAACCCATGATGCAAGCCAAGATGCTGCTGCCATTTAGAATAGCAGAGATTCATTTGCCTGACTAGAAAGATCAAATCTAACTTGATTGTAGGTACAGAAGGGCAGTGGACAATTTTCTACATGGAGAAGCAGTGGGGTGGAGGAAAAAGGCTGTTGTGCCAGTCTGATTTCCTTGTGTCTCCACTTAGAGCTGGGAGGTTTTTTTTCTTTTTGTTATCTTAATAGCTTGGAGCCACAGGAGAATATCTGAGGAAGTGGTGCATCTGATTAATCTGGGATTCTGCTATAATATGGGATTAGCACTGCAGTCCTGCAGCTGTGTGCCCTGCATTGGGTGATCAGTGTGAGCTTTTTGTCAGTGCGTAGTGAGAAATCTGCTCGAGAACAGCTGTTTCTGTGAGATCCCCCTGCTCAGAGATGGTTCTGTTTTACAGAAACGATTCATCGCAAGATTTTTTTTGACTCCTTATGAGTGTAGAAAATTGGCTGCTTATGAACTGCTGTTATTAATCTCATTTCTGTAACATTCTGAAAAATCAGGAACAGGGTCTGTTTTGTCCAAATCAATTTCTCTGCGATTTTCCTTCGTTACGAGAGATATCCTCATTTTTTTTTTTTCTGTCTGTTCATGCCCCAAGTGCCTCACAGTGCAAATGTACCCTCTGGCCCTTCCTGTAAGTACCTCCAGATGACCTAACATGGTCTTCACAGTGCTCTGCAATGAGCAGTGTCACACTGACCTACTGCAGTGGCTAAATTTAAGCTCCTTTCTTTTTTTTTTTTTCTTTTTTTTTTTTTTTTTTTTTTTTTTTTTTTTTTTTTTTTTTTTTTTTTTTTTTTAAATTGCCATATGTGTTCCCAATACTTGTGTGATGCTGGGAAGGGAACCCCAATGCCAGTCTTCCCTTGCACTCGGAGGAGCCTGTCTTGATTTTGTATGCTCTTTTTACGCTTTTAAAAGATCTATTCTCTGAGCACAAAGACCAAACTTCACATCTGCTTATAGCACTGACAGAACCATGGCAATATTTCACTCTCAGCAGGCAGTTGACTGGAAAAAAAAAAACCCATGCCTCTGACACACTGCTTTTATTCTTATGCTGTTTCCATGTGTTCTGTCTGCTGCCTCTGGCCTTGGTCTGAGGAGCATTTTTAACCCTTCTGCTCATTGCCAAAAGCTCAATGAGAAGGAACGTCCCCTTGGGTTCCTTTAGTTGAGACCACAGTATGCCTGGGCTCCTGCAGCCCCAGTGCAGCACAACTGCAGCCTGTCAGCATCCCCTCACCCCCCCCAGTGTGCTTCTATTTACTGCCATAATCAGCGCCTCTGAAAGGCAAGGCTGAACAACTGCTGTTAAATGTAATTGTCGCTGTGACAGGTCCACTGTGGTGAGAAAATTCGTGCCTTTCAGAGCTGATGACTCTGCTAAAGAGCAGTGGTAAAACCAGAGCTGAGTTCCTGGCCGAGATGGCCGTGGCTCTGAGGAGTGAAGGCTGCTCCCTGTATCCCATGTGCATTGAGGAGTGTTCGGCGTTAACCCTTCTCTCCATTGCACAGGTGAGGCCTTGGAGGCCGATGGTTCTGCATCGCACAGAGCAGAGCCAGCAGGCAAGGGAGGTCCTCATTCCCTTTGCTCTGCTCAGAGCTGGGCTGCCCAGTTCCAGGCAGACAGGGAACGGCTGCAGAGATGGTGGGGGCCTGGAGCACCTCCTGATGGGGACAGCCTGAGAGCCCTGGGGCTGTTCACCTGGGGAAGGGAAGGCTGGGAGGGATCTGATCAGCGCTGATCAATATGTGGAGGGCGGGGGTCAGGAGGATGGGGCCGGGCTCTGCCCTGTGGTGCTCAGCGCCAGGACGAGGAGCGCCGCGCACAGACTGGAGCCCGGGGAGTTCCATAGGGACATGAGGAAGAACTTCTGTGCTGTGAGCGTGGCACGGAGAGCTGGGGTCTCCTTCCCTGGAGATGTTCTGGTCCCCCTGGGTGCTCTTCTGTGCAGCTGCTGTAGGGAGCTGCTTCGGGGGGGAGGTGGTTGGACTGAGTCCAGAGGTCCAATCCTGACCCATATGGATTTATGATTCTGTGAACTTCCACAAAGTCCTGATCCTGCCTCAGAGGAACGTCTTTGGCTGTGGCTGGTTTGTTTGCATTGAAGTATTGACTGAGAAACAGTGGGATGTGTCCTCCTCTGTGGACTTTGGCGGAGACTCTTCCCTTGAGCACAGGTATGTGATCCCAAACAACAGTACCAAAGCTAAAGGCAAATTGTCAGTAGTGCTAATGCTGCCAGAGCACTAATTATGGCTGAGAAGACGCTTTCCTTATAAACCTCTCCTTTGAGCTCCTTATTGCTACCTCAGAAGAGTAGTATGGAATTGTCTTGTGTGATCATGGGTATCAGGTTTATGTAGAAGAGAAACCTGGATGACATTCAGTTTGTTTGCTGTTCTCCTCTTCCAGTTTTTGCCTGGATACAGTTGAGCATAAAAATCCCCTCAGCTGAGAAAGTTTTATAGTTGCACCAAGTTCTCTAAAGCCATTTCTCCTAAAATATTCAGCCTTAGTCACCAGTGAGAGCGCACAGCGTAACTCTAAGGTTTGTGCAGCTACAAGTGTGCAAAAAGCCTACAGCACAGCACCTGGCACCTGAAGGCTGCCAGTGCAGGGAGCAGTGAACATGGAATGGGCTCCTTGGATGCATAGAGAGCTCTGTGGCAGCAGGGCTGCATGCTGGGAGATGCTGTATCCTGCTGGAGTTTCCCAGCAGTGGTGGTGGTCCTGCTGCTGCCTTGTGGCTCTTCACTTGTCTGAGTCTCGGTTTCTAAATCTGTATGGTAGTGGTTATCATCCTTCCCTTCTGCCATTCATTTTTTAATGTCAGTTCTCAGTAGGGAAAGTTTCTTCATTTTAACAGCATTGCTTTCAATTTAACAGCTCTCTGCTTTCCTGTAGAAAATTGCAAATAGATTCTCCCAGCTGCTTTCTTCCTACACTGGGTTAATTTCTTTCCATGGGACTTGACTGCAGTGTGTTGAGTGGGGAGAAGGATGCCTGCCATGAGCAGCTTTTGATGCTGGGAGGCACTTTGTTGGGTCTCCAAGCTCCTGGCGATTTCCCTTAGGGCTTCCTCTGATCCAGAGCAAGGAAGAAAATGTAAACCAAGGTGTTGGAATCCAGCACAGTATTTTACCTGGTAGTGTTTTTGTGATTTATTAACTCCAGAGTAAATCAGGGAAGTGTATGGCATTACATTTTTGTGTTACAGCAGCATCCTGCATGCGAGATTGGCTTAGAGGCTCTCTGATATGGGAACAATAAAACACAGCTACGAAAGGCGTGTGCCCTGGGAGTAGTTTGCAGTCTCTGCCAGGGAGATGCTAGGACACAGTGGAAAAGTATGACGGGTGAAAATAATGTGAACATCTGCTTTCCTGTGTGTATGACAAAGCGCATAATTAGGAGCCTCCTGTATATTTTATTTTAGGCGATGCAAAAGACAAAGAAATAATAAAGCATCCATGAAAACTTGAGGCAGTTTGCTGGTGTTAGTGCAGTGGAGTTCTTAGAGAAGGACTTGAAGTTTCAGGATAAATGTGGGGCAGGAAAGAAAGGTATTACATGGCGTTTCTTCTACCCTTTGCAGCTGCCTCCTTGCAGAGATGTGCACTTGGCAATGGGGTGGAATGAGATTAAGAATGGGTAAACTTATTGGAATGCTTGCTTTATTTAACATGATTATTTGCTTCCAAATCATATCTACTGTGTTCTGAATGCACTTGGTGCTTCCAGAGTGATGGTTAAGCTCAGACGAAGACAAAACAAAACAGTGAATTTTTTTGGCATCTTAAATATTCCGTGAGTTGGATGCTGTCTCAGATGTTAGGAGCTGAGTTGTGAAACCAGCTTTGGTCCAGATCCAGCATCTCCCCCAAGGAAACATAGATAGAAAAGCACGTGAGTTACCATCACGGCTGCGTCCTGCTGCCACTGGGATTCTCTGAGAGAGAAATCATTTTAGAAGGGTTAGAAAACCCACAGTAATAGTGAAAGCCATGAACACCCACAGTCCTGCAGGACTCTCCTGAGGCTACAGGGGACGTGGGGAGCTGCTGCCTTCTCCCATAAGAGAGGGAGTGGAGCAGACAAAAGCCGCCAAGATCTGATAATAAAATCTGTTTGGAACAGCTGTCCGCTGACAAGTATAATAAACTGTATTAATGGTGTCATTATTATTCCCTAATTAAAAGCTAATAACTAAGAGTTAATTGCCTTTAAAAGATGAAGCAGTGCTAAGGCAGGGATTTATCTCTGTTTTTCTTTGCTTGCCTGGCTGTGCTGATATTTTCAAGCTAATTAATTGAATGAAATCTTACTGAAAACTAATAATCTCTCAGTGTCGACTCAACCAATTGAATTAAAAGGTGTTTGCTGTGTGCTGGGCTTAAAGAAACACGTGTGTGCTCTTTCCAGCTCCACACTGTGGGTGATGGCAGCCAGCAGTGCTGAGCGCAGCGTGCAGTACTGCTTGATGGGAAATTCTTCCCCAGCCGTGAGGAGGGAAGAGGAGCATTGCAGGGCTGCTCCAGGACTTCGGGTTTTAGAGCCTTTTGCAGCTCCAACAACACCCTGCTGTATGGAACTGCTGAACCATGGCCTGAGCCTCTGATTGACCACCTGAGCCCTGAGTCGGCCTGGGAGCACAGGTGAAGGCAATTCACTGTGCTGCCAGAAGGGTGGAGCCTGGCTGCAGCTCCCCAGACCCATTTAAGAGCTGACTGCCGGGGGGAAGGGTCTCTTCTGGAGATCTGCTCTGCTGGAGTTTCACAAGCTAGCCCAGGATACGGGTAAGCGTCCTATCTTTTCAGCTTTGGTGTAATAACTGCGTAGCCAAGCTCTGGTATCCCTCATAGCTGTAACAGCTGTACGTTCATTGATTGTACGCCCTGCCCTCTCCTCATTCCAAAAGGTGCTGCTTCAGCATCCCCTTCCCGACTCCTGGCAGTTACGTGATGCTAATTGAAAAGAACCAAATGTTCTCTTTGGAAGTTTCCTGCATCAGTGTTAATCTTCTATGTGGAGTAATTTTATTAAAATTCCCCAAAGAGCAAATTGTAAATTCATTAGAGCCTGTTTTGGTCTGCGCTCTCCCTCATTTTGGGTGGGGAAAAGAAAAAAAAAAAAAGAAAAAAAATTAAAAGTCATCTGGTCTTCGTGATAATTAAAAAGAAGATGCTCAAACATAGTTCTTAATTAAACTGTAATGAGATAAGAACTCCATAGACTGCTTTTAGTCTGTTGGAAAGATTCAGAGGTTCCCATTGTAATTATGTGATTTATGATCTTCCACACAGAGCTGTAATTAGGTTTCTTCCCCCCTTTTAAAACTTAGACATTATTTAGATAAAAAATGATGCAGCATTTTGAATCTGCTTTTCCTGGTGGTATTGTAATTCATTTTGAAATCATTTTGGGATTCAACCTAAAAAGAGTCCTAGGTAATTGTCAGGCAGCCAAGAGGCAGATCATAAAACACAGCCCTGGAGATTGTGGGATGCAGTGGGGTGGCAGCAGGAGGTGGGTCAGACACCTGAGGTCAACACAAAAACATTTCCCATTGCATCCTGAGAAGTGTTAGTGTTTGCAGGCAGCACTATGGAGTGACACCAGTCTGCAATGCTGCTGAGACCCATAGTTGGTTTGTTTCTGCCTGGTCTTCTGAGGAAACAAAGCAAGTGCTCAGTGTGCTTCTGCATGAGAGGCTTCACCTGTGCAACAAACATCTAGGGAGATGAATGAGACCTGTAGACCTTTGCTGTTCCCTAAAAGTAATGCAAAACTATCCTTACTAGCTGGAAAAAAAAGATTAAAATGTTAGACCAGGGGGGCTGTAAGAAAGAAAGGAATGGACTCTTCAGCAAGGTCTGTTGGGATAAGGCAAGGGGAAATGATTTCAAACTAAGAGAGGAGATTTAGGATGGATATGAGGACTAAGGGTGATGAAGCATTGGTACAAGTTGTCCAGAGATGTGAGTCTCCTGCCCCGGGTCAGGCTGGGCTGGACCCCGAGGACCTGATGGAGCTGTGTGTGCCCCTGTTCATTGCAGGGAGTTGGACCAGATGGCCTTTATGGGTCTCCTGCAACTGAAACAAGTCTATATTCAGACCCTGCTTTGTATGGCTGCCACCGAGACTTTGCTTGAGTGTCAGTGCAGGGCTTGGGGCTCTGCTTTCTGTGTGGAAACATGGAGAGTGGAACTCTGCTAGAGGTCTTTCTCTGGTACAAGGAATTTCTCATCGATTGCTTAACACCATGAATCACACTCCAGACAGAGGCTTGATAATGTTAGAGGTCTTTTCCAACTGTGATGATTCTCTGATGCAGAAGCACAGGGGTGTTTTGAGAACCTGGCTTTGCTGAGGCACGTTGGTATAATTGTACCATTGTAAATGGAGTTTGAAAACCATAGTCAAGTTTTGTTCAGAAAGCTCCCTTCGTAGATTGGCAGAAATGAATTAGGTTGCTGTAAGGGTCTGAATTAAAAACAAAATCCACAGTTAGACATTTCCGCTGGGTTGCTTTGTCTGTCCCTCATCGTTGTATTATGGGTTTGGCCAAGGAAAATGGAGGATGTGGTTCTAGGCTGGGTCTGGTGCTGCTGTGAGGGAGAAGCAGCTGAATCCAAACCAGGAGTTCACTGACAGCATTCTGAGTCTGACTGAGGAAATCCTCAGAGAACTTCTCACAACTCCCCTCTGCCCACCCCCCACTTCGGAAGTGGCGAACCCTGGAAATGTAGAACCTCAGCACAGAGCCAACGGTGGTTCTGCTGGGGTGTCCTTGGTTTTTCCAGTCAGAAAGAGATGAGAGGAGGGTCTGGCAGAAATGGTCTGAGTCAGTAATGTTCAGCAATTTCCTGAACAACACCTTACATGCAGCTCAGATAGAATGCTATGTGTTTGAAGACATTTTTCTAATCATTTGTGTACATTTTTTTTAGAAGGTTTATTATCCTCAGTAAGCCTGGGATAAAATCCTTGTGTAACCTATTAATCTAGGATTGCCATCTGCAAGTACATGTGTGCTTGTGTGTATGCATCACTGTGTGTGCACACAGATGGATGGAGCGCCCAGCTCTGTTAATCAGGAATCTGTCTCTTTAATGACTGGAAGAGAATCATATGTGTCTGACTTTTAAGAGATAAAGGCGTGATGAGATAGCAACACTGGGGTTTGATCTTTGTACAAATTGCAAAGGGATCCACAGTTACTGCTCTAGTGGAGAGGTGGATGGGCAGATCAGTAGACAGAATAGAAAAATAGGCAGATTAAACATGGACTGGGATGAATACATTAAATGGCTGTAGAAGGAGCACTGTTGTTAAATGGAAATGCTTCACTCTTGTTCAAACTTCAGCTATCTTCCTGGTTTTGAAACAATTAAATTTAATTATCTGCTTTTGCTGCAAACAGTGAATGAAAGTGCAAACATCAGACACAGCTGTGTGTGGGGGGGAGGTTCAAAGCAGGTGCCTTGTTTCAAGTACGTGTGACCAGCCTGGTGCACCTGGGTGTGCAATCAGTCTTTTGAAGAAGGACCTGTTGCTACTGAGCACAGCCCGGTGCCATCCCCTCTGCCCACCCTGGGGAACATTGAGGGCGCCTCCTGCTCTGAGGGATCACAGAGTTGGGAAGGACCCACAAGGGTCTTCGAATCCAACCTCTGCCTCCACACAGCACCACCCAAACCCTATGTCTGAGAGCAACGTCCCTGTGCCTACTGCCTCGGGGAGCATGTTCTATGCTCGGAACCTTCACCTCTCAGTGACGGCCTTTGGAGTCCCCTGAGGTCAGGGTGCCAGGTTTGTGCTGTTGGCATGCTGGTGGCAGCAGGATGGCCACAGGTCCTACAGGTGGTGGATTTGCATAGAGCTGCCTTTTCACTGGAGAGCAATGGACTCTGCAGGCCGAGGGGCTGCTCTGCTTTATGCGAGAGGCTCTGTGCAGCTGTGGAGGCAGGGAGGGGCAGCGCGTGTCTGTTTGGATGCTGGCTGTGTCACTGAAATAAGTGATTGAATTTGTTCTGGTTTCCTTATCAGGAGATTCGGGAACTGTCTCCCCATATCCCTTTCCCAGTGGATGAGCTAGTTGAGATGATAAGACAATTTTCACAGCGCCTGCTTGGGTATTTACTTTTTCCATTTCAATTCTACATCTGCTCAGTTACCGACTTGGAATTTGCAACCATCTTATTTAGGAGAAGGAATTGATTTCTCATTCTGTTACTGCTTCTCTTGGTATAATTAAAGTGTATTGCAAAATGAAGAATTTCTCCTGGCCTGGGAACTGGTTTGCCTCTTGGGTAATTCTGTAAACCAAGAAAGGCTTTTCGTTTTCCTCTGGAATGTAAATTATGGTTACATCTACTTTAAAGTCTTTGTTGTGCTGCAGGAGACCAAGGGGGCTCTTGATTTAGGGTTGTGCAGAGGCAGAGGGGCTTTTGCAAATCAGTCCTGTGGTGATCTGCCAGCCAGGCCCATGCAGATGAAGCCTGATGCGATACATGAGGTGGTATTGCCTGGTGAGGAGCAAATGAGAACTTTGGGGGGTGGGGGTGGGAAAGGATGCCCTTTGCAGCAGTGACAGTGCAGACTTAGAGCCTTGCTGACAGTCCTTTTCTGTAAAAATACAACCTCCGATGATTTATTTCTTCCAGCATGTACCAGCACAACTAATAAACGTGCTGTCAAAGCCACCTGTCAGCTCTTATGTTAAAGTAAAGGAAGAGGGAGACTTTTAAAAAAGGATCTGAGAATCAATAAGAAACAAGGAACTGCCTGGCTGAAAATGGGCATTCGTGTGCTGTCACGTAGGCTTTAATTAAGCCAACTGACTGAATGCCAGGTCTCAGACTGGCACTGCCTGAATGCAGAGAGCCCTGTGAGGACGAGAGGCCCCACTCCATGTGCTCCTCACAGCATGGCTGGGCGCTGTGGAGCTGTGCTGTGGTGTCCTGGAGCCTGTGATGATTTATGCTTAATCACACCATGAGTTTCTCTGCTGCATTTTAAGTTTTGCAAGGACTGATGTAATGGAAATCAGAAGGCAAAGACCTTAATGGAATTCTTTTCTTCTTTCTAGTGAAATAACGCTTGTGTCTTGATCTGCCAGAAGAGGAGCTGCTTAAGGACGGTGGGCTGTCACCCCTGCTGCAGTCAGCTTTACTGGACTGCTGCAGCTTCTGTAAGCCTGACTCTTCTAAGTCTCATTCTGAGATTTTACATTGGATTTGCTTCTCTGTCTGCCCTCCTACTGTATTTATTTTTTTCATTTTGGGGGAGGAAGGAGATTTACTTACGTAGTTCTCAGCTGCTGTTCCAATTCTTTGTCGCTCATTCCCTACGCTCCATGTGGCATTTAGTTCTGTTCAGTGAGGGGTTTGCAACTCAACATGGGGGGTAGTGGCACAGCTCAAAGAAAGGGCAGTAATGAGGGAAACCTCCATCTGTCTCATCCATGTGCTTCCACTGTGACCTTCAGCTTTGAGAAAGTGAGTGTGATTCTTCCCTGAAAAATACCGTCCTGGGCTGGTGGGAGGTGTCCCTGCCCACAGCAGGGGCTGGAAGTGGGCATCCTAAAGGTCCCTTCCCCTCCAAACCGTTCTGATGATACCCAAACTAATGGTACGCATACGCCTGTGTCACTGCAGCTATTTTGCTAAATGCTTACCAAATGAGGTTGTTTCTTTGCAACAGCACGTTTGACTTGTAACAGTGGTCTGTTTTTAGAAAGAACTCAAGGACAGCAGAAGAAGAGCAACCTGGTACCTGTTTGCATATGCCAACAAAGAAGGATTTTGCAGCTGCTGCATTACACAGAGCAACTGCTTCATTCATTGCCTGCTCCTAATAACAAACAGGTGCAGTCAGCATTTCAGACAATCTTCCTTTAATACAAAGTCAATATATCTACATACACTGTGGTATGAAAACCACTTAATGTTTCAGTTTGAAATAACAGTGTGAAAGCAACAGCACTTTGCTCTCATACAAAGAAAAAAAAAAAAAACCTTCCCCCACCCCACCCCAACTCTTCCAGTAAGATTTTGCTGCAACATACTTAGAAATTTGGGCAACTTTTACACAAATAAGAAGTAAAATCTTGAAGAAGCTTCTTGTTGTTTTTTGTTTTTTTTTTCTTCAGTTAAAGGCAGGAAATGGACTGTTGTGGGGTTTTCTGGGTAGCACTGGATGGCAATAATTACCCCTTCTAGGAAAAAAAAGCCACAGGCAAGCAGTGTCCTGGGCAGTGCATCTTTTCCAACATGCTGTCCTCTGTGCACTTCTGCAAGGAAATTCCTTGTACCCCTGTTACACGTATCGTATCTTCACACCAGTGCATGGACAGTTAGGCTCTTACCTCCGTTACACTGCTGATGTTTGAAAGCTGTGTGCTTGCCCACGTGTGCTGCGCCTCTGAAGCTGCTGTATTTTTGTCTTCAGTCCTAAGACACTGCCATTTTTTTTAATCTCCCAGTTCACCCCTGGCCCTGGTAGGAGGGAGCAGCACGGCCACAGCTGAAGGGGAGGAGGTTGGCACTGCCACCAGGTCTGGACCTGCCTGCTGATCTCACACACTTCTGAAGACAGGTGATATGTCTGAGATTTTAAACAAAACAAACAAAATAATCCAGAAAGGACATTTTGTTCTTACATGAGCAAGTTAAACCTTTTAAATGGTAGAAAAGCAATATGTAGAAGTAGCAATTTGCACTGCATTTTTATATATCACAGCCATTACACGTAACATTTCTACAGTGAAAAAATAGACTGTCTTTGAACATAATATGAACAAATAAGCAATTTTTTTCTTTTAAATTCATTGACTGATATTCTTTGTCTTTAAAAAAAAAAAAAAAGGAAAAAATACACTATTTAAAAAAAAGGTAATGTCACTTGTTACAGTTACATCGATACTTTAAAGAAAGCCACTCACAGTTATGCCATTGAATGCATCTTACTTGATCTTTCCCAGTTATTTCTACAGCTAGGGCTGGTTCGTTGCTGTGCCCATGGGCTTGGTGTGAAGTGGTATGGAGGCAGTCCTGAGGCAATCTCTGCGTTGCTCCCGGAGAGCCACTGCATCCGCAGGTGAAGGTTTGGCAGCAAGAAGCAGTTGGCTATATGAGCTAAGTGTCCTAAGGGTGCTTCTCTGGCTCCTTTCAGAGAGATGCTTCTGGCCTTCTGTGGCAGGAACTGGTGGGGAGGCACAGCTGCTTGCAGCAGAAGTGGGGTTGTGTGCATGTGCAAAGAGAATGGGAAAGGGGCTGCCTTTCTGCCTCGGGTGTCCCACCACTGCCTGCTCAGTGCCTCCCTGGAGCTGGATGTGCTGAAAAGGGAAGCGAATGCAGCCCAGCAGAGCTGCCACCTCTGCCTGTATGCCTGTGTCAAGGGGATGGGGCCGTACGATGGCCAGGTCTGGGTTTTCCTCTCTCTCTTTCTCTCTAATTTTAAATATCCTAAAAATAAATTTTGGAATTAGAAGAAATGAGGAATGTTCTAAGTAAGTGTTCAAAGTGTGAGCTATAAAACCTCTCGCGTGGCAGGGGCACACAGTGAATGCTGTTTGCAAGGTGCCTGTAAGCCCAGAATCATCCCACTGTTGATACTGAGGTTATTAAGACTCCAGCTGAAAGAACTCCTGACCCTACATTTGCCTAAGTGTTGAGATATAGTTCCTGAACATTTACAGAACACCTTCAATTCTGCAAGTGACTTCCTTTAAAGACTGCCAACTATATTAGTAAATAAACTGAACTCTAATGATGTAACCGAAGTCGGTTTCCTTCCCTTCTCCAGCGGTAACGTTTTGCAAGGTGTGTTTTAGCTTTTGGATCTCTTTGATGATGTCCATACATCCTCCACAGCGAACACCACTTGAGGTAACAAGAGCAGTTCACCACTTAAAGTAGTCCATCAGCAACCTCCTGAGCTGCCTCTTCACGGTCCAGGCTACAACATGGAGTTCCTGAAGGGGTGTTCCTTTCAATCCTTCCCCCTGCTCCCCAACGCATTGTCTGGATGAAAAGGTACTTCTTCTGATTCAGTTTGTAAGTTCAAGCGCTCCTCCTGGGTCAAAAGAGGCCTTCCAGGACTTAAGTGGTTGACAGAGTCTGCACAACAGATGGCTTTTTATGTTGCATAGTGATCGAAACTTCCCAGATATTCCAAAGCTGCCTGGTAACAGAACTGGTATTCATCCTACAAATGAAAAAGAGCAGCAGTGCTTCAGCTTCAGAGGTTACAAGAATTCAGGATACCCACCCTGCTTAGCAGCTGGCATATACCTGGGCAGCAACCACACACAGATGTGTTTATTCTCAGAGAGGGGTGAACTACAGTGAAGGGAAATCCCTTTATTGCTTGTGCATCTTATACATAGCAGCCCTCCTGTCACCAGCCGTCCTGTCCCTGCAGCCAAAGTGGGCTGTGATTAGGGGCAGGTGAGCGTCCCTTAATTCAGAGGCAGGATGAGATGAGAATCAAAGCTGGCAGACTGGGATGAAATCTTCAGGAAATTTTATAAAATAAAGCCTATTGTTGTTTTTTTTTTTATTCGATTTTTTTTAAACAGTATAAGTAAAGCCAGGAGTACAGCTTGGGCTTGCTTAGTTAGGGCTTTTCAGTTAAATGTTTGCATGTGATTAGAAAGACAAAAAGCCTCCTCCCCTCAGCTGAGGGATTGCTCTGCAAAGGTCCGCTAAGCTGAGACAGAGGAAGGGTTTGCCATTCCACCTTACCTCTGTTTGCACCATAGCAGGTCGTTGTGTTCGCAGCATCTTCACTGTCTGGAAAATATCTACAACACCCTCATAACGCATTCTTTCCAGGACGATACTGAGTGTGATGAACACTCCAGTCCTGCCCACCCCAGCACTGAGAGGAAAAAAACAAAACGATATGTTACAGTCACGGTGCAACACATTGACATGTTCCTGTGTCACTGAATGGCTTGGGTTGGAAGGAACCTTAAACCTTAAAGGGTTTCAAGCCCCTGTTTGGGCAGGATTGCGAATGCTGAGGTTATGATAGGGTATATAAGGGTGGTAAGGCTATGTCTTATGAACACAAACATATTAGAAGTGGAAAGCTCAGTCAGTCCTCCAAGAGGACAGCATCGAAGTGTCTGAGAGAGTGACAGAAATAAAACGAGCATCAGCTTTGGGTAGTTGTAAACAGCATTCAGTATGAAAATTATTATTAATTATATAAATATATTATTAATATATTTATATTAATATATTATTAATTATATAAATCTATATTATTAATATGTAACATTAAGCTTTTTGTATTAAATAATTTTCTTTTGCCCGTGGGGAAGAAATTGTAATTCTTGCTATCAGTAAGCCAGACTAGCATTGTTAGATATGGGCTAATACTGGAAATAAAATACTTAAAATTTTTCTGCAATGAAATACTGATTCCCCTGTCCTGCAGAGCATCAGCATTTCATACCTCTCATCTGGTTAGAAAACCCTTGTGAGCACTGCCCAGCTCTGAAGGGTTGGCAAAAGTGAAATCCTTCACCACCCCAAAAATCTGCCTGCAAAGATGGAGTGGGAAAGGAGGGAGAAATCTGCAGCATTTTAGTTCCTTCTGCTCTTTTGCATCCTCAGATTAATTACATGTTTCTATTCATACATGCCTACCTGCAGTGTACAGAGATGGGGCCATCCTGGCCAAACTGTTCCTTGGTCTTGTGTACCTGTCCAATGAAATCAATAAAACCTTCCCCTGATTTTGGCACTCCTTGTTCTGGCCAGTCAGTGAACTGGAACTGACGAACAGTTCTTGACTGACCGTCCTGGGGAAAAAAACAACAGCAAGTAAAACATGCTGTATTTGTGTTACGAAATACAAAAGGCAACCTTCCCCCCATGTGCCTTACATGTTTTGCTGGTAGTTCATTAGGGGACACAAAAAGTCAAACCAACTTAGTGTTGAAATTAATATATAATGATGAAGCTGCTCATCTTGCACTTGACATTTTTGGAGTTCGCTTGTCAGTGAAGATCTATACTCCTGGCAGGTGTCCTGAAAGCTCCAACCACTGCAAAGACTGCACAGATGGAGTCTTCAGCAAAGGAACATTCAAGGTGAGGTGATGGCCTCTCTATCAATCTTCAGGAAGAGTTGCCATAGTGTCAGAATTACAGCTGACAGGAAGATAAATCTTGTTCTGCCATGACTGACAAAGCATCCTCCTTCTCAACCTTGCAAATAGAATTATCAGGTTCTACAATTCTGACAACCTCAATAGCAGAGGAAGCTGCTTTGAGAGCGAGGGTTACGTTTGCTAAACAAGTCTCAGAAGGCTCTGAAATGTTCCCTCGGAAGAGAAATATGACATTGAATATAAAATTGAGTGAATGTGCCCTTTGAATGTTGTAATGGTAGCTCCTCTTGAAACCAGGAGAGAAGCATACATTTTCTGTAGGACAAAGAATATCCTTCGCAAGCTGTGTTGTTATTAGCTGTTTGAGGAGACAGTATTTTCTGCTTTTGTTTCAAATAAGCTGAAAGCGAAAACACAAACTTGATGTATTTCTGACAGTGACTGACTACTGTGATTAGTGTACAGAGGTCAGAAAACTACATTCAGTTTTTTAAGTACAATTTATCTGTGGTTGGGTGTTGTGTTTCTCATCACAACTTATCTCTCCTCCACTGATGATAAGCCCAGAAACATTTACACCTCAGTCTTGTAGGGGCCAAAGCAAACTGCTTCGCTTTCTGTAAGCCATACAGAATCACGGAATTGCTCGGGTTAGAAAAGACCTTCAAGATCTTCAAGTCCAACCTCAACCTAACCATACTATCCCTAACTCCAGTCTCCGCCTGCGTTTGTTTGAACCACTCCAGCCTACCCCTTTTCTTACTGTTACCCTTGCAAGCGCAGACTGCACATTGTACAGCACTTACCCTGGCATCGGTGACCTTGAATTCTCGTAGGATGTACTGAGGCATGTTGTATTCAGCCATGGGATCTACTACAAAGTACTGGTACCGAGCAGAGCGCTCTGCTGGCCAGTACTGATGGCACTTTTCCTGTCGGGGAAAAGAAATATCTCTGTTAGCCCTAGTGCTGCACACTTCTCTCTCTTACTTTCTCCTTTAGAGAACACTCACCCGCCCCATCTCGCGAAGCTTAGTCAACATCACAACAATGGTGGAGTTGTTCTCCCATAACATCCGCCAGAAGTCTTCAGTGGTCTCTGCCAGGGGCCCTTGAGTAGCAATGTACGCCTTCTGTTGTCTGAAATAGAGCACAAACCTGAGTAATGGATCAAGACTTGAACAAAACTTTCGCAGCACACATACGAAGGCTGAAAAACAGGAAAATAGAAGTGCTAGGGCAAGCTGTAGGCTTATAATAAGTAATAAATGACAGAACAACAGACCACCAGTGATATGACCTTGTCCATCCCTTAGTCCTTCTGCATCCTCAGAACCACACAGAAAAATCAGACTGCTAAGTTCACACCCTGATAGTGATGGAAGGCAGCAAGGTGCTGTTTACCTGTAGCCATCGATAAAGCTGGCATTGATGTAGTCTGACCCCTCCACTCCTCGGATGGGCTGAAGGCAGACCCGCGTTGTCTCATATGGCATGATGTTGACAAGACGATTCTTGAATTTGTTGCATGGGAGATTGGCACTGATGAACCTGGAGGTGTGGGCTTTGGAGTTGGCGAGGCGCTGAAGGCAAAAGCAGAGTCACAACCATTTACTCAATTCCTGACTGCCCCACATTTGCCTGGGCCGCACGGCAGCCTGTTTACCTTGTCCTCCACATTCCATCATCCTGTTCTACCTTGCAAGCCCTCCATTTCTGGAGGATGGAATGCAACACATTTCTCCCAACAAAACATTTAAAAACCCAGTCTAAGGAGGGAGTAAATTCAGTGTAGGTTCCAAATGACAAGACAAGCCTCCTGCAGCAACAGCTAATTCTCTCTGGGAATTGCAGAGGCAGAAGTCAAAGGCGTAATTACTTCTCTAACATGGAACTGAAGTTTCTGTCAACCTTGTAAAAGTTCCCTGTCTGCTGCATGAGTGCCAAGGGGACCAGAGCTCCCATGAGGAGTGTAGAACTTTCCCCAGTCACTGCTGCCCTCATTCAAGCGTCTGCCTTTACCTTAAACTCCAGCTCCATGCCTGTCACGTGCTCTCCAACTTCAATCTGTGCCAGCTTCTGGATGTATGTGTAGAGATTCCTAGCTGGGACTTCTGTGTTGCCGCACGCAACGGCCTCAAGCAAGGCATCGTGTATAAAGCTGTACTGGTCTTCTGTCTGTACCATGTAGTTCCGCTGTGACCGCATGAGGGTAACGTGCCCATAAATGTCCACTGTCTTCTCATGTTTTATCCTCTCTAGCATGGCATCAATCACAATGAAGCAGCCAGTCCGTCCAACCCCCGCACTGAAAGTAAAGGGGAGAAAACTGAGTGATGGAGAATTCTCCCACTGAAGAGAGATTCCGAAAAGAGACCCATGAGTGAGGAGTCTTTCTCTCATACAAACCACAGTAATCATGGGGTAGAAATGGATACAAGGCAGACAGTGAACAGCACACACTCAGTGAATGGGAAGGAACTGAAACCTTGTAAACGCAGCTATTGAAGAACTGAGGCAAAGGAATTCTTAGGAACCAGAACATACCTAAATGTTTTGTCCATCTGTTCTCTGTGGACTCTTGTGTTAAGGAAACCTGCCTAATCAAACTGGCCTTGCTGGTTCTAACACATCCCAATTTACTGTGTTCAGTTAAAAAAAAAACAAACTGTTGTGAGGATTTGGGACAGTGCAGGCTAGTAATGATACTGAAGTTACAGCTCCTCCAAGTCCGTGCAAATACAGTGCTGAACAGGGGCTGTAAAGCTGCACCTTATTACCTTTCCATGCCAACCTGCCCTGCTTCTAATGCCTCTTCATCTGTAACATCTTCATGACGAGCTCTCCTGGCAGACATAACTATGACAGTGCTAGGAAGGGGGCTTGAACAAAGGGCTAGCACAACCTAAGGGCTTAAAAAGCACATTTAAGCACTAAAATCTTTCAGCAGCTGAGAAACAACTGATGTTGTAATGAGTAACATGCGTCACCTCAATTTCTAAATGTTTTTGTGCACTGAGGTAACATCGACCTTGCATGTAATGGCATTTGTGAATCAGCAGGGCTCTGAGGGTCTACGCACTTCCACTGCTAATAAAGGGTTTTCTTTTACTGTTCGGTGCACTCCTTTTTTTCCACAAAGCCCCCTTGATCTCCATTAATTAGACTGCCTAACCTGAACCAAGCAGGTGACAGGAGCTTTGGCAAGAATTTAGCAGCCGATGTCGGAGCTGGTTCCTGCACACTGGGAGCTGACAGCTCTCTATTCATTTTCTGAGAGGTGCACTATAATTGCCATCTGCAAGGTTAGTGATAAGTTGCCCACTTACAAGGACTGTTTAAATAGCGTTCTGTAGGAGAGGCAGGATTAGCTTCCCCAACAGTCTGCACAATTCAGATGCCTTTCCTCAGTGCTGAGTAACCTGCAGGCTTCTCCGCAACCTCCCAAGGAATGCAGGGATTTATCTAAGCTGAGACTGCAAGTGTTCCTCTTTGGCTTGTAAACTGAATTAGGGAATGCTACCTGCCCAGGGGGGCCATCAGTTTGTCATTATCAGAATGGCTGCAGCACTTGAGAAAAAAAAAAAAGAAAAAGAAAAGGTCTTTCAATCACTGTCAGCCATCCCTCTGACAGCTCAGGCACCTCTGCCTCTCAATTGCCAGTTCAGCAACCCAGAGCAGCTTCTGAGGTTGCACTCGAGCTTCTTCATTCCCTGCTGTAACAAGAAACAACCCCTACACACAAAAGCAGATGTCAGTTCAGCACAAGGTGCTCCTGTTGCTGACAAGATCTGAGTGATACAGTGAAAATTCTTCACCGCATGAAAGGCCAAGTATAGTTGTCAGATGCTGGCTGGGAGCCCTCTTTACAGGACAGCTCTTACCTGCTGGGTACTATAAACGTCTCCCAGGCACAAATCAACATCCTGAAATTTCACTTCCCTTTCAGAGAGCCCCAAGCAAGAGTTAAGTGTGGGAAATCAGTACCTGCAGTGCACCACAATTGGACCAGCATCAGGGGGGTTGCAGGTTTTCACTCGTCTCAGGAAGGCCAGGAATGGGGTGGGGTACTCAGGTACACCGTGGTCTGGCCATGCTGTGAACTGGAACTGGCGGACCTCCCGCTTCTCACTGGAGCCGTTCTGCAAAGATAAAGTCCACCAAAAGTCATGAGCAGTAGCAGCACAATGTTGTATCTTGCCCATGCTGGGTAAGGAGGAGAATGTGCCCACCTCTTGGAAAGAAACAGGGGCAGGAGAAAGCTCACCTTATGCAGGGAGAATGTTCGAACGCAGAATGTGGCCAATTCAATGGTATCGAGTAATGTCACTTGAATCATCCCATAGGTGTCTGTACCTCGACCTGGCCAGTACTGGTCACACTTTATCTGGAAGACAGAAAGTACTGCTGAATGCTGGAACAGAGTAGCTCATTCCAAAGGTGAGTAATATTACAATGAAGCTGGCAAGGTCAGACAGGAGGGAAGGCTCAAGAAAAAATCCCCTTCCAGAGTACCACAACAGGGAGACACGTGGCATGAAAAGCTCCTACTGACTAAGCAGAAGCTTCTGACACACCACATCAGTCATGTGGACAATGGACTGGAATGATCCTGAAGATTGGAGTGAACTTACTCGGGCTCATTAAACAAGAGAAGTGAATTTGAAACGTGCCACAAGATTAACTCCAAGGCAGACCTACAAAGTGATGGGACCGAGTTTCCCCTTCTCTTGCAGCTGAAAAGGCTGCAGCTTTCCAGGGTGAAATTCCTTTTATTTTTAAGGAGAGAACCACTGAACTTTCAGTGTGCTGGCAAAGAAGGTAGAGATCCCCCACTAACATCAATGTGGGCTGCAGATCAAGGAGACCTACCCTTCCCCAGCCCAACTGTCCAGCCCCCCAGGATTATGATAACCAGTCATCCCTCTCGTGCATCTTACCCGTGATTTCTCCTCCAGCTTAGTCATCATAACAATAGTAGCTGAACGCTGCTCCCACACCATCCTCCAAAAGTCCCCAAACGTCTCTGGCAGAGGCCCCTGGGTGGCAATGTAGGCATTCTGCTTCCGGTAGCCATCAATATAGTTGGCATTGATGTAATCGCTACCCACAATTCCTGTATTAAATAACCAAAAGCGAGTCAGTGGGTTGTGCAGGACAAGACTGAAAGCACAAGGTGGTCTTCGCAGGTATAATGTCTGAGGGGCTTCCCCTGGAAAAATACCAGAGCCTTCGTAGCTGCTGGGACCTCTTTGCAAGTTCTTCCCATCTGGAGTTGGAGATCTGCATTACTTGAAGACAAAACTTCTAGCAGAAGTTGATAAGGAGACCAAAGATCAAACTTCAAAACTATATTCTTCTTATTGGTGTTACTAACAGCAGCAAAAGCACTGGCTTACAGCTCTTGTTGCACTGGTCTCAAACAAGACAAGAGAAGCCCATGTTCTAGAATGCCCAGAGTCCGGGTAGCGAATGCAGCTGGCTGATGCACTGTGCAGTCCATAGTCTATTTCCAGCTACAGCTGGATAAAGTAACGAATAAAACCAGGCTGGATTCAGCCAGTAAAGGCTTTGAAATTACAGGCTTTGACTTGCTTTAAATTGCTCGCTGTCATTTTTATTTTTTCTATTTGCATGAGTTACAGGCTATTGAGTTACAGCTGCCCGCTTGCGTCCTTGTTTGATGGCTCTGCTATGAGTGGCAGAAGGCAGTGCCAGAGTGAAGAGGGTGATTGGGATGTGGCAGGAGAAAGCTGCTCTGAAGTTAAAATGGACACTGGCACACACTCAGGTTCAGCTATGGAGAGCCTCCAAGACTGGCACGGACAATTTGGACTGTTAGGAAAATTGGCCCATTCCTAATTACAGCTGAGCAGTTGGCCGGGCTGGCAGGTTTCTGCCAACCTAAGATTAACTCAGCATAGAATGCTTAACTCGTGTCCCGAGGGGGAGCTCAGGGTGGGAAGCTGTACCAATATGAAATTGGGTTGCTACTCCTCATCCCTCTGTAGCAATAGGCGCTGCTTCTTCTATTGGCTAGGTATGATCCACTCTGAATTGCCTGCCAGTCCTCAAGGGTACTCAGTAATTTCAGCTGCTGGTGAAAATGGCTTTTGATTAAATTTCTGGAGGGTTCCCCTCCCCCATTACTTCCCAATCTGAAATTTCAGAGGGGAAGACGGCCGTGCAGCAGCAGCAGGAACACGATCAAGGCTGAGCTTTTGGAATTAATCTCCTCTCCAGCCCTCTTGGGTCCACTCTGTAATTTAAAATGGTGGCCATGAGCTTCTGCACTGTTTTGCTGCATGACAGGGTCCAGTTACAGAGAAGTCACTGAATTAAAGCCACTACTTCTCCCTGACCAAGCAGACGGTGACGATCTGCAGCCCTGACAAATCCAGATTTAAAACAAAGGGAAAGCAACAACTAACTCCTCCAACCCCTTTCATCTTCTAGTGCTCAGTATAAGACACAGCCAAGACAAGCCAGAACCTCTCAGGTATTTGGACATTAACACACTGGACACACGCTGCTGTTGGTCCCCACGATGCCTGCAGCCATCCCTGCTCTCTGCTCTCTTGAGGGCAGAGCTCATCCCAGTGTCCTTCAGTTCTATACTCGTGCTCTTCTTTTCAATGACAGGGCAATGTTTTAAAGACTTGGCTTGCCTTGGCTCATGCAATATTAATCTCAGATAAAAAACAAGCTAGCAAAACACAGCCAGCTCCACAATGAGAAATGTTTAACATCTGTAACGGCAGACAAGAACAATCCAGACTGGTTCATTTGATGGCAAATCATGATCTTTTGTAACCTCAGAACCAGCTGAGTCTCCCAGAGATACTCTGGCAGAGGGAGATTATTCTAGGCAATTCCCTTGCCAGGAGGGCTTCTGAATGAACCCCCCCCCATTCACCACAGGGCTGTTTGTACATCTCTGCTCAGATGCTCAGCTCTTGGCAAAGCAGTGGCCACACACAGCACACCCATCTGCACAGCCACACGTGCCCTGAGAAAGATGAATATTATCTCAGCAGCAGTAACCAAAGCAGATCCCCTGCGAAACCCCATCTCCTCTCCACCGAAATCTCCTCTTATCATAGCGTGCATTTGGTCAAGAGCGATATTTAATGTAAATTTTCTAAGTATACCACCACTCACAGAAGATACGGGAAACAACTGATGGCCGACCAGGCTAATACCACATCCTTACTTTCAGTCCTCTGAGGCACTGCAGCAGGAGCTGTGTATCACGTAAGCTCTACATTTCTACAACTCAGCAGCCGCATCTTTGCTGTGCTGCTGACACACACATCTGTGCAATTAGCCCTGTGCCTACTTCTCATTCATCTGCTGTACAGATGCATTCCACATCCACCACCACCCACTGCCCTGCTCTCCATAAAGCACGGTGTGGTCTGTATTCTTCCTGTTAGTCAGAAGCATATCACAAGGATCTCTAAGTAAAGTGAAGGCAGTTTCTTGATAAAGCAGCCTTTGAAATGAGAGACTGCAGCTACAGGGAATATGTCAGTATCAGAACGTAACAAATGTGTGGTGAACACACGCGCCTCCTGCCTGCTGAACTCTGGGGGAGATGCTAAGAGAGCGGAGCCACCAGCCAGGTGGAGCTGCGGAGGAGCAGAGGTCGCTCCCTACCTTCGATGGGCAGCAGGATGACGCGCGAGTGGTCGTAGGCGATCACGTTGGCGTAGCGGTTTTTGGGCTTGTTCACTTCCAGGTTGGAGTGCTCCCAGGTGAACTGCTGGCCGGGGTCAATGGACTGCAGAAATTGGGAAGGAAAACACAGGAGTGAAAGGGGGGAAAGGGAACAAATCATGCTCCGAGTACCTTGCTCCACGTAGGACAGATCATGGCTCTGTAGATCTAGCTGAGGAATGCAGCATTCACCATTTTCTTCCGTCTAGAGCAGAGCCTTGCTGTGGAACAACCCCAGCACAGCGCACTCCATCCCATGACCCTTTGCCCTGAGCACACGGAGCAGCACCAGAGGAAATTCCTACCCTGGCACAATGCAGCAGTGGCAAAAGCATCGGCACAATTTCAGGTTGCAAAACAGATGCCCTGAATCATAGTTGTGTTCACAGAGTGGTGGCTGCGCTGCATTACTTACAGCCCTGAGCTACTGCTGCTGATAAACGGTGGGCAATTGGGAGAGAACAACAGGGACAATCACAGCAGGATGTATTTATGAAATGATGAAGAAGCTAAATCTGTGTGTGGTTAAACTAAACAGCCATTAAGGGGGCATAAATATACCACTGTCTTAATACCTGGGGAGGAAGACATGCAAGCAAGGATGAGGTTTATAACCATGTATGCAAGTAGGATGTGAAACACTGGGGAAAAGGCAGCAGGGAATAGCAGCTGCTCCGTGAGACTGCTACTCCACGAGAGGGCTCAGCGCGTCCCTCAGGGGCTGAAAGCACCAGGAAAGGGGCTGTGAGGGAGCATCGCCCCAGGGAAAAGGGTAGGAGCTGGGCCTACAGGCCTGAACCAACATAATGTTTCCTAGAGGGGATAAAGGAGTAAACAATGAAACGTGCAGGAGAGAAAAATCCTTTGCCTGTCTGAGTGATTTATGCCAGGTTTTAAGGTGGTGGTTTTTTTTTTGTGTTTTTTTTTTTTTTTTTTTTTTAAGGTCCAGCTGTCCCAGATATGGAAATTAGGTTAATTACGTTTACCTCTAAATCCTCAGCCAGAGAATTAAATAAAACAAGGGCTTAATTCCTTCATCATTTTGCAGAGCCCTAGGGGTTTGCTTCAACTGGAGGCTTGGCAGGAGCAGGTTGAACTCTGCTCCCAGCTCTTCATTCCCCCTCTCCCTGCCTGCGCAGGCCCTGCGCACCACCTGCACCATCCTGCTCCCAACCCTTTGAGCACAACGAGCTCGGCCTTCACTGTGCCAACTCCCCAGCTCAGCTCCAGAAGCCACAGCAACAGCATGGTACAAAGCCACTCGAGGACAGCATCCCTTCTCACACTGAGCATTTCCAACTAATGGGTATTTATACTGTTGTAATGTGTCTGTTTGCTTTCTATCCCTCTAATCTCGCCTCACATTCATTTCATTAGTGATGTTTGTTTAGCTCTGGCTCTACCACTAGAGGAGGTTGTGCTGGAACAAAGCCAGGGCACTTGGGATATAGCAGGATGCAAATTAGTCTTTGAAGTCTGGATGGAGCCCGTTAACGAGCTGCTCCCCCTGCGTGGGGTGAAAGACCCCAGCAGAGCTCCTGCACTGCACGGCCCCTCCTGGGTGCAGAGCTGTGACTGTGGGGCTGCTTCGCCCCTACTGCTGTTTGCAAGGCAGACAGGGCAGAAACATCCCAGAGAAACATCGCAGGAACTTTGTTCAGAACATATCCCCTCACTTGCTGCCTGCACACAGAACCAGGCAGTCTAGACTTGTTATTAGCCTAAAAATAGCCAGGCATTTTGTCTCTTAACAACAACAGGAACCAGTCACACGTTCGATCTACAATGAAAGCAGCTTGCACAGCGCTCACCCAGAAGCACTGGACACTCACATGGGGATTAAGCAGTGCTAATGCAGCCACAGCAGTGCCAGGAGATGGAAGCACAGAGCTCGGTCCATGCCCCTGGCAACCACTTGAGCTGCATGTCTGGCAGCCACGGCTCTGCTCAGCTGCAGGAGCCCATTTGAGTATCCAAATATTAGCAAGGAGAAAGAAGAGCGCATTGGCTTCACTGGCCGCTGACAATGTCAGCTGTGGAGCATCCACTGCCTGTCTCCCTAGCTTCTAGAGCCAGGTATCTCATCCCTCTGCTTCATCCTCTGCACATCCAGCAACATGACAAAGCCATTCTCAAGGACAGCACCCCATCCCACCTGTCTAAAACTTTGGGAAGCACAACATGGCAAGATCTTCCCTCCATGCAAAGGAAAGTCTCGTGGATCAGAAGTCTTCTACCATCTGGAACTGAAACTAGGAAGTGCTTAATTTTAAAAATATAAATAGCTTTTTTATTTCAAGTGACCAGATCCTTAAAGTGAAGCTGGGTATGTTTGAATGAAGGCCTCTCTGAATTGTCTGATTTCCTGGCTCTGCAAACCCATGCACAGCACTCACTTTTGCTCATACCTCATACTCTTGGGATAATTTCAGGTTATCATTAGCTTTGAGATGCTCTGTGTGTTCAGCCAGCTCGGAAACAGGGATTGGTGGGTGGCTGAGCATACCTAAAAGACAAGACAGCAGGAAAAGAATCTCATTTAATAGTAACTAAAATTCACAACTGTCACACATTTTATAAGAAAGAAGAAACAAGAAAAGAAAATAAATTACAATGTAAGATCTGCAATGAAAGTAGGGAGGTTAGAAGAGAAGAATTCAGGGCTCGAAATTGTGTCCTTGGAAGTAAAAACAATAAAAAATAAAAATCACGGAAATAATTAAAAAAACAACAGTAAAATGAGTGTTTTCACAATGGCCCCTTTTTCAAATGCGTAAATCAGAGCAAAACAAAAAGTAAAATCTGAAGAGCAGATGTGCGTTAGTGATTCCAATAGTGGACTTAAAATGAGCAAATGCTGCCAGAGGAACCTACGCAGCAAATGGTACAGCACCCGCCATGACTGTAAACAAACTCCAACACAAAAGAAGGGAAGGGGCACAGATCCAGCCAACTGTGACCATGTGGGGCAGGGAAGGGGATGCAGATGGGGGAAGCAAAGGAGGCTTTTCAGGAATTGTCTGTAGCACACCAATGGCTCTGTGGGCTTCTCAGTGAGCTCATGGATGTGGTGGTCTTAACCCTCACTACTGCAAGAACGCAGCCAGCTACGGAAATGCTGAGTGCTGGCTCCTCTTCCTTCTCGTGCACTGCAGAAGACCTTCCAGAGGTCCGTCTGAAGGGTCGGCTGTACAAGCCCCATCAGCAAACTCTGCTGTGAGTTCATTACCTTCTGTGTCAGACAGGCAGAAGATCTTTGTAACCCTCCTTAGTCTGGGGAATGGGAAACAATTCACTGGGGAGACCAACGCTTCACAACCCTAGTTCACCAGCTTCCCTGACAACAGCAGCTGTGCTCATACCGAGACAGAGAACAGAGCTTGTGTCCCTCAAGACCTCCTGGCACTGAGGGCCACACTGCAGCAGGCTGAAGGCAACCAGCCAGGAATGGGGCTGAGCAGCAAAGGCAGAGCTGTGCCTATGGTGCTCCTAGAAGGGCAGCTGGAGCTCTGGAAGGAGCAGGGACCCTTCTCATCTCATCATCTTGAAGAACTATACTACGAATCATGGTGGAAAAGCTCTCCATGCTTTGCTCATCTGCATTGGATCATGTTTTTCCAAAGCCTTCCTGTGCTGCCTGCCGGCTGATCCTGCTACAAATGCAGCCAGTGAGGGCAGCAGCATGCGGAAAGGCCTTGGGCAGTGCCCCTGTGGGAAGGAGTGGAGAAGAGATGGAAGCCAGGGAGAATTTCGAGCCCCGTGGGTGTTGGGTGTGTGACAAAGCAGCGGCAGTGGCAGCAGCATGGTCAGATACTCCAAAATCTCAGCACAGAGATGGCAAAGCAAGCATGACATCCTCAGTTTTACAGTGAGCCCTGGAAGGACGCTGCCTCCCCCAGACCTGGGGGCAGGACACGTCTGCCAGAGTGAGGGTCACAGCCACCACTCCAGCGCTCTTTTCTAAGCTATCTAGATGTCTCTTTTCAGCACAAGGAAGCTTACCCAAAAATGGAAGGGCTGTGTGGGGAGAACAGATCAAAAAACCCACTAGAAAATAACTCCCAAGTCTAGATTGGCTCCATGCTGTTCCACTGGCTAGCAGGCAGAACACACCTCCAGCTCACAGAGGATGGGCTCCCAGCACCTCCTGCCCCTTTCACCCAAAGGATTCCCCCTTTGCTTCCCACTAGAGCTGCCACCTGCTCCACACCAGGTGCAGTCTGGGGCCATTCAGAGGAATCCTAGAATGGCTGGGTTGGAAGGGACCTGGAAGAACATCCAGTTCCAACCCATGCTCATTCTGCCCTGTCCTTCTGCATCTGAATGGAAGGGCTGAAGAGGACAGCAAACACACCCGGAGCTGCAGCATTACAGCAAAGCCGAGCCCAGCTCAGAACAACTCACGGCAACTCAGCTGCTGTCTCAGGTCTCTAGTCCTGCCACCAGCACCCAACTGCTGACAAACCCAGGGGCTGCTTGCTGAGGTGTGGTTAGAAACACAGCAGTGTGGATGAAATTCCAAAAAACGGACACTTAACATTAAAAGGAAAAAAAAAAGAAGAGCAACCAGAAAGCCTGGTAGAAACAAGCAAGCAAGAAAAAAATCCATCAGATGCTCTTTGGCTCTGAAATCACAGAGCTGTAAGCATCATTCCCTCCGAGCACGGGGTCTGCCTGGGAAAGGCCCACTGCACCCATGTGCAGAGAGAAGTCGTGTCCCCTCCGAAGGCACTGCACAAGTTTCCTTAAACAACCTTCATGAGATACGGTCAGTGTGCCCAGTGCCTGAAAATCAGCTCTGTCTCTTTGCCAGGGACCGCTGTGTGTCCACCTCCCACCACTGCAACAGCTCTGGCTGAGAGCATGTGGGAGCTTATCTGGTTTTGCTGCTGTTAAGGACAGGAATCTCCTGGTAGGATTGATTTCTGGGGCTCTTAATAATAAAACAAAACTGGAAACCTTTGCAGTAATAAGCACTTCCCTGGCCAGAACACCAAGCACACTGGAATTCCCACAAAGGCTGAGGTGGAGTTTGATATTCAATGAGCCAGGAGCAGCGCTTTCCAGCAGTACCAGCCGGTCTCAGCTGAAACTCCTTTGCCTGCTTTAATTAACAACTCCCCTTAGTCAAGAAGGATGTGGCTCCAGGTTTCCCAGCTCAGTGACCCCTGGCAATGGGGGCGGCAGAAGGAGCCCTGGTGTGGGCTGAAAGAACACACAAAGCCTTCATGTGTTCCAGTGAAGGGGCTGAGAGGAGGTGGCAGGTGCACTGAGACAGTACTGGCGGGAGGATTCCAAAGCAACCAGAGTGGTGTTTGGATTAAGCCATTCTGAGGACTGTCCCAGCAGGCCACCAGCAGCACCTGCAATTCTTCACATTTGCAAGATAAAACCTCCCATCTATCCATTATTTCCCTGCCCAGCACAAAAAAAAAAAAAAAGCCCCTATCACTCAGCAAAGCCAGGATCTTTGCTTCTAATGGGGATGAAGTCTTTCAGAGCTGCTCTCATCTAACATTTCAATCACTTGAATCTCTCTAATCTTATCACAAAAGACTTGATTCTCTGTGCACCAGCCAACTCACCAGCAACGTCACCCTAACATCTGTTCCATGGGTCAGAGCCCGTCTCTTCCCGCACAGCGACTGAGGCTGGATGGCACTGCATGAACCCACGGGCTGCGGAGGGCCCTGGAGAAGCCTCTGGTCTTTGTGCTGCTGGAACAAGTCGCTGCCAAGGAACAGGCACCTGCCACAGATGGGCAAAGGCCCCTTCCCCATCTACACAGAAAGATGCCCACATGGCTCTTCCCAAAGAGAGGGCATCGTTAGCTGCATCTCATTTCCTCCTTCCCCACGTTATGAAGCAATGAACACAAAACCACAGGCACACACACATACAGGGCTCACATGCTGGTGCACAAAATATCACTTTCTGTCCAGGAATAAGTACGAGGGACACATAGCCAAGCTTCAGAAACGGAACATCATTGACAATGGGGAGAAAAGAGAGCCCTGAAACACACATTCTTATCCTCAGAGAGACACGGAAGGATGGACAGTGTCCCATACTGCTGCTGAGGGCTCTATCCTTTACGCTGCTGCTACTGCCCATGTTGTGCAAAAGGCCTGATATTTGGTACTGTAAAACTGGAAGCGCTGTTCAGACAAACAGATGGCACAGAAAAGGGATGAGATGGGCAGACACTGCAGGAATACAGAGAATTCAGCAAAAATAAAAAGTAACAGGAACGAAACAGAACTGGAAAGGAAAGCGATAGAAGAGGAAAAAATAATTATGGGGAAAAAATGAAACCAACAGGAACGAAAACACACAGGAACTAACTTTCAAAGTCAAACTCAGGGTCACTGAGAGGGCTGCTCAGACCAGAATCTGCAGAAAACAGTAAAAAAATAAAAATAAATAAAATATACACTTTCTGAAAAATTTCATGCTAAAGCAAAAAAACAAAACAAAACAACATAAATCTAAAGAGGAAAAGAAAGTTATTTTTTGTGCTGATAAGGCAAGGACAGGCTCTTTAAGATTTGTGCTGCTCTGTCCTCTGTCTGAGCTGCTTGTGCCCGCACCCATCCCCACATCCCCCCTCTGCTACCCCTCTGGGGACAAGACAGAGACCCCTCAACATGGAAACCTGCTGGAGAAGAGCCCACAGCCACCTACAAACCACAACAGACTTCACTCAGATGGCTTTAATTCCAACAGCCCCTACAGAGCCTTCCACCTGAAAACCGCACCACAATCTGCCCATCATCCCCAGCACACTGAGATCAGAATTTCTGTCTGTTCCCTTTTTGCCCAATGGCTATCAGCGTGGGAGGCAGGTGATCACCTCTCCCAGATCCTTTCAAACATTCCATGGCCTTACAAACAGCAGCAGAGGAAATCAGCCAGCTATCTCGAGCTGGACAGCGTTACAAAGAAAAGTTGGCAGTATCCTTTTAAGGCTAGATAGGAGAAAACCTGGCAGCCTTTTTGAGATCTACGGACTTCTAGCTGAGTCCTAACAGCAGCCTTGCATGTCTCTGCTGCCTTTTACAAGCCTCTCAGATCAAGAATTCAGAGGTAAGCATGACCTAACTAGCAAAAGACCCATCCGTCTGTTGAGCACATTAACTGAAGCTAGGAAGCACCTCTTCCTCAGCTGACTGCAGGGAGAAATATTCAGTAAGGCAAACACAAAAAGCAGCACTCCCACTTGCCTCTTAGCATCCAGGTTAAGCTGGATCTTCTATCTTTGCACTTATCCTAGCATCAGTTTCAACGAGCGCAGCTCTTTCCTGAGTCTCCTATCACCACTTGGAGCACTCACAGGCCAACCTCTCGTCTGCACCCAGCATAAACCACAGAGGCCAGACAAACACAAACTGCTGCTGAGCTGCAGCTGGAGACTCTCATAAGAAGTGGCTTATACAAACTTACTGTTGTTTATGCAAAGGGCAGCTGGGACAGCAGGATTCTGAAGTTTTCCAAGTTTTCCTGCTGCAGATCCCAAATACCTTCAGACTCTCCTGCAAGAGCACCACTGAGTAAGAGCTGATTTAGAGGTCCAGCTGCAGTTGAACTGCTCTTCATTCAGTCCCTGCATGCTGGATTAAACCTGCTTCCATCCTCTAGCTGAGACTCAATCTTTCCTACACTTGGATAGATACCGACATGCTGCTCCTAACTTTTTAATACAAACGCCTCAGTCCAGCACTGTCCTTGCAGCTCCCTGAGGACCCCTGCTTTCTGAATACCTATTGGCTTGTCAGCCTTGCCCTAAGCAAACTCAGACAATGCTAAGGACAGGACTGGGATGGGGAAACAAAAGCTGCAGAAACATTACTAACAAGCACAAAACAGCAAAACAATACAAACAAACTGAAAACAATAGCCAGCCCCCCCCAAAAGCACAATTCCCTTTCCAAATCCTCAAGCACCAGAAGCAGAGGTCCATACCAGTGCACAGGCACTGCTCGGCATCGCCACACGTGTGTGTACCAGGATGTGCCCGTGCTGGCCTGTGTCAGTGGTGGATTGCAGAAGTGCCATGCAGGCAGCTTAGACATGCATGTGCATGGGGATGTGGGTGCACAGAAAGGAGGGTGCACTGGCCTCTCTGATGGGACATAGCGTAGTCACATGCCAGCTTAGCAGCTGTACACTGAGGAGATGTTGCCTCTCCTGCGCGAAGCAACCAGCTGCCTTTCTCTGTCCTCACAACCCGTGGGGCAGGCCCGGCTCCTAATGGAACCCTTTTGGTGTGTACAGAGCAAGGACCAGTTACAGATCTGGCTGAAGCACACAGCCCTGCCATGCTTCATCTCTGCCACCCCAGGGTTTCCCTGCGCAAGGCTGCATAGCAGTGCTGGTGGGCAGGCAAGCTTGGCGTAGCTACACTTGCAGCTGTGTACTTCACCCAGAATGCACCGATTTCTTTAGCTAGGTTGCCATGAAAGCTCTTCTTCCTGCCTCGCGATTGCTAGGTGGAGTCTGCAAGGCTCTCATGGTTTCCCAGAAAAGGTTAATTTCATCAGTTTTGCTTAGCGTAGGCAAGTCTTGAGGCTCCCTGGCTGCATGCTAAGTTAGCACTAGGTCTCAAAGGCAGCACCACTGCAGCATGGCAGGAAGGGGCTGGGGAAAGGGCTCTGCTTCTGCCCTCCCAGTGAGAGAAGTCAGTTTGCAGCTGGTTACCTGGAGTCTGGAAGTTGATGCGCCTCATTTCCACAGGGTCCTTGGGGTGGTGAGGGGTGATTTCAGCATTGTTCAGGAGGCATTTTGTCCGTGGCTCTGAATCTTTCCGTTTGCTTAAAAAAAAATAAATTAAAAAGACAAAGCAGCTTAGCTTAGAGGCCTCTTGGTCTTTTCAGCTCCCCCAGAAATCAGGGTCAGCTACAGCCATGCCCTGAACAAGGATATAAGTTACACAGAATGCATCAGAAAAGGGGTAAGGTTCGGAATATTTTATCATTGTAGCATTTGATTGGTTTTACAACAGCTCAGCAGTTTACATGCAAGTCTGGAAGTTCCCCCTTCATGCAGCAGAAGTACAAGAAGGCAACAAGGAGCAGCTGAGGTACTGTGAACCCATACCACAGCTCCCCTGCACAGACAAACCTCCACTCAACACTGCAGAGCTCTGCAAGTGGAAACGTTCCAATTCTGGCCAAGCCACTCTCAGCCTGAGAGAACCAGAGCCAACAGAATCATTTGGAAAAGTACAGAATCTCCTGACCATGACCTTGGACATAAAGTACTGCTATTTCTCCATTGGCTTGTTTAGGAGTTCTTACTGCCTCGCAGACAGAAAAGTCAAGGCAGTGGTTTTCAACCTTTTTTTGATCTACAGAACCCTAAAAATCTGGGTTCAGAACCAGCACAGACACATCCTCTTCCATCACAGCTGTGCCTGCTGAGATCTGTCTCACCTCCTTGCCAGAAGCTGAAGCCCGCGCTGACGTGCCAGCTGAGCTGCACATGAAAGTGCTTCAAAATCTATTCTGCTTAAAACACGCTAGGTTAGCTGAGGCAGTTTAAAAGTCCTTGCTGACCTGGCTCATTCTCCTTGAAAAGAATTTGGAAGCAAAGCCCAGCGCTGATCTGAAGAGTCGATAACCTCTGGCAAGGGAACAGTGACACGCAGCTGGAAGCAGAACTTCTTGAATGAGCAGAGAACATGTACCCACACCTCAGGGCTTGCAAATATTGTCCTAGCCCCTCTCACGAGATGGCTGTAAAGCTCCTCACCTCTCCTGCCCAGGTTGCACAGATGCCTCCCATAATAAGCCCGCAGCAATAATGGTAATTGCTTAGGCAGAGAGGAGCTTGCTCAGTGCACTGTTAGCTGTCTCTTAACATCATTAATAGCTAGAAGAAGTGGCATGAGCCCTGCCAGCACTTAATGGGGCAGCATTTTGGAATTACACCACTTTGCAGTTTAGGAGTAGTTTATTTTTGCTGCAGTTCTGAAACTGCTGTAAAGTAGTTCATTGGCTAAAGTCATCTGTTACTTCAATGAAAGCTCTCCCAGCCTTGAAAATGGTTTGGAATAGCCTCATTCTGCAGCTGTAAGCAAACTGTTAGAAGTCCCTGGGTGATGGGACAAGAACTGCTTTTACAAGAGGGTGAGAACATCTCAGCTGGTGAGATTCTGTTTCTAGTATGCCAGTGGCTCAGAGAAGCCTATATGGACACTCAGACATAAAGAAAACCCACTGACTACAACACAAATGCATGTTTCCCTGCTCCATTAACCCATGGTTTTATGAGTTGCTTACTGTCACTGCTGCTTTGCTTGAGAAAGGCCATTATATTTAGGACCAATAGGCAGAAGAAAGCTGGCATTTCTTTCCCTTTTCTGCCCCATTTCAAACATGGTCTTTGGTGGGTGTCCTTTAGGAAAGATCTAGCAGTAGAAACAGTACCAACACAGCCCCATCACCAGAGACAGTAAATACTGCCTAACACACAGCCAGCCCACAGAAAAAGAACCTTAGTAAATGGCAAATCTGGTGCTCTTACCTGTCTGGTTTGCTGTCCACGAAAGCAGTGAGTGGAGAAAAGACAAGACAAATGTCCAGATTAGAAAGGAACTGTAGAAGAATTGGGAAACATTCGCTCAGCTCTACCCCTGGTAACACAGGTGGAAGGTGGGACCAGCACTCCCCAGCGCTAATGAACACTAACGAGGCAGTCCCTGCTCCCTGCAGTACTTTTCTGTCTAGCAGCTTCACATAGTCTGGGACATAAAAGATACTCGCATGTGCATAAGCAAATGCACCTCTGCAGATGAAAGGTGGAGCAGGGTTAATTGAGATCTCTCCATAATGGGTAACGTCCCCATGGACACAGCTGTACTGGCTAGAGCTGCCATCCTGCCTCTTTTCTTGATTTATTTTGCTCAGCTTCTGTTTCCTTTCCTGTCCTCCTTTACTGCATGATGTGACCTGTCTGTTCTCAAGAGGCTTCTACTCCTGTCTGTGCACGATGAGCTACTCCAAAATCCAAGGAAAAGAGACTTCCAGAGGCTGTTCACTATTTCAGCATTTTTGCCTTAAGAATCCTCCCTGGCGCTGGTGGGAGGATTTGCTCTCCAACTAACAATTTTAGGACCAAGTAGGAAACTGCCTTTAGACTCCAGTCTCCAGTTATTCCTGGAGACATTCAGAATTGTCACAGATCTGGGCAAGAAGCATAACTTACTTTTTGTAGAGCAGAATGGCAATGACAATGCAGATGATGAACACCACGGCCAGGACGGGCCCAATGACCCAGATCAGCCCTTCCTCTCCGTCAATGATTGGCTGTGGGTCAGGGTTGTCCAGCTGGATAGGGTCGGAGAACGGACTAGCAGCAAAAGTCTGGAAGATATGAAAGATTGTGGAACAGAGTTCAGAGAAGGAACAGGGATTGAAAATGATGGGCAAACGTGCAATGTTATAGAAGAGATAACAGAAATAGAGGGAAGGAATTAAAAGGCCACCTCTGCTTCATCTGCATGGAGCTGTGCTCTAGAGAAAATAAGAGGCATGTTCAAGCCCACCAGAGTCCTAGCTAAGGAGCACTGTCTGCTACAACCTTCCCACCCCAAGAAAGATGTGCTCCCATCTTACACAGAAACTACAAAAACCAAAGTGCATAGAGTTGAACTGGCAGGCCTTGGTCTGAGTGAAAAGTCTGGCATAGGACAAGAACAGGAGATTCGGGCTCTGGGTTTTCAAAAACTCTATCAGCTCTCAGCAAGACTACAATTTTGCTTCATATGAGGCAGCTGGTGTGATTGCAGGCTGTTGTGAGTGAGCGTGCAGTACCTCGTTCTAAAGCAGAAACTACCACAAGCTGCAGTAATCCGATTGAGAAATGCATTCACAAGCGTGTCAGCCTAATCCTTTAATATCGAACACACAACTAAATATTTATTTTGAAAAATCCCTCTGAAAACCCTTAATTTCAAATAGCTCCCTGCTACAATTCCATAGGGGGATTTAAAAACAACAAAGTATTCAACTGCTTCCTATTGTGCATGAGGGAGGAGGGCAGGTAAATATTAAAACAGTTATTTTCGTAAAGCCAAACACAACACCACTGAAATCGGCTGCGGTGATGAAGTGATGAAGAGAGCAGATCTAGTTTTCCATTAAAAAAATGCTCCCCTCTCTGTTTGGTGGGGAGCTTAGCAATAACCAGGACATGTGGCATGCTGGTCTCAAAGCAGGACATCTGGGGTCACTGCTCTAAGGAATACAGGGGCAATCGTTAAAAGAAATTATGTTTTGTAAAGCGGTTTGGCCCAGGGATCCCTGAAGCGAAGTGTACTGCTGATAGTTCAGTACCCTCCACTCTGACCTCATATCTGGAGCCACAAGTGCAGCAAGTCCTGCCTAAGCAGACTGACAAAATGCAGATGCAGCACACAAGATGCTTGTGTCGTCAGCCTGTCTCCAAGGAACAGCACATTTGCTGGGTGCAGACACAAGCACAAACAGCTCCAATAGTCCACAGCTGGACTAGAAGGCTTTGCTAAGAAAAAAACCCTAAAGCTCTAACATCTGGTGGAAGTGAGTTACAGAGAATGCCAGGGGGGGAGCTGGCAGCTCACAAGAGCTGATGCTGTCTCTGGTTGATAATGGGGACAGCATGGCCACAAGCATCTAAAGAGGGCAAGGCAGCACTTACTGCCTCAGGTTCCTGGAGCACTGCCAGGATGAAGATGACGTATCTCTGCCCCGGCTCCAGGGCTCTGTTCTCAAAGTTGTCGTAGTGTTTCATATCGCCCAGGACAAAGTGGTTGGGGAGGGAACGAAAACGGGCAGCAATGTAGGGCTTGGGGAAGTCCAGCTGACGGGAGTGACGCAGGCTTCGGCGTCGGAGCCTGGCAATGTCCTGAACCAGCTGCAGGAAGCAAAGAACACTGTGAGTACTGATGCCTTCAGCACCTTCAGGAAACGGGAAGGGGGGAGCACCAAACCATGGCACTCCAACTCGTCTCATTTTAGCTACTGGGAACACAGGTCACACACCCCAAACCCACTCTTCCAAGGATCTCCAGTCACCGTAACATCCGTTACATTCTCTGCTCTTTCCCTTACGGCTGGCTGCAGTCTCTGCCACACTCACCTCCTCCAGGTCCATCTCTTCAGGGCTGCCCAAGGGGTTCAGGAACTGTCCTCCACGGGACTTCCTCAGAGGCACCACCACAATGTAGTAAGCTCTAAGAGTTGGGAATAATCAGAAGAAATAGGCCTGAATCTCACTCTGGGAGTGGCAGGAGAGTGCACACACTGACAGAGGAAAGCCAGGTCTGCCCACTCCTGGTGGCTCAACCCAGTAAACCTCTTATCTTTAATTTATCAAACTTGTTACTGCTGTTTCTGGATTCAGCGACAGCCCCACATAACATGCCTCCCTTTGCATTAGCCCTGGGAAGTGTCTCCATGAGACAAGACTAAGGCAACGTTTGAACACACAGGGAACACACCCTCTGTTGCAGTCCTTGTGGGTTTGTGCTATGGACTCCCTGCGACATGAACTGAATACACCAAGTCTGCAGTTTACCAGAAACCTACTGGACAGCCACAGAGCTCTTCACATCAGGGAGAATCACCACCACGTTGCCATCAGCATCAGGTTTGTGGGTCACCTCTGGCTTCCTAGATAACATGTTAGCAGCGGTCCAGGCAGCCACATTCTGCTGCAGGCCACCCATGCTGTTGCCGCGGTTCATGAGAACAAAGTTGTAGAATGTATGGGGCTTCAGGTTGGTGATGAGTTTCTTGGTGGTGCGGCCATCCACATCAACATTCAGCCCATTGTACTGGATCTGCGCAGGGAGAAGAGGCAGCAAAGATGTACCATGAGCAAGGCTGATATTGCCTAGACAACCAGACTCCTTTCCTTGGGTTTGCAGAGAACATGGGCCGCTTGACTGTGCCCTGTTCCAACCAGAGCAACCTGTGCAAACACAGGTACAGCAGCCATTGAGTGGGAAGCTGTCTGTCTCAAGGGCTGTAGTGTCCCCAGGCACAAGGCAGACAGAGCACAAGGCCTTAAAACTTCTCTGCGAAGAGAACTTCTTCTCTGAAAATGGGAAGTGTGGTAACATGCCTAGAGACAAAGGTTTTGTAACAGAGGTAAGAGTGCAACCCCACAGGCTGATTATCAGCACACCTGCTTGATCTGGAGATTAACCATTATTTGCTCATATCTGAGAACCAGATCCAGAATTTCTGGCTCTTATGATCTGTTCTTCAAATGAACAGACAAGACTGCAGGAAATTGAGAAGGAACACAGTTCTGACTCTTGCTTTTTACTTGCCTTGTATGGAGTGGGAGAGTTGTAATTCTCAGGAAACTCCCAGCTCAAAAGAACAGACGTCTTCGTCACCATCTTCACCTTGAAGTTTTTGGGTAAAACTGCTGAGAGAAAAGTGAGGAAGAAGGGGACAAAGAAGAAAAGGCAGCAGAGGAAAGGAAGAGCAAGAAACAGAAGGAAGACAATGTCAGACACTGGCAAAAGAGTCTGCCAGTCAGGTTCTGGCTGCTGCAGCAGAAATGGAACGGCTTGCTCCCTCCTTCACACTTTGCTTGAGTTTTGCCAAGGTTCACTACCTAATGTTCCCTGACCTCATGCCTAATCCCGGAGAGGGTGAGGGAGGATGCATGGCCCTGCCCCTCACCCTGTCCGTGCTCAGGGCACACTATGGGACCAGGTGGCTGCTGCAGGAACAAGGTGCTGGCTTTCTGAGCATGCTCAGGTGAGGAAACCCATCCCAGGTAACATTTGAGGTTTTCTGATTTTTGTTTTCTTTCGGCTGCTTGCAAAAGCTGAAGAAAATGCTCTTCCCACCTGTATAGCGACTGGCCCCATACTTCAGGTGCCAGTGAAAGAAGGGTGTCCGGACTTAACTTAGAAAAAAGTGGTAAAAGAGACTTACCTGGCACAAGACAGAGAGGAGCTGAGGGACAGAGCATGAAACCAGAGTGCTCTGCATTTACTCGCGAGCCTGGCTGAGCCTAGCTTTACCTCTCCAGCTCTCTGCCTCCTGGCACCAGCCCCGGTTACAAGGAGAGAGAGGGAGGAGAAACCGGTAAGTCCTACCTTGATCCAGCTGGAATGTTCGATACTGGACGGTCGGGCTGTACGGCCCGGGGCCTTTACTGGTGTGAGCACGGATTTTAACATCATAGGCAGTGTTGGGTTTGAGGCCGTTGAGGGTGTACGAGTTCTCTGGGGAGGGGGGCAGGTCTTTTTCCAGTGGGTTGCCGGGAGAACCGGCTTCCCGGTAGGCCACGGTGTATTTGACGATGGCTCCATTCCTCTCGGCCAGCACGGGGGGGAGCCAGCCAAACTGGACCGACATGGAAGTGATGTTGCTCGCCTCGAGGATTTGGGGGTAACCTTTGGGGATATCTTCAGGGGTGGTGAGTTCCTGCACAGCTTCCTCCCCAAAGCCAGCCCGGCTTTTCACGGCCAGCTTGAAAACGTATGTGGCGCCTTTGTGGATGCTGGGAGCGGTGTACTTATCCTCCAGGGCAGAGAACTCCAAAGTAGCCAGCGGGTCGACATCCTTGCGGCCAAACTGGAGCCGGTAGCCCATCACCTGGCCTTCTGCATCCAATGGAGGCTCCCATTTCACCAGAAGAGTATTCTCCTCTGTCTGGTGCACAGACAGGATGGGCTTGCCTGGGACTGGGAGAGAACAGAAACAGCTTAAGCCATGTGTGGGACAGGGTGGCTGGTGAGGTGATGCAGAGACTCTTGAGCTGCAGCACAGGTTCCTCAAATTGGTGGCAAGTTCTCACCTTGACCTTGTGTACCTCACTACCCCATGCTGCTGCTACCCACCCACTTTACAGGTGAATGGTCTCCACCAGGTTTAGGAGAGGAGATGCGCTGCTGCTGTGATGTTCTTACACGTTTCTGGATTTTTGTTCCTTGTCCTTGGGAAGGAAAGGTGAGCCCTGCTGCCCTCTTATCACTGGACCACTTTACCATAGCTGGGAAGAACAAACTCAGGAGTCCTCTTGTCCTCATCACCCGAGCAGATTGCATCACAGCACAGGGACAAACGAGTGCAGGAATCCCTTAAACTCCTGTTTTCTCTCTCTCTCTCTATTAAGCAACACAACTCATGCAGAAAGAGACTGGAACAGATTGGCTCAGGCTGGGAAGGCCAGAGCAGCTGCGGGTGAAGTAATGAAGGATGGGGAAGGAAGGTCTGGGCAGCCTGAGGTCCTGAGCAGCAGGCACGAGGCCAGCTGAAGAAAGTCTGGCAGGCATCTGATCAAACCAGTTGGGTACAGAGAGGCACACAGAGAGTTGAAATATGAGCCCAAAATCTGTGCAAGGTGCAGGGCAGGAAGAGATGCTGCAATTTCTCTCCTCTGGGTGAAGGGAAAAGACATCTGAGCGTTGGTGTTTTTCAGCTAGCTCCCTCCTCACCCTGTCAGTTAGTTTCTCCACGTTTGGGGACTACTGCAGAAACTCAGCAGTGCCTCTGACTAATGAGCCCTGGCTCAGCCTGACAGCAGAGCAAGCCATCGCCACAGTTAAATGACATGTGTAGGCCCAGAGGTTTCTGAAGCTGGAGAGATCAGAGCATTAATTCCAGCAGCTCACACATCATTTACATTCACTCCACTATTAGAGCTAATTTCCTTCTCTATGCCTTGGTGTTTCTTCTGATTGAGCAGGAAGGAGAGAGAGAATGGAATATAGGAGTGACCCCGGCCCACTCTGGCAGCACGTGTCTGACTGAGAGTTGGCAGGGTGGAAAGCTGCAGTGCAGCTAACAAAGCGAGCAGGAGGGAGCTGGCAGGGAAGGATGCTGCATGTGGCAGGGATGCTGGCAGTCATTCCAGAGAAACCACTCTGTTGAGTGTACAACTGACATGTGAACAGAGGGATGAGGCGCTGCCTCTGAAACCAATGCTTCGTTCACTTTGAACTGCCATCGGGTGCCTGGGAGCAGCGCTGGGAGATCCTCTGTTGGAAATACCAAAGAAACACATTACAGAGAAAACGCTGCCGTTACTTTTATGCTTCTGTTTTTATCACAAATGTTGCTACAACCAGCTGAGCTTGAAAATATTACATTTGAACAACAAATATTGTTTTGGAGAAAGGTGAGAAGAAAGCAGGGGGAAGTGTTTTATTTTGCAATTGGTTTGGACAGTAAAGGAGAAAATAGGATGTAATACTGTATTTAAATTCAGCCCCTAGCCCTGAATGATAAAAAAGATCTCTCTTCTCAGAAGGTATACTGACTCAATGCTGCAAAGAAGATAAGAATGTTACAGAATCACTTGGAAGTTTTTTTTTTAATAGCTATTTCAAGTTGGGGGAAATTGAGTTTTGGGTAATAGCTGCTGTGCTGGAGAAAACATCCCTCTGCAACTGATCATCTGCACTACAAACCCTAATGGGGAGACATGGGAGAGGTTGACAAGAGAGTGACAGGAGAGGAAGGGAGGGAGAAAAAAGGCTCCAGAGAGAAAAATGAAGAAGGCAGAGAGCCCAGGAAGAAAGACAAGAGAGAAGAGAACCAGAGAGTGAGAAGACACACGAGCAAAACTGGAGGGGGAAGAAGACAAGAGAAGGAAAAAGCTTCTGGCAGAACACTGATACTACAGAGCATGAGGACAAGAGTCTGGATGCTGGCATCCAAATGTACCCTACTATTTCCTCCCATGTCCTGGAAACCAACCTTGTTCTCCATCTCTTAGCTATGCAGGAGAGGCAAGAAGGGAGAGAAAGGCTGAATTCTCATTTTGTCTGAAGACGGAAATATAGCATGGGATCAGCTTGGGACCGACAAAAAAACAGCACAGAGGGCAGCTGCTGCTCCAGTTTTGCACATTTCAGGCTCCTGAGCCCCTTCTGTCCTGTGCCCTCTGCTGAGGTCTGTGCTGCCCCCAGAGCCTCAGCAGAAGTCTCTGGGTTAATTATGCTGCACTGACCAAAGGCCTTTGACCACTGCAAAAGCAGAGCTCCTCCAGAAATAAGAGATGATGTCAGTTATGAAGCTGCTGGAAGCAGGGTGAAAATAACTGCCCCACAACTAAGAAGAAAATGAACAGGCAGCCAGGGATGAGACTAGACAACGAAAAGAAATGACAAGGGCAGAAAGCCATTACCTGACAGCCCGAGCAAGGGCAAGATGGGGTGACAGAAGGTAAGCACAGTCCAACAACCAGGTCAGGCATAACAGTCTTACTCCATTACACAAAACCTTCCCCATGCTGCATAGCAGAGCTCTGTCTGGGAGAGCACCAACCACAGGAAGGCAGATGCTGAGAAGACAGGTGGAACGCATGCCTCTGCTTTCTGCCTGCAGCACAACCGTGTGGAGGAACAAGGAGTACTCTGGTGACCTTTGTCACTCCTTTCAGGCCCTACTGTCATAGCTTTACATTGCATCCTCTGCACTGAAGCTGACAGACTTTGCCATGAAGTATAGGGCAAAGGGGGGAATGAATCTGGGTGGTATGTGCAGAGCGAGCCCAGGTTGCAGAACTGTTTGCAAGAAAAGGTCAATACTGTCATTATTTTCCTCCCTACTGATCACTAGTCACGGGCAACGAGGGCAGGTATGTTCAGGCACGATGCTAAAAGAAGAGAAAGCTGGGCAGTATAAGCCTTCATCTCTGCTGCTTTTCAGCTCTTTGCAAGTAAGCACCGTGACAGCAGGCCTCTGGGCCTCCTGTTCCCCACGGTACGTGTGTGTGCCCACCATCAAAGCTGCAGGGTCTCTCCAGTGTCACCACACAGGTCAGTTCAGGCAAAGATCCTCTTAATTCTGGTGCACTGAAATTTACAGTGCACAAGATTACAAGCAAAGAATTTGTCCACTGTTGTATTTCTGGATGTGGGAACTTCCTGCAGCACTGAAGAGAAAATTCTTTCATTTATTGAGGACTACCTCTGAGGAATGAAGGATTTTCTTACTAGAAATAATTTTTTCTCCAGGGGCAGCATGACATTTGTTGTGAGGACAGTGAGATGAAAGAAATTTCCTTGCTCCGGGACACTGTGAAACTGGGGCACTGCAATGGATCAAAAAAAAGTCTTACCTGCACCCTTAGTGGTGACCACTTTTGGTTTGCTGCGAGCACCATCTCCCTTCATGGTGTAGGCGGCTACGGTAATGGAATATGCAGTCTCAGGCTGGAGCCCAGCAATGACCATCTCCTGTTTGCAGGATTCCAAAGGAAAATGGTGTAAATATTTATGGACATACACACAGGTAGATCTCTCCTGCTTGTGGGAATCTCGGGTCTTTTCTAACATGCAGAAACATTCCCTGAATCTGAAACCACCAGGCACTCAGGGTTAACCTAGGCAGATGTAGGAACTGCAGGAGGATGAGGGCCACGTTCCTCTGGTGAGCAGCATGCACATCCCAGCTGCAAACAGCCCCTCTGTAAACACAGCATGTTTCTGCAGGCCCTGATTCAATCTGTTCCCTTCCAGATCTACCTCTCCCACAACCAGTATCTCAACACAAACTGCTTCAGCCATCAAAACACTGCTGTGCTCTTCAAAGCATTCCTCTTCGCTATGCTGTCTCAGAGGAGGTTTCAGTGGTTTCAAGGAGATTATGTGTTTTTATCCTTCATCCCCTCCCTTCTCTGCTCAGAGATATTCTTATAATGCCTTCATAATATTAAAAGGATTGCTTTAACACAAAGTGCAAGACGACGTTTTTTGCTTGCAGGTTAAGAACTCTACCAAATCCCCAATGCCCTCCTTCCTCCCTCCACTATCAGCCTCACCACACCTGATTCCCAAAAGCTTTTGTTGGAAGATGGGCCTCAAGAACAGCCCTTCCCCATAAAGCACTCAGCTCCTCCAAGGGCTGTGCTGTAACAGAACATCCATGCTAAACCAAACAGGATGGGGGCACTGCAGCAGGGTTTTCTCCATGGCTCTGAGAAGAAGGGAGATGTGAATTCTGTGCATGTTTTGTGACCTTCTTCTCCCTCACCCCTACTGTACCTCAGTGCTTTAAAAATGAAATTATAGGGCAGCACTTGGAAAATTTCTGGTGCTGAAAATATCTGTGTTGCCCTCACAGCTGAGCACGAGGTGGAAAAGCAGCACTTCAAAATAGCAGGACTTCAATCAAGTTTGGAAGCCGTTAGCTAGGGAGACAGGTCTGCCTTCTGGGAGTCAAAAAACCCGTCCTGTCTTCACACACATCACTGAGTTCTATTAACATTTTAGGCAAGCAACACAGCCTCTCCATGTGTAATGAGCGCCTTGCTTTTGTAGGGTGCCCAGCAATCTCTGGGAGATACACATATATTCACTGTAGCAGTGTATTATCCTGGGACCCCACTCCTGCAAGGAAATGCTTTTTCCTGCTGCTTTGTAGCAGTTAAGATCACTGAAAACCATTTAGCACTTTAGCAGAAGCAGCAAATGCCAAACAGCCCATATGACTTTATGGTCTACTTGAAAGGCAAAAGAGCCAACAGCAATTCAGGGCTTTGTGTAAACAAGTATTCTATGAATTTTGGCCTTTCCAGGGCACAAAGCATTTGCTGATAACTTGGAAGTTATAGGGCTTTGAATATCCAATGCTTTTCAATCTAACTTTGTTTTTCAGACACAAGGCTGGGTGGTGGCACAGCAGCTCATCTTTAGTGTATGTTCAAGGTCCTCCCAGCCTGTGTCCCACCTGCTTCCCTGTGGAGGAGCAGCAGACTTGTCTTTCCTTCAGAGCTGAAGGGAAAACCCTGCAGTACCACCGCGTGCTGACAAACTACACAATCACACAGGGTTGCAGAGCAGAGCAAACGGGGCGGGCACAATGCACGGGAACACCAACAACAGGCTTTAAAACAGGCACACTGGCACTGCAAAAACAAAGAAAAAAACCAAACAAACAAAAAAAAGAAAAACACCACAACAGGAAGTGGGAGAAGGGGAGGGACAGAACCAGGACAGGAGGATCGTTTTGTTTTTACTTACATATTCGGCAGTGTCATCTGTTTCCCACTGAGCAGAGAACAAGAGAGGTTTTGCGTATGAGAATACAAGAGGGGAAAGAAGGGAAAGACAGAGACACAGCATGAGGAAGAAATCCCTGAGCAAGCAGCCACACAAGGTCAGAAGTTACCAGGCCAGCATGAAGAAAGAAGTAGAGTGGGAGAAATTAGTAGATTCCACCGTGGCCTTTGTCTATCTTAAGAGACTTTGCAGACACAGGAGGATGGACGATATTTAGTTCAATGCTGGGAGAGCAGCTCATGCTCTTCCACAATAGCTGTTTTCTGGGACCGCAAATGAATTGCAGGAAGATAACATCTACCTTTGTCACAGAGACGTTTCTTCAGTAATACCCTGCTTGGAATGAGACAAGGTGGCACCCATCCCCTCAGAGCTTCCACAAGAGAAAAAGAGGTTGGAGCAGGATGTGAGCCTTTACCTGGGCATCAGCCAGCATGATATCCTTGATCTGGGGCAGCCCCCGGGCCTCTCCATTCTCCATGCGCACATAGTGGACCTGGTAGCCGCGAATCTGGCCATGCTGGCGGTTCTGGACTGGAGAGCGCCAGAACACCTGGATTGCAGTGGAGTTCAGGACCTCCACCTCCACTTTCCGAGGCGGCGCGCTGGGCACTGCGAGGAAGGGACGGAAGGAACAAGAGTCACTCGAGGATTTCTGCCTGGAGCCCGTAACTTCCATTACAGCGTGCTCCATCTACAGCCCTGAAAGAAGGGGGAGATCTAACATCAACCTGGCTACTCCACTGCCTGCATTTGGCCTTTAGTCAGTGAGATGGGGAAGCACTCTGAGGGAATCTAATCTGCGCCATCTCAGCCCAGCTATTCCTCCTTTTTCCTCAGTTTGCTCAGCCATATAGCTCCAGGTCAAATTCTGAGGGCAAAGCTAATAATCCAAGGAGCCAGAAAAGCTCTGGCCATGTGACAAGGGATGTTAGGGTGAAGAGGCTGTGGAGGGAGACTTGCCCTTGGAGTTCCCAGTCCTCCCGGGCAGGGCAGGCAGGTCAGTGGTGACAGAAGCTGCGTTGTCTCGGGTCAGGAAACAAAAGATGTCATAGATGGAACATAGGGTCAATTTTTGGAAAAGATAAAACTAAAAAAAGAGCAGTGTCTAAGAGCTTGATATGCAAAAAGCCCACAATTTCTAAGTAACACATCCATCCATTTGGATGTGGGCAGATGGTAAAGGAAACAGGACCAACACTGGGGACAAACTTTACTTGATCTTTTCCAGTCCTTTTTCTTTGGGATGGAGAAAGAAAACCTGAGGAGTTTAGATCTGACTATTGCGATTTACTGGGTATTATTACTGATGGGTTTACCTCACTGTCAGAGTTTTCTGCTCTCCCTCCACGCACACATTCACATTTTTCCCGGTTTTATTTCACTGTATAAATAACAGGGAAGCTCTAATCTTGTCACCATTTGTGTTTGTGTCAGAAGTCTCCACAGTGGACCACTGAACTGGAATGTAAACTGCCCACCATTAACAGTTTTCTGCAAATTTAATGAAGAGACCCTTCCAGAAAGCCTGAGGAGCAGGTAACAAGGAATGCGTGGGGAAGTCTCAGTATTTAAAGTCTCCTCCTTTTCTCTGGCGTCAGTTTCTTACTGCTCGCTTGGAGCACACGGCACGGACGGTGGGGGCCCACAGCCCCGCTTCCCAGAGGGGCAAAGGGGGACAGCCCCCCCAAAGGGGGACAGCACTCCGCTCCTCCAGCCCTCAGGGGGGGGGAGCAGCGCGGGGCCCACGCAGGCCCTGCTCTCGCATCAGCCACGAGAAGGGATTCGACGCGTGGGAAAGCCGGGACAGAACCAGAGAAGCGCAATTACCGTCTTCATCTGTCCGGACGATAACCGGCGAGCTCTCCGGGCCCGGCCCCACCTCCGTATGAGCCACGACAGTGATGCGATACTCTGTCCACTTCTCCAGGGACTCCAGCAGGATCTGACTGGTGGTTGGGGGGATATCATTCACCTCCTTAAGCTCCGTGTCCTCAGAGTCCAGCGCTCGATAGTAGACGCTGTAGCCGGCCAGGACGCCATTTTGGCTTTCGGCCGGAGGCGGCCGCCAACTTACCAGAATGGCGGTGGATCTGGTGCTGACGCACTTTATGTCTTGAGGGGGGGCAGACGGTTCTACGAGGGGGGAAAATTCAGGAGGGAAAGGGAAGAAGGGGGAAAAAAACAAAAGATGGGAAAGATAAAAAAGAAAAAAAAAAGAAAATGACAACAAAAAAATCTAAAATAAAACGTACAAAAATTTGGTTCAGGAAGACAAAATTAAAAAAGAAGAGAGCTTTTTCTTGTTGTCTTTTTTTTTTTTTTTTTTAATTAAAAAAGAAAAAAAAAAAGCCAACAGAAGTGAAATGGGGCATCAAAACTGAAATGCAATAAAGCAAAGCACTGAAACAGAAGCGGGCCGGCCACGAGGGTCCTGCTGCTTCGGGTCTGCCACCAAGCCTGCAAGGCCTTGCCCTACACAAGAGCCTTCCTTCCAGCTCCTGCCTTACAGCGGTCTGGCAAATCCTGCCCTGGCTGCCAATCGAAGCCCTTGTTGCCAATTTGTGGTCTCTGAGACCTCAAACTTCCTTGCAGGGATCTGTGAAAAGTAACTAAGAAAAGCAAATCTTTGGCCAGAAGGTGTATGTTTAAGAGACTGTTCATCCAGATGTAAGTTATTAGTTGTGCACAGACTGAAGAAGGAGAAAAGACAGAGTGTGACGGTCAGGTGCCAAGCAAAGAGCCTGCAGTGTTGGGTGAGGGCAAGTGCTCAGACAGGAGAGCTTAGAAAAAAGTCCTGCAAAGGAGTCTGTCCGGGTATTTAGGTACCAGCGGGATTTTCAGAAGCAGCAGCATGCCTGGCTCTCATTTCACTCACTGTCCAAATTACTGCAGGACATTTGGGGAGGTCCCAGGAGAACAGCTTTGGAGGGCAGCGTCCCTCACTGCAGCGTTTGCTGAGCTGCCCTACCTGACGGCAGCAAGAGCTGCTCAGCACGCTGCAGGACGCTGCAAGCCCAGGCTGCCACAGCCATGTCCTTAGAGACCAGACTGCAAGCAGGACGGGTTTTTTGGGGCTGCCATGGGACTGGAGCCTACTGGACAGAGAAAGTCTGGTATTTCTGTACCCCAGTGCTAACCTGGTCACTCTGGGCTATCTCAGACCAGACTTCCTTCAATCACTAATTGCAATCAATCAGCCCTGGTAAGCAGAATGATCAGTTATGACGGTAAGTCTGCAACTCTCACCTCACTCAGACAATCTGCAACAAATAGGTTTTAATACTCTGCAGATCCTGCTGGAAATGAGGGCATCCTTATGAGCCCCAGAGCATCACACGAGAGCACCAGGGGAGTACACAAACGCTGTGTTCTTTCTCATTTCTCTTTTTCAATCAACAGAAAGCTCTTTCACTGAGAAAGTATTTTTTTTTTTTCAAACATCTCAATGCTGTCCCTGAGTCACCAGCAGATGTTTAGGCACAGCTTGCTTTAAGGACTCGGCTAAACCAGGTCCCACTTTTCTCACTCTGTGCTGTGAAATCTGCATGCTTTTGCCTCCACTAAACAGAAATAAGAGCTTTGTAAAATGGTAGAGATAGTTCCTTCCACTGCAGCACTGAGCACCTTGGCCGGTAGGACGTTTTGAGTGCTCTTCTCCTACTTTCATGCTTTATTACTATTCTTTGGCAGCATTTAAGTGGAGTGAATGAAGCCCTTGCCTTTAGAAATCACAGCAGATTTTGGGTGGCAGTCCCTGGTAATGGCTAGCCACGCAAAGCAACACAGAACATGTGAAATAAACAAAACTCAAAGTAACAAACTTGAAAATAAAACATAAATCAAGCCAATAATTTAAAACATACAAACAAACAAAAAAAACATCAGAAAGGAAATAATAATAATAAAATAATACAAAAGTGACTCTTTCCAGAACATTCCCAGTCTGTTTACCTACCTTCCATGCTTCAACTGCTAACTTATAAGACTTTCTTACGAGAGAACGAGTGAAACTGAGCTACGAGGTCAGACCAAGCTCCTGGTGGGTTTCTGCACATGACTGGCTTTTAGATGCCGCCCGGCCCCACTGCTGGCTGCCTGGCTGAGTTACACTCCCCCTGCCAGCAGAATCCCAGCGATCTGGGTCTCCAATCTGTTCTCTTTTGGTAAGCTACCTGTACAGGAGGCAGAGAGCAGGGTGGCAGATTCCCACTGATGGTTCTCCTTCCCCATTTAGCTCTCTCTGATCTGATGGATGCAGCACCAACGTCTCCAGAATGGAGTTGTACTTCTCCTTCCCACACCCCAGAAACAACTGCGGTCCTTTTAAAGGTATGGAGTAGAAAGACTCAATCATCTTCCAGTGCTGTTTGCTCCTTTTTCATTCCTCATTGGGGGGTGGTGCTTTAAAAGCCACCTTTCCTACTTAGCAGTTGAGACAAAGCCACCACAGCTGAGAAACCCACTGCAGAGAGGGTCTGACCTGACCTACCCTTTCCATCCTGAAACTCATTATGAAAGTCCCAGTAAGCAGAGCTGGAGCTCCAGCTGGTACTTGGGTTCACTGTTTGCACTGCAGCAGCTGCGCATGGCCACGCTCGCTCACTCACCCTCTATGCTCCAGCATGGGGATCTACTGGGAGGCCCAGAAGGGAGAGGCCTCCTTTTGGGGTCGTTTGCTCTTTTTCAGGTGAAGAAGGCAGAGTGGTGGGTGGGGGAGAAGGCCCAGATCCCACCTGGACCTCCTCCCCATCACTCTCATTGACTACAGCACCTGGATGAAAACAGCCACCAAGTGCTGGCTGCCCATACTGGAGACGCATCAGGGGAGTTCATGGCACTGAGTTTCCTTCACAATCCAGACCAACCTGTGTGACCCTGGACACATGCATGCATGCGTGGGGACAGAATTAGTAAAGTGGGAGCAGTGCGCAGGAGGGACAGTATTGCAGCTCAGACTGGAGGCTGCGAGTCCCCCTCTGCAACAAACCCCTTCACTGGAAGGGAGCTGCAGCCCAGGCAGGTATCAGCTCTGTCTGTTGGCTCGTTTTTACCACACAGACAGCTCTTCGGGAACCCTTCCCTGCCCTCCCCAGGGCTCCAGGACGAGGGGCAGTGTGTGCAGATCCACACATGTGTGTGAGCCTGCGGCAACAGGGTGGACTGTATTTGTGAATCCGCTTGAGACCAGCCAGTACTCACCTGCACTGCATCTTTTACATGCTTTAAAGTTGACTGTCCAAGCCACAAGAATGACCCTTACTGACCTTATACAATACAATGTTTTTTAACCCTTTAGGTACCACAGACTTTGTATGCTTTTCTTTTTTCACTTCACATACTGGGAGGAAGGGGAAAGGGAAGGAGAGCAGAGCTAATGGGTAGGGGAAACATCCTTTCTTAGGAAGGAACGGAGGGTAAGAAATCCTCCTTGTTCCTCTACACCTACACATGCAGCGTCACAGCACCCACCCTGCCACCCATCTGATGACACGTGCTTTGCACACTGAAATTTATGAGTATGAGCCCTGAACAGTCATGGCTAGGTAGAAAGGGCAAAACTGCTTCCTCCAATCATGAAATTCTGTCTTTTTTTTTTTTTTTACAATCTATGTCTCTGGTACTTGAAGAGTTAAAACCCAGCTACTTCAAGAAGAAAAATATACTTTACCTTTAGTTTAATGGATTTTACTTTGGTTATGATGCTCAGGAGGAGCCACCCTGACAGGGAGGTGGAGGGTGTTGTGCAGAAAGGTGTGCAATGCAGGGAGGGCTGCGGCATGCAGGCACGTGCTTGCCAGCTGAGCTAGGAGGGGAAGAGCACGGAAAGCACTGGCAGGCTGCAGGAGAATGAGGGAGGCTTTGCTGCTGCAGAGACAAGATGCCATCGTGGTGTGAAACCTCCCAGCAAGAGACAGGCAGACAGAGAGCAGGGAGCTGGTTTCACTGGGCTGAGAGAGCATGCAGGCAGGCAGGCAGATAGCAGAAGAGAGAAGAGAGAGAAGAGCCATTGAGCAGGCCAAGGAGGAGCTGAACAGAAAAGGAGCTGCAGAGGGAAGACACAAAAGCCTGTCTTGAGCCAGACGGTCTGTGAGCCGAAGGATGTCGCCTGGACCAGGGAGAATTGACTTGTTCCTCCAACAGCCAGCCAGGAAAAAATGTTTCATCGTGTTACAGGACACTGACAGCTCCCAGCTGATGTTCTTAAGAGCGTTAAACTAATGAGACTATCCCTCTGAAAGCTGAGCTACAGAGAAATAAACCAGGCCTCACTCTGGGTAGGTGCCAGGTTAGAAAAAGACCCAAAGCCTTCCTCTTTCCCGGACTCCCTTCCCTTCACCCTTTAGGGAAAAATATTCAGTGTCACTAAGCCCTGCTGACATTGGCACTCCCAGCCCTCCTTCCAGCAGAAAGCACAAATCCAAGACTCTCTTTTCTTCCCATCCCCATGGATCTCAAAGAGGGAAACCCCTTGCAAAACAGAAGCAGAGTGTGGGTAAGGTTGACAATTATTTTCCAGGTTCTTTCAGTTCATTTTCCCCCACCCCATAGCAATGGCCCATTTGGCAGTACCATTCTGAGAACAGAACCACTGAATCTGCAGCCAAGTCAGGAAAGGATTTTCTTTGGATATGTGCAGAGAATACAAAAAAAAAAAAAAAAAAAAAAAAAAAAAAAAAAAAAAAAGAAAAAGAAAGAAAAAAGGGAAAAAAGGGGAAGAACATCTGAAGGAAACAAGAAAACAAAATATGTTTGAATGGACTGAGAGAACCCCGTAAGGAATTCTGTCTATGCAGAAAGAGACTCCTCTTTCATCCCACTCCTGGGGGGAGAGAAGGAGAAGGAGAGAGATGGGAAAAAGAAAGAGAGAGACAGCGGGGAGTGACAACTGCAATGGGGAGACAGAGCAGGCGCCCACCAGCAGCCCACTGCTCCCCTTGTTAAGGGTTGAGGGATGGGAGCAGACACTCTCTCCTCACACTGGTGACCAGAGTAATTTCTGAGTTAGTTCTGCTCCCGGCTACTCCAAACTGCAGCGGAGTGATTTAGTAGAAATGAGAGGAGACAGAAAACACAAAGAACAGCTGCCACAGCCACTCATGCAGTGAAAAAACACCTCATTTAAAAGCAAAGATCTGTGAAAAGCCCAGGTTGAAATATTGCCATCCAGGGTTATTGTCCCCAGGGCAACAGCGAAGGGAGACAATCCATTAAACTAAAACCAGCACATTTTGGTTGCATACGCTCTATCCTGATGTCATTAATATCCCCCACAGCCTCCGCACGACTCCTTTCTCCCCTCTGCTGGAGCTCAGCGAGGCTCATTCCCTGCTCCTTAGGACAGCAGGTCTTCCTCCCAGCATCTGCAAGGCCGCTGACAGAGAACAGCATGAAGACTGCTTGCCCAAAAGTTGGTAAAAAAAATTGGACTTTTGATTCATCACCTTCCTTCCTCCTCTTCCTCCTGAGTCCCCCACCGTCTCCCTGCTCCATTGCTTGTGCCCGCCTTCCTGACAGAGGCTGCTGGGTCGTGTCAGGTGGGCAGCCAAGCTGCTGCCCGATGGTGGGCTGCTGTCCTCCCTGAGCATGCTCAGCACCAGGGCCAGCTGAGCCCATCCACAAGATCAAACTGCCCTCCACCCATCGCATGGACGCTGCTAACTCACTTCACACTGCCTGCCACGCAGAGCGTGCCCCAGCCCCGTGTGCCGAGCACATCTCAGCCCTCTGTGTCTACAGACAGAAAGTACTGGGTCCCGAAGATGCCCACCGCCCGCCATGGGAACCCCGGGTGGGTGGAAAGCTGCTGCACTGCGAACATCCTCCCCACAGCTCCATACCCCACCATCTCTGGCTCCCTGACTGTCTTCCCCTCAGAGAAGGGTGCGAAAAGGAGAGACACCTACTAGACTGCAAGGTGCGCTCTCTGACCTCCGGGGTGAAGGCCCCCAGGCCCAGAGCCGAGCGGGCAGCCAGTCGGAAGACATACTCAGTGTTGGGCTTCAGGCCTTCCACGGTGAAGGAGGTCGTTGGCTCGAAGTTCCTCGGCACCTGAGATGGGCGAGGGGGGAAGAAAAAAATAAAAACAAACAAAAAAGAGCAGAGGCGAGCCCTGCCCAGACACCTGCCCTGCTCCCCTTTCTCAGCCACCTCGAGGAACGGAGGGCCAGGATGCTCCTCAGGGCCCCAACCCGTAGTGCTGCTCCTCCGCACTCACCTCTCTGCCGTGGTCTCCTTCCTTAAAGAGGAGCTCATACTTCACTATGATCTCCTGTCGAGGTGGGCTCCATGACAACATGATGCTTGTCTCTGTCTTGGCTTCTGCTCGGAAGTTCATCGGCTGCCCAGGAACTGGCACAGAGAAGGGCAGCCATGGAGTGGGAAGGGGCAGAGGAGGCGAAATGAGAGACAGGAGGAAGAACGTTAACTTGGCAAACTGGAAGAATTCTTCAAAGCCTGCGTATGAAGAGCATGTCAACAGTAAAATGCCACCTCCATTCAGCTCTGAGAAGGCGGTTTCTTTAACGAATTCAGCTTCACTATTCCCTGGGCAGCAAGAGTTTTCACATGTATTAAAGACATTTATAAAGTGGAAACTTTAAGACATCTCACTCGGGAGAATGGATCAGCAAAAATGGATTCTCTCCTGCATAACTGCTTGCCCTTCCCAGTTAAGCAACAGCCTTTCCGAGCAAAGACAGAACAAAAATCACTGCCAGCCCCTTGGGCTACAGTTGCTGGACCAAACCTCCTCCTAGAAAGTTACTCCTGTTTTAACCAAACTGAATTAGTAAATAAAAAGATGCTCTGGTGACACAGCAGTCACAGCTGGATAATGCTATAAACCAACACCTCGCCCTCCTGCAGCCCAGTGCCTCCAAGGTCAGTTATGCAGATACTCACCTCCCTGCTGCGTCTTAACCTGGATGGGGTCAGAAAGAGGCCCATCTCCCACAGAGGTGAAGGCCAGGACCCGAACCGTGTAGGTTTCATCCTCAAGGAGGCTGCCCACCGTGGTGAGGAGGCTGTCATCCACATTGTGCTTCTGCCAGTTGCTGACAGGTTGGTCAGGCTCCATAGTGTAATACACACGATAGCCACGGATCTGCCCATTGGGCTCCACTGGTTCCTCCCACTGGATAATCATAGTGGTGCTGCTCAGCATTCGTCCCTGCACATTACGGGGGGCACTGGCAGGAGCTTGTTCCCCAGTGCGAGTGACCACTGACTCACTGGGAGGCCCCTGCCCAATGCTGTTGACTGCAGAGACCCAGATCTCATACTCAGAGTTGGGGCTGAGCCCCCCAATGCTGTAGCGCGTGGTGGTGATGTCCTCTTTGATCTGATATGGTCCATCCTGGCTTTTAGACTTGTATTCAATGACATAGTAGGACACGGGGTCTGGATTTCCAGAGTCCCAGGTGATGGTAATGCTCGTCGCTGTCGTCTCTGTCACCACTGGTGTCCCAGGAGCCTTGGGCAGCGCTGAGAATCAGGAAGAACAGACATTAAAAAAACCCCACAAAAAAGTATGCTGAAATGGTGCCTAATTGGGCTGGTTAGGGCTTAGGAGCCAGAGGCACAGCACCAATCACAGTGCGTCAGTTCAGCAAAGTGCTGCTGAAATATTATGAACCTAGTTATACACTCTATTATTCTTCTTAAGCTGCTCCATCAGAAGAGAAGTGCTCAGCTAAACATCTGGAATCATTAGTGCAGACTTCAGCTGAACATCCTTCAGCTCACGGGGCAGTAAGGAAAAGTAGTTTTGCATGAGCTCCTTCAGAGCACATAATCAGATCCTCTGAAGCAGCACTAGCTGCCCAGCTCTGGCACTGCTGAATTTCTCCACGTCTAGCATGCTGGTAGCGGGACAGCGAGGACTGCAATATCCAGAACTAGAAAGCTACCAGTATGTGCAGTACTTAATTGCCATCCACAAATGTCTTAATTAGTGAATGTCTGTCTACCTCGTCTCTCAAATAAAGATTAACATGCTGGAGACTGTATGCTAAATACGGGAAACCTTTACCAGCAAGCTTGATGTGTTTTCCTCACTGCACGCTTTAGACCCCTTCCGATCATATCTTCTCTAAACTTGAGGTTCTAAAGCTTTAATTTCTCAGTTCGTCTTCTGACTGGCAAATATTGCAGATGCTTACACACAGGAATGTAAGGGGAACAAAAGGGGTACCAAAATAAAACAACAAAGGGCACAATGTACCAGCATGGCACGATTCCATAGAGGACAGCTAGAAGCAGAAGCAAGGCCTTTTAAATTAACAGCATAAGAGGGAAGAGAAGGAAAATACTCAGGAGAATAAGGAGCACTTTAGTCCAGCCACAAGCATCCTTTAACCAACACGTGAGCTCATAGCACGAGCATCACAGCAAGACTCACTGGTCCCTACTCACTTCTACGGTGAGCCCTTCCTTAGCCAGATGCACTGACACAATCAGGACGGTTTCTTGTTAGCCTTCCCATTCTCCAAGTTACTTCCTCTCCCCCTCCTCTCCAATTCCTCTCCCACCCCACCACCCCCAGATCCCTGTCAGGCAATGCCATCACTCAGAGCAAACACCAGCTCATACAAGAGCTCTACACTCACCCAACCACGGGGGCATCCCGCTTGGGTTTAAATACTCCCCTGCTGAGGACAGAATAGATTGAAGATTGCACCTGTGCTCCTCCTGGGAATTGCTAGCTGGAAGCTGGGGTTATGTAACCTCTTGCTGAGGCAACAACAACCACTAAGATGCTGGATCTAGGCTCGAGGGCATACATGTCAGAGAGCCTCAGGGCCTCGGCTGCATCTCTAACCTTGGAAAGGGATGGCATGCAGGCTTCAAGCCACCCACGGCTCCTTGCAATCTGCCCTGCCAGCCCCATACCCAAGAAAGGAACAAGCAAGCAGGGTTTTAAACCAATTGTCTTCGTAACAGACAGCCCAGTGGTCCGAAAGCAAGGAAAGATTTCAAGCCAGCAGCGTCCCATTCACTGGGAATTGGTGCGTGGGATCCCCAAAGATGCATGCACAGATCCCAGCACGTGGCACTCGTGATGCGCAAGTTTATCTTCCTGCTCATGCTCACGTACACATGTACATACAGGCCTGTACCAAAAAGGACTCACATACATGCAGTCAGGCACCTGCATGCCCATACAGCCACTTTGCTCTGACTCACATGCACACACATTCATGCACAACCACCTTTTTTTCATGCACGATCACGTCCCACATCCATTACAAGCAGATCAGTCACGGGCTCACCTCGTGCAGGCACACAAAGACGCGAGCAGGCACAGCTCCTCTCACATCCCAACGCAGTGCCACGGTGACACAGGCGCCCATGCTCTGGCGAAGGCTCACAGGCACAACACGGATCTACTGGTGCTCACATGCACGAACACGACGCATGCCCACGCTGGCTGTGCACGCATGCCCAGACACCCCCGAACGACCACGCAGCCAGCAGTGCCTCGCACACGGACACACGGACGCAGCAGCTCACTCATTGTGTTCGCGCTCCTGCAGACATGCACAGTCGGGGGACCCACGCACTCGCTCACGCAGGCGTGCTCACACTCCCTTACATTTCACCGTGATCTGAGCAACGGCTTCTATGACTCCCAGACTGGACATGGCCACACACGTGTAGTTGGCGGAATCCTTGACATCCGTGAGCTCCAGGACGTTGCGGCCCACGGGCATGTCGTCTTCGGGCGTCAGGTCCTCCGCTCCTTGCATCCACTTGACGTAGGGCATGGGCGAGCCCACCGCCACGCAGGTGATGTTGACGTTGCCCCCGGGCATGATTTCGTGGCTGACGGGGAGGATGGAGAAGCGAGGGGCCACGCGCCGAACTGCGGACGAGACGCACAGAGGTAACAAAAAAACAAAACGAAACGAAACGAAAACCAAAACAAAGGAAAAAAAAAAAAAAAGAAGAAGAAAGAAAGAAAAAAAGAAGAAAAGGGAGAAAAAGAAAAAAGAGCAAAAGATAATTTAAATATAGACGGTGTTTGTCACTATTCATTTTCTTCCTTCATTTAAAAAAAACAGAAATCAAATAAACTAGAAATCAAAAACCAAAAACCAATAAAATTAAACTTCAAATAAATGTTTACTTCACAAACAATATATAGAATATAGACATAAAAGCGGTATTTCATAGCAACAGGGTTCCATTGATCGAGATTAGACCCATCACAGCACAGATAAATACACAAAAATTTATTAGCAATTTCTCATCTTTACAGGCACAGAGCCGGCGTGGCGAGACGCGGAAATCTCCTCCGCTGGGGACCCCAGCTCCCCGCTCCCCCCGCCGCGGGGTCGGCTCGGCCCCATTGCGGGAGCTCCCCCGCCACCACGGCCCCAGGATGTCCCCAGCCCAGGGGTGGTGGCGGGGAGGGCGGGCGCGGAGGTGGGAACTTCTCAAGATTTCGCCTGGTTCGAAAGGCCAAGTCTTGCAGAGAGCCATGGGATGTAACCGAGACGTGGCACAGCCCCAAATGGGTAAAACGTTTGGCTGGTGGTTGAGTGTGAGAGCCGTCCCCCTGGGGAGAGAACGAGCGTGGAAAAGATGAGAAACTCTAATGAAATTTTTGTGGTTTTCGGGTATAGAAACCCTAACAAAGCCTCTTTAAGATCTGACACGGTTCCATTGATAGATGCAGCTCTCAGAGTCACAAACATCATGCAAAATAGGTAAAAAAGAGACAGAGAAAAAAAGAGAGAAAGAGATAGAAAGAGGAAAATGCAGAGAAATCGAATTTATGGGCGCTAGCAAATGCCCACATGGATACAGGATAGGAAGAGAGCAATAGAGGAAGAAGAAGACAAGGAGGAGAACAGGAGGGGAGGGAGAGAAGAGAGAAAGAGGGAGGGGAGGGGGAAACCCACTTTAATGCTGCATACTTTTCTAGCTGATGTGACCCAATGTGGTGGCTCACATTGTCACATCTCAGCCCTGGCGGAATAATAAATAGAATAGAATTAATAAGAAAAACAAGGTAATGAAAATTTAACGTTGAGAAAACAGTGACATGTTCTGTGCATCTCCTTAGCAGAGAAGTGGATGCAGCTTCCAGACCTGACACGGTAAGAACATGGACGCAGGGGACGGTATGGTTTCCTTGGCTCCATTTTCTGAACTAAGGGCAGCCGAGGCAGTGCTGCTCCTTCGGGGGAAGCAGGAGAAAGGACAAAGTGGTGATGGAGGTGGTCAGAGGGGCCCTGGCAGGGAGCCGAGCACAGAGTCCCCATCCCACAAGCAGAGGGAGAAGGGCCCAGACCCCGAGAAGCGGCAGCAGCCCAGGGAGAAAAGGAGCAGCAATGCTTCCAGCTCAGGAGAGAGCCATGCAATGAACAGCCCTCGGGAAAGGGCAGAGAGGGGCAGGAGGAGTGCTGGGGCCTGCAAAATACTGCTATGAAGTTCTGCTCCTCTGAGCAACCTTTCTAAAGTCAGAAACAGCTGCATCCATGCAATAGCAATGCAGAGGACTCAAAGCTAAGCCTGCAATCTCTCTTCCCGAGTTCCAGTGCGTTCAGATGCCCCTGGCTTTTCCAGTATCTACTTCTCAGCCTACTCCCCCCGGCTGCCACTCAGCACTGGAACCCTTTCAGGCAGGAAGGGTGCTGCCAGGTGGGACAGCGGCTGTTTTCCATTTAGTGCAGTTTTGTTAAATGAAAGCCAAATATGGCTCCACGTCCTCCCACAAAAAGACAAGGAGATGTCTTCATAGGAAGGTGTGCTCTCTCCATCATGCTACTGGATTCTTTTCTGCAGTTACTGCTACCCAAGCACCAGAGAGGGGAGGAAGAGAAGACTTCCAGCTTTCAGGCATTAGGAACTTGGATATGTCAGAGGGGAATTCCTGCATGCACGCATTTGCAAAGGGGATGGACAGCATGCCTTCACCTGCAGTGCGGCTGGGGAAGGGATGCGAATGCAGAGAGAGGGACTGAAAACTCACCTGGCACTACCACTAGCAGAAGTCTTTCTGCTTACAGAAAGCTGTAAGGAGAGCACCATGGCGCTGCACAAGCGCAGGCACCAGGACAGGCTCGCAAAAGCAGGCAACGTGCTTCTTGCTCCCCCCTGTCATACCTACGTGGAAGATTTGTAGCCTTTGACCTGAGGGTACATCCCTGCCACCTGCTCCATCCTTCCTTCCACTGTCTGTTACGGGAGGTATCACATTTCAGAAAATGGAGCCATGTGAAGACCACACCGGTCACAGTCTGAGACAAGATGGAGAGAACTCAAAGAGAAACAAGTGGGGTCAACATGCAGACAGATCTAGGTGGGGATGGCTCTTCTGAGGAAGGGCTGACATGTAACCTTCTGGAGAGGGGAGGCGGGTGGGGAGAGGTGAGGAGAAATGGGGAGACATCCGCCGGACAAGATCCAGCCAGCAAACAGCATCAACAGCAACAAACAACGGCAGGTGGGATGCAAACACCGAGTTGTCATGGAAACAGAACAAGACAATTAATTCAAACCGAGGCTAATCACAAAGAAATAAAACCAAACTAAAAGAGGAAAGGGGGAAAAAAAAGCAAAACAAAACAAAACAAAAACCAGAATTTAATAACTGAAAATCATCATTTGATGTATGGCAGAGTGTTGAGAATCGGAGTCTGAAAGGGGGCACGCTGCTGTCTGTGTGTTTTTGGCAGGGAAAGGAAGAGCCACTCACAGAACACAAGCTCAGGAGCCCAGCCATGAGCCCACCTCCTCTGCACGTCCATGTGGGAAGTGATTCTCACCACCCTCGCAGCACCCAGGGCTTCAGGTCAGCTCTGTGGGCTTTGGGACAGCCTCACTGCTCGGCTGCTTTAACAGCATTTGTCACACTTAACTAATGGGAAGCAGCCAGGACATCTGGTGCCAGCTGAAGACACCGCACGTTCTGTGAAAAGGCAGAATTTGGATTAGGGTTATTGGCAGACGAATGCAAGAGCAAAAGAGGCAGTAGCATTCCCTGGTTCCAAAAAATGTACACACTCCTGCGTGTGCACAACTGTACAAACATCCACACATCAGCCTGGGATGTGAAAACAACTCCAGCGCTAGCTGAGGCTGGAGATCTCAGCGAGTCCCTAGGTGCATCCCTGCCAGGGCTCAGGGCTGTGACAACAGCATTTACTCTAACAGGAAATACTTGTAGGGCTTGTCTCTGGACACCAGGAACCATGTTTACTGTTTGATTTAATTGCCATACCACTCTGATGTGACTGCTGACATGAGACTTCTCAAGCTGAGAATCTCTGGGTCAGCGTTTGGGTCAGAGCTTAGGAGGAGAGTGGTGATGGGAAGAAAGCTTGAAGAGCAGTGAGAGACTCAATCGAGAGCAATTTCAGCTCTGGCTCCAGCTGGGTTTCATGCATAGCAGCTGAAAAAGTGATTTATTTTCCATCTAAAAATGCAGAAAAATGAATCTTTCTGCTTTGTCATCCAACAAACTCGAAGGACTGGAAAGCTAAGAGGAAGAGCTGCCCTCTCTGGAATGGAGAAGTAGTGATGGGGCACTCAAGGCTCCACTTTATAGACCACTTCTCTCACACTCCACCAATTTATCACACATCTCATCGCCCTTCCTTTCTAGGGCTGGGCTCCCTCGGTATGTCTCAGACAGGAACATCCCATTTCCGGAGCAGGGCAGCCCTTTGCTCTTCCAGAACTTCAGCCTGTTTTTCTACTAGTACTCATTCACTGCCTTACAGGGGCACAAAGCAGACTTCTAACCTGGAGACAACAGCATTTCTGAAGGCAGTCTCTGCTACTGTGCAGATAAAAATATCCCAAGTGCCAGTGCAAGGATGGCAGAAGTCACCACCACCACGCGCTTTTCGTCTCTCCCATCAGATGCTGAGGGTGCAGCCAGACCAAGGCCTACAACTCCTGCTGCTCCCAAGAAGCCCCTCAGCCCTGAGTCTCAGGGATGTTTGGTTTCCATGACAGCTTTGTCAAACCTATTTTACAAAGCCAACATGCAGACACCCGTGCATGCTCCATGTGCATGTGCAGCATCTCCTGATAGACACACACAAGCAGGCACTGACAAACAGACATTTTCAACAGCCAAAAAACTCTCAGGTGCTTTTTTTAAACAAGGATACAGCTCACTGCTGATAGAACCAGACATCACAACTGGAGCTGGACACTTGTGATGCAATTCAAACAGTGCAGGGAAGCGATTTATGAGGCACTGAAAGATTTCTTAACTCCAATTTGTCTTGAGTTTGTTTTACGCTGCTGGGTATTTCACACAGGCAAACGCGCCCCCCAAGTCCTGGTTAGTTTTCAGTAGAAACTGAACAGATCCACTGCTTTTCACAGCCTTTAAAGCCAATTGGTTTTGTTGCTGCTCATCGATACAGAGAGGTTAACTCGGGTTGTGTTCTGTGAGTGGCATTTTTGGTGCATTACTCTTTCCCACAAAAAGGTACCAATCAACATCACTTAGGTTCCCCCCCACCATTCCATTAAAAATTGCTGGGGTCCCCAGGTGGGAGATGTTTTGGAAAGGACAGGTTTACAGACCTGGTTGGAAGAGACACTGGGAGATCCAGGGCTGACTTTTGCAACACCAGAAACCATCCTTACAATGCGTTCCCAGGACGCTGCTAGTGAGAGAAACCTGAGGGACACCCACTGGTTCCACTTGTTAAGCCCTTTCCAGATCAGCTCAAGGAGAAAAATGTTGGAGGAGGAGTGAGGTGGGGAAAGGAGAACATCTACACCAGATCCCACCGCTTCAAACCCCGATTCACGTTAAAAAGCAACCAAAAGATAAACACACTTTATATCTTAAAGGAGAAATTAATTGAAAAAAGGAAAGAACAGAAAGTGAAG